CCTAACCTACATACATAAAATAACTTTTGCTTACCTAATGAAGGATTATCAAAGTTTTAATTTCTATTGTTCTCTAAACACTCAATATAAACAAATTCCTCATCAAATGTGTAATTCATTATTATATATTACTAATATATTCAGTCAACAAAAATTATGAAACAATTTCTGAACTATAATAATATAAATATTATATATAAGTACTACAATACATTTTAACATGCTGATTAACTTTTTAACTAGCCGATTTCGGTTGATTAGTTTAACAATGTGTTAAGGCTAACAAATCTCTAAATATATATATATATATATATATTTTTTTTTTTTATTAATGTTTAAGCAAGAGGGAAATACTGCATTAGAGATCCCTAACCCAAATAGCCTATGATGTGTCCCTTATATAAGACAGACACACATTCGACAAGGCGTTGCCTTTAGAACATGATGATGAAGTTTAAAAAATACTATTTATTAGGGATATGTATCAATAAAGGTCGGATTAATTGTAGGACTAAACTTGAGTAAAAATATTTTCTGATTTATTATCTACTGATAAAAATTGATATATTTATCAAATATTAACAACGCTATTGTTTTTTAACTTCTAAGTACTGTATTGTTGTTGATAATAAAATTATGAAATTGTTTATAATTTATAATTAAGCTGATTATGATTTAGGAGTAAAACATAGTTTGAGAAATACACGTTTAACGTTTCACAAAATGTATTCAAAGTGTTTTTAAATAAATTAAAAAAAATAAAATGTTTAAATTTTAAAACAAATATACCCTTAACCGTTAGGTACAGAGATAATGTTATTTCTTAAATGATAAATTACTATCCAGTTTTCAGAATTATGCATTTTATAGTTATTTACAACAAAACGAATGTTTAAAAAGTTTTGTAAAAATACAATTAAAAAATGCTAATTGTTGGTCATGCAAAAGAAACTAATACAACTCCTCTGGAATTTTGTTACTCTTATCTGTGAGTGAATTTAAATTATTATTTAAAGTAAGTTAAGTAGGACGTCACTGAGACTTAAATATTTTGCCTCATTACAATATTGACTATTTTATAGAGTACTATTTATCTGTATTATAACTTTTTAGGTCAGCAATTTCACTTAATTTATTTTACCCGTGTGCGTCTGAAAGCAAAATTATGTAATTTATTCTAGCTTCTAAAAAGTTTACTCGCATTAAATAAGAATAGGCTCGCTATAGCTCAGGCATTTACCTAGGTGATGCTTGGAACGTTAAAAGACAAAACAAATCCTTTTTTCCCTTCGCTTTTAAAAATATATAACTTCTAAGAAAACGTCCGAGATTGATGCAAACAAAACTCGTCCATCGCATAAAACAATTAATTATGAGTTGAATAATTTAAAAAACTTCCTATGCCAGGCTAACGCCCAAAAATACCTGGCGCCAACATGGGTACTTATTACAAAACAACAAGCTTCGTAAGATAACTGACAATATTACTCCAAACTACTTGCCCCCGAACGCAACAGACATGGGAAAACGTTAGGTCGTATTCCAATCGGCAACCGCAACTAACACACGTATACTTATCTAATTAACCTTAAGTCTAAACATTAATGTCAAACATGCAACGTTACCTCGACTATTCACTGATTGCCCAGAATTCGCACCGGACAGGACACACGAGGAAGATTAAAAGAAGCCGCCAATAAACACGATGTAGATCAAATAATAGCGTTAATAAAATTTACCAAACTATACACAAAAATATAACATATTATGTATACGAGTATTGTTTAAAAATTAAGAAGTTAATATTTCCTAGTTGTGAAAACCTTATCTAAATAAAAAAAAAATTGTTTTAAAAAAACGCTTTTGATTTTATTCTAATTATATCCAACAAATAAACACCCACAGACGATAGCAGGGAAAGATCTTCAAGTGAATCTCATATTAAAGCATTTTGTTTTTGGGTTTGTCCAAAAATTATCTGTCCCCTCCACTTATATTTCCTTCTGCAGGTGTACCTGAACCTCAATCTAGAATCCTTACTATACTGTTTTTGTTTATTAACATTTTTTATTAAATCTGTAAGTCTTACAGTCGTCTCTTGTTAAATATCAAATATACTGTTAACTTACCAAATCAATATAAAAACAAAACATAAGTAATAACATTTTATATGAGATAGTTAATTCAATAATAATTAAATAAATATAAAATAATTCAAATAGTCCTTAAACGTGACCTTAGCGCGGCTAACTTTTAACAAAATTTGTTAATCTTCTTTACTATCGAACAAACATGTTGAACATAATGCTTATATAAATGTAGTACAAGCAACTATTATTGAATTTACGTACACAGCACCAGTGGCGAATTTAAGATCCTCGACTAAAGATTTAAAACAAGTTTTTTTTTAACTTGTTTAGAATATCTTTTTATTACTCCAAGCTTTAAAATACAAAAATATATTACATCTGTGTATTTTCTTTACGAACCCATATGAACATTAAAATATAATCTATAGAACAACAAATAATGGCTGAGATTCTATGCGATACTCCAGCGTGTTCCCATTCATCACTAATGGCCCATTGCATTCAAAGTTCCTGGAATGAATCCAAACACCGACAATTTATCACGAATAAGATAACAATAATGGGCTTATTTCAAATGGCATATGACGATTCCGTTTGCAAAAAAAAAAACAAATTCTCAATATGTATTCTCCTTCACACTTTTTATACAAAATCGAAGGAAACTTATTTGTAGATTGTACAGCCTTCGTAAAATATGTATTTTTACTATTAAATATCAAGTTTAATTGTACTATATAAAACATAGTACTAATGATCAGTTTTGTATGATCATTGTATGAGTAATGTTGTTATTAATACGTATTTGTAAAGTATCTAGAAAATATATAATTATTTGATAATAGGTATATGATAAGCGTAAGAAAAACATTTCAAAATTGTTGTGTTGATTTCCTAAAACACTAAAAAAATAATAAAGCCAAAAAAGTTCTAGCGGAACACTCTAGATACACTAAGACCTTAGAACTGAGAAAAACATTTTATCATAATCAACAATCGCATGAACATCTCATCGAGCCGCCTCTCCAATAAAGACAATATATACCATTTTTAAACGTTAACATCATTTAGAATAACTCGGGAAGTAATTTATTTGAACTTTAAGTAGAAGACTCGAAAGAGATATCGCAAAGAATAAAATATAAGGAGTTTTCCTTAAATGTCTTACATAGAAAAGAAATATTATGTAGCAGTGTTGAAAATACGATTGTTAGTTATTTATTAATGTAGCAATAGTATAATGATGTGCATAATTTAGTTTCCTTACCCTTAGAGACTTGGAGTGGAATTCGGCGATTACAATATAATTCAAAGGAGAAAGTATCTTAGATACGCAGTAAATGTTACGGTTCAACATAGAAGTTGTAGACTGCAGGTTTGACCTAGTTCCCCCCTATTTAATGGCCCTAAATAGTGAAAAAATTCCCAAATGGTAAAAATGTCAAAGTGTAAACTTATTTAATAAAACAGAAATATTAAATTAAAATAGGTATGCATTTTTTTTCAAGTGTTATACAATTTAAACAAATTATTCTCTCACAAGTTGAGAAACATTCTAAAAAATGACTTATCGATGGTTAGAAGGTAAAAGGGCGTAAGCGCCAATTTCCAAATTGTTCAGGAGAGTCAAAAACCCTAATATCTCGCCAATTCTATGTCACGTACGACCTCATATTAAAACATTGATTGTTGATTATAAACATGATATATAATTTGGATCAATCGATGTATAATTGTGCCGCTTACGACCATATGCATAAAAGTCGATTTTGAAAAAATTGTCGCTTACGCCATTTTACCTTCTAACCATCGGTATGATTAATTGAATAATCTGATATTTGTAATTCATTGTAATTGACTATGTTATCAACAATTTAATAATTTTAAAAAAAATGTTATGATTTATTTTATTTCTTTAATGCAAATAATGAGCTTTAGAGATATAAAAAACTATTTCGTATGGGAGATTCAAAATGAACTGAATGAAAAATTAATTGTTAACAAAGTGAATAAATACTATTTAAAACTATCAAATCGAATTCATTAATACACTCAAATTTAACGATTTAATTATCCCTTTCCATCAATTTCTTGCAGTATTCATTCAGGATTATAATTTTAGTGGTTAAATTTGAATGTTCTTTTAAAATTATAAAATATTTTATTCATTATTTGGATAATTGTGTAACTTTTAAATGCTAATTTAGGATTTACATTTTCCATACAACGTTTGTTTAACTATTTTGATTCACGTGATTTTTAAGTTATTCTATTGCCAAGCAAGCCAATGGCACAGTTCCAAACGGTTTGAACAACAAATAATAGCAGAGAATTGGACAATTTGTCCTTGACTACGATAAATTAATAGGGACATTTCTTCCAACGTTAAGAACAAACTAACATCGGTATAATAACTTTTGTAACCGCTAGAATAACCAACATAGATTTTTATCAGTTATAATGATAAGATCCGGGCAATATTTTATTTAATAAGTGCATCCATAAATTGTCTCCAGTTTTCTATGGAAACAAAAAGAAACTAAATGCCCATTGAATAAAGAGCACGGTCGATTATAAAGTGTACAGAAATAAATCAGAAAAAGTGTTTTGTACAACTTGTCGCTTAAATTAGACCAAAGACTATTATTTGTCGTAAACCATAAACTATATCTCTTAACCAAAAGTAACGTTCCTACCATACCAGTATTTCTACACCCATATTAATAGTTGAGCATACATACACTATTAGTTTAATAAAAAATGCCACTTTAAATTTAATATAACTATAAATTATGATTAATGTTCAAGTGTTTATAAAATTATTCAAAAATATAGTTCTTAAGAATAAATCATGTCTTAAGAAATCCATTCGTCAACAACAGGATTGTTATTTTTTTTTTTTTTTAAACTTACCTTTTATGAAATCAATTGCCATTTCCAGACCGTAAGTGTCTTTGTCGCAGTCGTCCAGTATCAAAGCCCCAATTTTAAATTTGGTCCAGCGTTTGTTGAATTGATCCAGTGTGTACAGCATGGTCTCCACGGCCTGTATGCCGCCTTGAGCCATGATAGGGCCACAAGTGAACTGCGTATCCTCCCGGGAATGGACCATCATAAGTCCGCCTAGCAGTAAGTCGCCCTCCACTACAGCTTCTTTTTTCACTGGCCACGGGAAATTGTGGCCTGCTTGATCCGCGGAAAGTCCCGAGTGCCGCATGTGTCGCATGCGAACTTCCGGGAAGTTGAGCGGTATGGATGCCCGGCGCAACCAACCCGTATGGTTCGAACCCACGAACACCGGAAACAGTAAAGCGATTACTGTAAACCAAGTCATGGCGAAACGTCCCGAAACGGCCAAACGCATTACCGAGCCGTGTGCACTTCAATTTCTCATTTTTTAAACGCGGCACTGTACTAAACCTAAACAAAAAAAAAAAAGAAAACGATAAATTTTAACGAAAAATGCACAATATATAGTTAGTATTTTTTTTAAACACTCATTTTTTCCATCGTATTACGTTCATGCAATTTTTAAACAATAGGTATTAGTATTAATATTAGTAGGTTTAAAAAAAAAAAATTATCAAATCGAGGCTCGAAAAAAAAATTGGTAAAAGTGTTAACGTTAGTACAGTGTTAATTATTGAATTATACTTATATGTCATATCCATATTGTTATATAATTAAATGTTAACGGTGACAAACGAAAAGATGTTTTAAAACCTTATATAATTTTTCTCACTAGCAAAATATAACAATGTCAGACAAAGAAAAAGTCAATGAAAATAAAAACGTATATTTTACTCGTTGTAAAACTGTAGCTATAAAATCTAGGTCCATGTGCTTATTGGGATGACCTTATTTCAATAGATACACTTAAAACAGTCTGACATATTCAACTCCATAAACATTGATTATAAACAAAATCGAGACGCAATATAGTGAAATAATTCTGACTATATTGCCGCCTACTTCAGCAATGCATACGTGAGCAGTATTGTAATATTATGCATTTGAGTTAGAAATTTCTAGTGGAAATGGTGTAGAATAGTTTTATATCTCTGAGAAATTTGTTATTTTACATATATATACAGGCGACTGGCGATCATGTTATTTGATAAATGTGAGACACACATTTTCTTAAAAATAAATTAAAACTGTATAGTATAAAGTGAGAAATATTTTAACAATACAGATAATAACACAATTAAATAATACAATTTTATAATACAGAGGCATGGTAAGTTTTATAGTTGATAAAATTGTAAAAACTACCTAGTTAACCCTACAAATAAGTATATAAAACGATATTTGAAAAATTGGACGTATAATTTTCAGTCTACTAGTTTTATCTTATCACATCATTGTAAAGGTTAGCTTTTATTTCTGTTAGAGCTCTATACAATTTGAATTAAAATTTAAATTGTAACCTTCGCTAATATACCTAGTGCAACCTTACGTTGGATTTATCGTTCTGCAATAAGATTTTGTAATTAAATATCTTTCGTAAAATAGTTTCAATTGTAGCCTTGAAAGTTTAGCACTTAGCCGGATCACAATATAATTTCCATCCTACAGTAAATAAACTTCTACTGGTAACAATAATTGAAGCCTGTCCGTGACTGGTCCTTTTCGTGGTCGCCAATACAACTCAACAATAAAGTGTCACTCATATAAATATTCGTTGTTCTATTTAATTCCAGTCGATCCTCTCTCAGTAATTGACAAGTACCGAGTTTCCATCATGACCGTGCTTAGCCCCATGCGGTCTGACCAGTGACCGCTGACCGTACCGAGTTACCAGCAAGTTCCGTTAATTGACTCCTATACAGTAGCAAAGGATTTCGTACTCAAGCTAATATACAACGCTCACGAAATTGTAAAAAAAATTTAAAAAAATAAAATACAATCGATATTAATTCAGTAGAAGGAGGCATTTTTTTTAAATACCTTATTATTTTTAAGTAATAATAGAAAATACAATTATTGAGTTTAATTACTTTAACATATGTTGAACATAAATTATCATAAAAAAATAGTATTGTATTTGTAAAGGAATGTAAACTAGAATTTATCGATCGCAAGGTCTAAGAACCAATAAGTTAATGAATTCCAGATTTTCCAAGAAGAACAGAGGATGGGTTGTGGAAGAAGATATTCCTTAAGTGGTTAATACACGCTACTGGTTCAACGCTCGGTTTCTTTGAATAGGCAACTATCTAAAGAAACCCCTGTTACACTTCCTTCACTCCGTGTCCCAAACTTTTTGGTTAGCGATAGGTTAACAGCAGTTGTAATCCCAATCCACTAATTAAATAACACCGTTTAATTCCTCTTAGCGTGAGTATTCAAACGTAAAACCTAAAGAAGCATACCAGGAAGGTACCAAATATACTACTCATGTTTCCTAGTCGCGTAGATATTATACATTTTTTAAATTATTTTTTTTTCAGTTTAACCCTCACAGTACCTATATCACTGAACACTTCTAGTATAATTTCTAAACTATATCGTTTCAATTAGTATAACAACTTAGTAACTAATAGCAATCTACAGCGCAGTACTCGTCTTTTAAAGACTTAAATTTGTTTGTTTAAATGTATGAAATTAGCGACTATAACGTATATTATAATATGTTATAAAGCATAATAAACGGAGATCCACAGTACGCGTTTACCTAAATTCAATAAAGCCGTGTAGGTATAACTCTTAGAAGACACTTTGAACGTTTAATCATGATATATATAGCAATATAATAATAGTACAATATATTGCGATTCAAATAATAGAAACATTTTTCGTACAACGTTTGAATTGTTATTAACTTCCTACGATTCGAGTAATAACGAAAATAGTTACAGTGACTGCACACATGAATATAAATATAAAGCATATTATATTAGTATCACGCTGCAAACATATAAAGTAAATTCATTCGTTACTTAAAGAAGCTTATTGGCCATTCCATTATTATGTATTATGTACGTATAAAATACACATTTTTTTCTATATCATACATTTTCATGATAATACAATTTTCAATAACTGTAACACGATTTGTTTACATTAGTTAAAACATTAGAGTTCTATTTTCTTTCTCCTATTCAACATGCATACATCATATACAACTTTAACTGCCATCGTAGTGAGTTGATTGTAGAAAGATTTGACGTTTAAAACGAAAACTAATATACGATTTATGCAATTAAGCAAATTAAAACCACAAGTCAAGTTTTGGTTGGGTAAATATTGTAGTAATCTATATGTAGATTACTAAAATTAATTAAAAACATATTACACGCTTTATTTGTTTAATAAAGTGCTGTTAACGGACACAGTAGGGCTCGATTGTATGAAGTTGGAACAAAGGTATATGTTGGCATGGTGCTAGTATTGACGTGTTTACCGAACCTTCAAAATTGTAGTCTAATAGCGTTGGATTGTGTCATCAGAAAATGATAGACTCTGGAACCTTGTAATTGAGTCTGGTGGTGTATACGATTAATGAAACCGTTGCTTGACGGATGTACGGAGAATAGGATTCGTAAAGTCTTTCCCGGCGATGGTATAAGCGAGTAGCGGAGTCGAAAGAGGGATGGAAAATTTAATAAAGGAACACCCAGCCTTCGGTAATCTATCATAAATGATAATAACAGACTTAATAACCTTGTGTATGTGTGTGAGCCCAAGCAATGGACGTCATATTAATTTATCGTACACCGCGGGTTTGCCGCAGACATATTATGCCTTATACATAATAATAATAATAATAATAATATGACATCGCCAAAGCTATTCCAAACGGGCATGAGGCGCAAAAGGTTGGTTATTATAGATTCCTGACACGAGATGCCGAACGGATACACCGATCAAAAGAATTACACCCAAGTATTTAGAAACCCGTGGAAACGACAAAATGTATACACATATACAAACAGAGGATATGAATTAAGTAAGGCGATCATAGTTTAAAATGCATGTCATTAAAAATGCGTAAAATTAAATTTGATTAAATTATGATTTACGTTAAAATGATTCTATACAAGTTATTAGCATAGTAATAGGTATTTAAAAACTAGTTATCAGTGATAACTTATCACTGGGGATGAAAATTGGTTTTTGATTGGCTAAAGCAAAATTATTGCAAGTCAGTCTGGCCATAATCATAACTTCTGATAATTGATTTTTATAATAAATCTTTTATCTTTCGTATTGTGATTGTGAAAATGAAAAATAAATGCATGATTTCTAGTAATTAACTGTTAAAGAATGAACTCAGAGGAAACCGGGAAATCGCATTCTACTAATAATAACTGCTAAATATCCGAATTTTATAAGGATCAATCCAATTGAATTTATTATACTCATTATTTTTGTTACATTGGAATACTATTTGTAAATAATAGAATAAATGATTCATTTGACTTTTAATAGTAAAAATATATGAACCTATAAAAACAGATATATGTATCTTTCTTTTGATTTTTTTTTTATATTTAACAAACCACTGAGTGAGTGAGACTGTTGATCAGACGACTTCCCATCTTCCTTTTTGAGTTAAAATCAAAATTTACATATTTTCTTTAAAATTTATTAAAAATCATGTAATAATAAACTAAAATTGGTTTACCTCAAAATAATTCTTAGTTAAATAAGTTCTGAAATAAGCAGAAGAAAGCTATTTAAAATCCATATGTGAAGTAATTTTCTATTTTTTTTCGTACACAGCTGAAATAGTATAAAAAGTATTTTGCAACTTAATTATGCTCCACACGCGTAGTTATAAATGGATAGTATTTATTTGTTATTCAAAACTTATTTTCAAAGATCAACATCAAAAGTATCAACAAAAAAGGGAGTCGGTTTATCAAAATATTTACTTTCGACCAAAATTAATTAGCTTATAAAAGTTTTGGCCTTTTTAAAGTTTACCTTTTTCAAAACACTCGTTTTCCTGTGCCCCTCCTTCAAAATTAATTTCCGCCGTGTAGTAAAATTACATCGTTACCATATTATATTTCATCCTTCGATGAAAGTATTTACTCGGTTTCTCGCTATGGAAGTCTATACGTAATAAAATTTCGTTTTTCATAGTTACCCACGTGCAATTATTAACCATATTATAGGTAAGTAGTAACACCGAACAGTTATTAAATGCGAACGCACCGTTAATGTGACAAAGTATTTAAGTTAATTAAAAATAGTTAACTGGTAAATTCAAATATTAAGACCGCTGCAAAAATGAATTTAATTATTTGCGATATAATTACGAGAAATAAGTTTCTACTTTTTCCACATTATACTTATTAACTTACAACAGACATCCATTCGTCGACAGCCAAAAAAATGTAAAAACACTGAACATTCTGAAGCAACACACGTCGATAATTTGGTCATTTTTTAATAACACATGTCATAACGTCATATGTATGATTTAACGATTACATAAAAAGTATGTATTGTAACATTTAGTTACGGCCAATGAATAGAACAAACATACCATGAATACTACACACGAGATATAACTCAAAAAGTACGGATTTTAACGAACAATTTGTCTTACTAAAATTTTTAGTTTTGCAGAGAAAATTGTTTTGGTAAACAAATTAAACAATATTTTTAATTATTGGGAGTTTTTTTATACGTCTATTATTGAAATCTAAAAGTCTCGAATAAACAACTTTTGACTGGACTAGTATTTTTCGAACAAAATGTATTAGTATTTTATAATTGGACAACTGGTATATTGTGACGTGTACTACTGATATTTTTTTTATACTTGAATTACAAAATCAATATAAACTGTAAACTTTAAAGTACAATAATAAAAACTATTTATGTACATAATAAAATGGTTAGGAAACGGGGTTGAAACAAAATAACGTCAGTAAAGCTAACCTAAAGTTAAGGATCTTCTTCTTGATTTTACAATGATGCGTCTTTTATCCCGTAAACGCTTTTTGCACTATTGGCGTAATCCAATTCCCCTACTCACACCACAAAGTACATGAACAACCACAGAATTTGTCTTTGCTATTTGAGAAAAGTGTATTTAAATAATTTACGGTAGAACTAGAAGCCATAGACAGAACATAGAAGAATACAATCACGGATAACAAAACAATTCGTAACCACCTATATTGTTTTTGAAATAGTATTATTCATACACAATAAACAAATTAGTAAACGATAACTAAGGTATACAGTCACAATCTATTTTAAATGCGTTATTTTACATCAAATATCGACGACCCAGTTAAAAACAGTTCTAACATACACAATTTAAATACAATACAATTACTTTTTTGGTGGTAGATTTCATATCAATGTACAACTATCAAAATGTTACAATAAACTTTATTTTATTTTTTTATTATCGTGATAATAATTTTTTTTTCTAGTTAACGCATACCATCGCGCTTCATTCTATTCAGTTAATACAGATATTAACTTTAGGTAAAACTACTAGTAGTTCTAACTAGTAGGCCGTATCATAAAAGTTGAATTAGGTTATAGGTACTAAAATGTCAAAAGTAGAAAATCTGGTTGAACTGTCTGCATTTTCTGTGAAGCGAAAAACGTAACAAATACATAATTGTTGAATAACTAAAACCAATAACTTATAAATATTTTGCAGATAAAATGTGTATTTATTAACCATTATAGGTATCGGTGTCAATTCTAAACCTATCATAAGGCAGTATATTAGCAGTAAATTTGTTTTTATGATTATTATACCCTTTGGGGGGTGTACTTGCATGTGAGCGTTATTGTGCTCCGAGACTCAGAATAATGTTCCTTTTTACATCTATCTTCAAATGATAAATTGAAAATCGATTAACCCGTGAGGCTCGAGGTTTGTCTCTAGAAATATTATTTTCAAACTAAAAAAAACCAACGACAAAAAAGACCAAGCAGAATCGGTTGGTCCGAAAGCTGTCATGAAGGTTTATCTTCGTTGATAAACGAGTACAAATAATATTACTTTTTATGTCGATCTATGACAAATAAAGAGTTGTTCGTGTGAGCTTTAACAGTCCAGAATCTTTTAATTTGATTTTCTCTTTAAATCTCAGCTGACGCTGATTTCTTATTACAATACAAAACAACAAACGCTTTGTATAAATAGAACTATATATTTTTATAAATCATTTCACTCGTCTTATAAGCAAAGACCACGGATATTTTATACAACTAAAACACTGCAATTTGTAGAAATCACTGGGTTTGATAGACAACTTTTATGTCAACGTTGTTCGTTCTGTACACGTTGTAAATACGTATATAATTGTAAAATATGTGTACCAATTACCAAAGTAATTAGTGTAACGTGCTGGAAATTGTATTTTTATTTTAATAAATTTTAATTTTTACAATCTTATAAGACAATCTACAAATTTACAAACAACAAACATTGTAATATCAATCAGCTGTTCATAATAAAATTAACTCGAAAAACTGTGTATTTAATTAATGCACTTTTGAATATTGTTTAAAATAAATAATAATAACAATAGAAAATTGTTTCTTACTAGTTCTTGTACTTAAAACTTTCGATAATGACTTAGTAGATCTTAAAAAAAAATTTCAGTTTCTCATTTTTTTTATTGTTATTTGATCCTTATTCATATAAGGGATATAATATTAATTATTGTTTATTTAAAATAATATAAAATTAAAATTAAGCGAGTTATCCATACAAATTTGTAATTTTGGATAAAGTGATAGAGCATACTTATGCACAGTTTAAACTATACTTACAAACGATTTTAGAGTTAAGGAAAAATGATATAAAACTGTGATGACAATAATGCAGGTGTAACAAAATAAGTGTTAGTATAAATAAGGTTAAAAAATAAAAATACTAAGACATTTTTAGAAACGTTAAAAGGAAGCAATATAAACAAAGGTTAAGTATTATGTGACATAAAATTTAAAAACCAAAAGAACCAATGGTAGTATATTGAAGGTGGGAATCCAGAAAGTTGCTAAATCCCAAAGAGCTTTCTCCTCCTCATCCCCTATGTTTTTTGAAATACAAATATTTTAACAAAAATGTGCCATTTAGAGTAAAAAATAGGTGTTAAAAATAAAAAATAAATATTCATAACTTTCACAATATACATTACTACTTCCCAACAGTGACCATAGAGGTTTCGCTCAGTTATTATAATTTTTTTTACTTTAAATTTATGATAATGGTACTTTAAATGTTCGAAGAAAAGTTCTCAAAAGTTTATACAATTTTAATAATAATAACATTCATTTAAACTTTTTTTAATGTTATGTAAACAACTTTGGTGTCACTTAAATTGCTAAAAGTTTTTTTTATAATAAAAAATGTATTATTTATAGGTATTGATAATATAGAATATCGCAATATAAATTATCAATGTATCATAAAGGTGTTAGTAAACTCTATAAATATTAATGAAATGAAATAAATACTCAATGGATATATTATTAAAAAAACTTTAATGCTTTAAACTTGTAACTGCCATAAGGTAAAAATACATATTTTATATTACATTTTAATCATTGATTATAGCGAATTCATAATTATATGGAATTATCTAATTAAGGCTGAAAAACACTTTTAAAGTTTTGAAATAATTAAAACAAATGTACATCGAAAACTTCTTTGAATTTAATGTTTTGTAAAACAGTTATTTTCTAAATACTCAAATAAACAAATATATTGATAAATACACTTAGAAGGACAATTAACATTTCGCACATAAATATAATTATTCTAATATAATAATAAATAATTTTGTTCCGAGTGTGGTGCAGGTGTAATAATATGGTATCAACAAAAAAAAACATTAAATACTAGAATGTTAAAGTAATTCAATATTAACTTATTAATAATTAATCATTTTTCAAATTAAAACTATCCCGGTCACTCCATAATTGTTTACAATTTGGATATAATAGCATCAAATACTGAAACCTTAAAAAAAAAAAAAATAATAATGCCTATAATGTATTAAGCACTTATATGATACCTACATTATCATTGTAAATCAGTTTTAAGGCAATATCTTATCAGATTGATAGACACGCACATAGACTTATAGTAATTTATAACAGTACGAAATCGTAAACTACTTAAGTGTAACTCGAATATAACAACACACGTTGTTGAATAAGTAATAGTCTAGAGTGGAGTAGTTACTCATTTACTCGTTACTCTAACACAATTAGATTTTATTGTCAGTAATGTGACGGGTTTACTTAGTTTAAATTTAAAATCTAATAACGCATTTTTAACTAAATTAGATTTTTATTAAGTTATTGCACATGGACATGTGTTATTATAAATCATTTTAGTTTATTCAACTTCATAACAGACAATTATTTAAGTACATTTTTCAGTAAAAATGTAACTACAAGTTCAAATAAAAGAGGTATAATATGCACTTAACTTTTAAGACAATAAAATGTGTAGTTAAATTCGCAGTACGAGTATATAACGCAATATAATTTGATTAAAGGAGTGACTAGAAACTAAGATTTATTAAGGGGAAGGAATATTTTAAGGACGTATGGTTATTTATTCAAAATTATATTAAAATATTAAAGAAACGGTTTAACTAAGACTAAAAAAAATAATAATAATAGTTTTGCATAAAACTTCAACTATCATCTTTGAAGATCTATATTCTTTGTTGTTCTTTAGTAAATTTGTTGTTATGTTTTTATATGTTCATATTATACTCCTTGCGTAATGTGTTAGTGCATATTAGATAGCCAATGTATATTACTATCGTCTATCGGTTACCTAAATTGTATTACATCAATAAAATGGGAAATCAATCTTATATGTATGATTGTAATAAACTCAGCTTTTCTCTTTTTTTTAACTTACTTAAAACCACTTAAAACAATTTAAGAAACCTAGTCAGAAAATTTAATGTAATTAAATCGATACCTTTTACTGCTGGCAACGGAAAAGTTATTAAGTTGCTTAACGTGATTAAATTTTTAAAATAACTTCCCCAACACTGATCTAAACGATAAACCAGCAAGTACTACCTAGTACTAGTTGGTATATAATAATTTTAACGGGTTTTATGTAGATTGATATTGTAATAACATTTGGATGTAAAAGAGGCACTCTCAATTTTGGATAAAAAAATAGTTCCAATTCTCATTATATTAAACGCTTTTACATCCTTTAGCTTGTCCTAATATTTACTGTTATACGTATTTTTTTTTAGTAAAAGTATTTTACAAATTATATTTAATCGATTTGTTTACTTACCTGAAACAAGAAGAGGGTATCCTTAAGTACGCTATTTTATGGTACACAAACGACGGACACGCGGAAATAAATTACCGAATTAAATAACAATAATAACGACGGACAACGAAACTAAAACAAAAAATCGACGCGAATCAATCGATCGAGATCATCAATTATTTGTTCTGTCAAAAAAAAAAATCGAGGAAACTATGACAATACCACACACTATCATTGGGGCATGAATAATCCCGGCGCTTTTGGACGGCTTGATCGACCTGAACATGGCACGACCTATGACTTAACAGTACAACTTTATTGCGTACATATTTTTTTCTTTATTTGACCAATAAAGAAAAAATGATTTCCCGTACGAATGAATGTCAGGCCGGACGATGTTCGGACCCCCGAAGGACCGTGACGACGTGGAGCGACTGAAAAATCCTCGCGGCTCAGAACGCCGAGTGCCCGATGGCAGTGGCTTTAACACTGATGTTAGACAGAGACGGACAGATAGAGCGACGTCGAGGGGACCGCCAACTTAAGGTCGGCGCATGCCATCCACCCTCGGGATCCACAGGTGCTTTTGCCAAACACGTTTTGAAAGAACTTACACAGAACGTGGTGCGAGTGGGTTAAAAATGACCAATATAAGTTTTTTATGTTCAGTAATTATAGTTGTAACAAATTTAAAATCTATGTAATTGAAAATATCGGATTTCTTCGATTATTTACTTAATTTCAATAATTATTGAATGGCATAATAGTACACATATTTGTGCTCGTTTGTCTATAATTTACCGAAACGATTAAAATCCACACTATAATTTTAAACAATTAAAGTAAGTTATTGTGTGATATAAATCATTATTTTTTTCTGATTTATACGTTAGTTACTTTTTGAAATATTTTGTCGACAAAATAAAATATGAGTTTGATGGATACTATTTCTATTACGATACCTAAATATACATTGTATTATTATTTGTAAATTATAACATAGCTTTGTTTACTTTATCTAAAACTTTAGTGTCCATGTTCATCCATTGCATGCTGATGGTAATATATTGTAAAGCTTGTCACCACTAACATCTATCCCCAAATAATATTTAATACTTTTGTACAATCTTAAACCTTGTAGTTATAACTTTGGGTATTAGTAATACCGGTACGATTCCAGTGTCAGCCGAGATGATCGAGTGTTGCGAAAGATGTAACTAATAATACGAGTACCATATGACTAATCTTGCGATGTACGTTTGTAATTACAGCAATCGTTAATTCGTTGTACAATTTATTAGTTCTCGATTACCACAAAAATATATTTTAATAAACGGATTGATTTTTTGAAAAACGAATAAATCTTGAATCGAGTTGGAGAATAAGATTATAGAGAAGAAAGGAGACCAAAAAATCGTAATCTATTTGACTGAGAGTGCATGATAATAATTATAATTAACAATTAATGCACAAAACCATAGACAATTTTTTATTAAACATACGGAATGAAGGTAATTGTTCATTAACATAAAATCTGTACCACAGAGGTCAAGTATCGTACGTCCAAATTAAAAAAAAAAAAATGAGACGTTCAAAATCAAAATATTCATTTAATGCTATTTTTAGAGGTATTTAAACTTATGTCCAGTGTTCCTTAAATGCATAGATAGCAAATGGAATATTATCGTAAGTCCATTTATGACAGTTTTTTAATTTATTTTTGTTTTGTCTCCCTTGTAAAATTTGCTCTTTGTAACTTGCGTTATTTGACCTCTGTGGTACAGAAAAAATGTAAAATTTTAAAAATCTGATTATTAAATTTGATATCATAACTTAAAAATAGCAAATATAGACAGTAGCTTTTGGCAATATTTTGAATTCATTTCCATTATTTGACTGTTTGGGATAGGTATAACATAGATAATCATCTATACATAATATCCCAACAAAATATACTCTGGTCTATGGTATACATTAACAAAAACTACCGTGAATCCGTAAATCACAACGTTAACGTTACCCAATAAATTTAATTTGTCCGACGGTTATCTGTACGGTCCGTGAGCGAAGAAAATTTCTTAATTTCATTGTGATTTTTTGTTTTTATCAAATTTCCAAAAGCATTGCGGGACACTGAGTCCACGCAAGTATATTAATATAATTAGGTGTAGTAGATAATATAATAATACAAATTTGTACAGCTTTAATCAAACATAGTGCACTATTATATTGGTAGATAAACCGTCGCCTGTATATTATAATCTATCGCCTACACCTAACATTTGTCTCGTCGGGTCCGTAACCGAAATCGAAGGCATCTTTGGAGCGAAAATACGAACAATTGCAAAAGTGTGATAATCGGCGAAAATCAGCAGGCAAAGCAAATGGTCGTTCTGGAGATGAAAACGCGAAATCAGATTTAAAGGCCGGTTGACTTGCTCTGTTTAGAAATGCCGGTCTATTTGGAGAAAGGAGCGCGGGCATTACCCCTCGCCCCTCTATCTACGGTTCTCCAGAGAGCTGCGGGAGTATATAGTAGCACCAGAAATTAGTAAATGGGGGGAGTGGTCCAAGTAAACTCTTAAAACTAAATAATAGGACAGAGAAAGAAAAAGTGAGACGGAGAGCTGGGAAAAATAAGTAAAGATATCGAAAGAAAAAGTGATCCTACCTATATTATCAGCGGCATTGAATGTCTTAAGGACGGTCCTTAACGTGCGCCAAGAGAGCATTTAGCGTTGTATTATGTCGTCGAGGGAATATGGCTGTTTTGCGCCTTTGTGACACTAACGCGAGAGAGTATTGTTTATTTTTCAAATGCAATTTAACGATCCTTATCCGTCTTTTTATCAGATCTTGGCATTGAGTTAAGCCGTTTTATGGTATTTGCTTACTTATATCTTCTTCGTTTGCTGCTAGGTCAGCTATGGACTACCATGACCGTATTCAGGGAGGGGGTCCGGGTTCAACCCCCCCCCCCTCGAAGTTTCATCGAAAAATATTTGTATTACATTTCATTTATGTCTTTTTTCCATTTTTTTTTTTTTTAATTATTCCTGATGATGTAAAAAAAAGAAAAATATTTTGATGTAAGTTTTCTTTTAACTTTAAAGTCTAAAATAGAATTAAATAATAATAAATACGTGATATTATCGTTATCGCCTGCTTGGCTTGTGGATACGCCAATGAATTTTAGTTTTTTTCGAATTTCGTTGGTGTACCTTATTGGAAGACGTCAATAATGACTGGGTAATAATGTTTACATTCATATATAGAATCGATTCAACTTTGTATATGAATAAAAGCACGAGTCGTGTCGATAATAAAACTATTATATATATATATATACATACAAATAGAATTTATAGTGTACTCAAACTGTATTACATTTTTGGATTTGTACCCAGAATAACGAAATATTATATATACATACACAAAAATAATAGTCATTATAAGCGTGATTGTTCAATTGTTGCACATAAAAAACAAAAAATATTAGATTTACTAATATTGTTACTACATTATTATAAAATAATTTGTTGGGTTTTCTCTCACGTAAACGATTATTTACTAAATAACAATTTAAATGGTATTGTTGTTTCTCAAAATTCACCCTCGAGACGAACTCAAAAAATCTACCCTTTTTCAATATATATTTTAATGTCTGAACTATATCTGTATGCATTATATCATCAGTTGTCACCTATAAAGCCTTGGTAGTTGGAACGTACCCAAGAAATGCTTTGGAAAATGCCACTAAGCCATTTCCATTTTTGAAAACAGCAATATAAAATTTACTAAACAATGTCTTAATTTCCTAGTGTGTTAATAGAGTAAGAGTTAATCAACAACAATAATTTACATAATCTAATAATTTCAAAACTAAACTACACGCCAACTATTTATGGCTGTTCTCATCAGTCACCAGATAAGCTTAAAAACTAGTATATAGATTAACATTATAAATTGTAGATTAAAATCTACTTTCTAAATGTTAAGCTTCTGTCAAAATTTACGAGAACGTCATGTCTCGTGAGTTAACGAAGGTGAATAAAAATAAATGTAGTCAATACATAAAGGAAATCCAAAGAAAACATCTGTCATTTTCTCGTCTTCAACAAAAAAAAAATGTTTAAAAAGATACCTTTTCGTTGGCCCCAAATCAAAGTATATCGTTGTCACTTTGTTAGCTACTTTCAGCTACCGTCATCGGTTCACTCTGAGAAACGCAAAGAATCAAAGCCTATAAAATGGCTTGTTATGGAAAAGGGGGACTACTGTAACCTTTTCTCCTATTTGTTTGATTGATGCGTTTCCCGCATAAAATGCAATGTCATTTCCTATGTACCTGAATACCTGATCAGGTCTCTCAACGGAATGCTTGCACTGCTCATGCTACACATTATTGTATTAAAAGGGCCTCTGTGCATTTATTAAGGCGCATTGTTTGGCAATTTTTCAACAAAACTTAACGCAAAGCTAAAATGTGTAAACTTATATATTACACAGCAAAGAGGTGTCTATTTTGATACTGTTTTAACGTATACAGACCCTTTTTTTAAAAAAAAAAAAAACAAATGTTTTTACTTTGATCAGTTCCTAAAACTACTCGGATTTAAGTTTTGAAAAACTATTGAATTCTTCGTGACATTCACAAGGCATTGTTCGTGACACAAATTATTTTTAGTTAATCACAATCACTATGTAGAAAATTGCAATTTTGAAAGATTTTTTGATAATTTTCAAAATAAAATTGAAAATTAAAAATGTACTTCGATCATCAAGCAAGTATTGATAAACCTACATTAGTTTCAAAATCATTGTTGGATTACACGTTTTATAATAGGGTAAAACTTAAAATGAGTTGTTTTTTGACAAAAAATATGTCAGCAGGCCCTTTTAAACAGAGATACCACAAAAACCCTTCAGGCTTTAATCATAGGCGCAAATACGGGGGACCCCCAAAAAAAATTAGGTTATGCAAACAATTTTAAAATAAAAAAATATATTTACTTAAATGTATATTTAAAAAAAATGTCCAGCCCCCTGAGTTAAAAATTGAAATTGCGCCTATGGCTTTAATAGGTCTCAATGGGGCTGCCAATAAACCTACACTCAATGTAGATCAATAAAAATAATCTTTATTTATACAAGTGAAAGTAAACCTGGGCAATTTGTTATTCAAATAACTAATCGTTATAGTTAGGGTAACGAAAATCGTTATTTATAAAGAGGAAATAATAGAAGCAATACTTGTCAAAAATTGATCTAGTAGCCATTTTAAATATGCTGACTAATTTTAAGATTAAAAAATATTAAGGTTTTTTAGTTATAAGACTTATAAAGTTAATTTTATTCAGTATAATTACAAAGTTATTTTTAAACAACACAATTAAAAACATATACCCACCATAAAAAAATCATAAATATTTTTAATCACTGATCACAAAACATTCTATAATTTTTAATAAATACTAAATAGTCTTCTTAATCATTCTTAATTGTAAGATACTTATATAATATTTTTATTTATTACAGGATATTAATTTACATTTTTTCTACTGATCTAACTTGATTACTTTAAATAAATTACTTTTATTGTGGCGTACCAGTCAAAATAGTTCCATTAAAAACCATTTTGGTTAAGTACGCCTCAGAATTACTATGGTCATTTTAAAGTTTTCCAAAAATACAAAACTTGAAATTTTCATCTGTACACAATTTGTTTTATCTATGTACACACATTTCAAAGATGTTTTTATATACTAGAAATATGAGTTATTCGATTACAGTTCTTACACTAGAACACTTAACACGTTTTTTCTAGTTTGTACTGTTTCAACAACTGTTTCAGTAAAGTATAATTCGGTTCCTGGGCAGGTTTCAAGTTGTATATTTGTTTCATGGCTTTATAGTAACCTGCAAACAATTTAAAAAAACCATTATGAACACAAAACAATTAAATTAAAGTGGTATTAACAATGTTTTAAATACAACTACATTAGAGAATTGAACACTAATTTGTATTTAATAACACTACAGTTGAATGTTGATATTTTGGTTTTAAAACAAACTATATTAAGTAATATTTATTAATACCACAAGTTAAAATTTTTATTTTTTACATACAATTTTAATACATGCTCTGTAGTTTTATTGTTCTTTATTAAATGTTTACTATTTTTAATTTCTAAAGAATTCCTAGCTTAAGATTTACTTAAAACTAAGTGATTAGCTTTTATTTGTAAAACAATTTTTTTTTTTTTTAATAAGGCATAACCCTTATGACAAAAACTGTTTTTAACCCGTTTAGATCAGTAATCTGAAATTTTCATTTGGGTTTTTTATGCCCGTTTTTAATAAGTTTTGAATTTTTAGTCGTTATAATGCACATTTGATTTTTAGTGACATTTGAGACTAATGCTGTTAATTTTTTTACATAAAAATAACTTTTTTATTATTTTTTAATTTTTATTATAACAAGTTTGAAATAAATTTATTTAAAAAAAAAAGCTTTGTTTATCACACAGAATGCTGAAGCCTAGTAGACGCCAACCCTAACGACAAATAATCCTGTTTTTTCGTGTGTTGTCTAGACTTTCATCTTGCATTCATTATACATGTCTTGTATGAGGTTTATACATTTCAACAAAATATTTTTTCATTATATGCCTTGTCTAGATCCACAAATACCATACGTCAACAAGTCTTATTGCAAACAGTGTAACCGAAGTACTTCTTCTAGGATTGAACCAAAATGTTTTGTGGTCACATTTAATTTTGTATCCTTTTATTATCAAGTATTCTTTTCCATAATTTATAGTGTCTTGTTATTTTTATGGGCCTATAATTCTCGTGACCTTGTGCATCTCCTTTACATTTATACATAGGTACCACTAAACTATTTCTTCTTTCAACCGGCATATACCCACCTTTTATGATATTGTTAAATATTAGTGTAAGCAGTTTCAATGCTTCTCCTTCCAATAGATTTTAGGCCTCGAATCGAGTGTTTGGTTTTTTATTATATTATTTCATTTTTAATTTATTTCTACAAAAAAAAATATACAAGTGTGTAACAATATTTATTTGTATTTAAAGTTGCAATTTTTGTAGCCAATACACCAGTTTGGAACATATTCCTGCCGGTTTACATTTGTTACTTCAAAAAAATATATATTGAAGATAATATATTATACTTATTTATAGAATTTACATTAATATTTTAATAATTGTTTTAACATGCATTTTAAAAATATTTTCTAACTCTTTTAGAGATATAATGCATTCTTTTAAATTTTCATGTTTTTGTAATTTTTGGTGTATTTAAATCTGTGCCCCTATTATAAAATATAACAACATAATAGCCACCCATTTAAAAAAATTACTTATACATCAAGTATAAAATCACCACTTACATTTGGGTACTTTGGGAAAATTTAATTTAGACTCTTTTCCCGAAAGAATTATCTCCTTCATCTCAGATTTGGATTTTGTGACTTTAGTAAGACTTTGACCTTTCCACGGCAAACTTAATTTTAACCATTCCAATCCATTATACATTAGACTTTCCAAGTCAGCACGTCTCGTGTGCACTAGACCATAAAAACAAGTTAAAAATTTAAGTTTGTGTTGCCACTCTAAATAAATTCTCATCACATATCCATTTTGAAAAACTTAATGATTTTGCCAAATACTCACTACCAACATGACCGTCTAGCGCTATATAATCTAGGGTACCGTTATTAGCCAACTTTTTATTGGGTACAACATCCTCGGTTTTATACTTAGACACCATGCCGAAATCTCCCAGGTACACGTGATTTTGTTTAGGTTTTTTACCGACAAACACATTTTGACTCTTGATATCCCAATGAACGTACCCACACGAGTGAATGAACTCCAAGGCGTCTATCTGCACATAATAATAAAAAAATTTTAACCCGCTTTGTAAATCTAAAAGTGCCAACACATGTTAATTGAAAGACAATAGCTTACTATTTGTCGTACTATATTGATAACTGCACCTAATAACAAACTGTCTTTGACAGTTTTTAGGAAAGATTCTAAATCTTGATCGAATTTTTCAATAACAATAAATCTATATTTATTGTTATTATACAAAGTGCTACCAAAACCATAAAATTTGGGTATAGGTAATTCTTTTAACTTCTTTTCTTTCTTCCAAACTTTTATATCTAAAAACAAATCAAAATTTCATTTATTTTAAATACTTATAATGTCAAGTAATTAACAAGTAAACATAAACAATTAAATTGTTAATGTTATTAACATTTTTAAATTAGATATATAATAAGGATTAAAGATAAAATATTGGATAAAAATGTATAATGGAATGCAAGAGGTACAATATATACATATTTTAAAAATACAAATACACAAATTGAAAAATAAATATTTCAAACGAATAAAAACTTTAAAAATCTTGAACAAAAATTAACATTTTGGCAGTATGCAAAACTCTTATACTACTTACTTAAATGTCTCAAAAAAAAAAAATTTTTAGAGTTTATGCAACTTTCCTATTACTACTATTATTATATACATTTTTACCATTCTCCTTCATGTTTTTTAAATAAAACATACGTTCGACAAAGAGTGGTCCACTTTCCATGTTTTCCTAAATTCAAAACAAAAAATAAATAAAATATTATTTAAAAATAACAGACTACCTAACAAAATAAAATAAATTAATTCTACAACATTGTTAAGACAAGTAATTTCTAATTAAAATATTAGGTAAAAACATGTACAACTATTTGAAAAAAATGTCTGCACAACATTAAAACAATATATTATAACTACAATCGTTAAGTTAAAAATTTCAATAGAACTTACTGTTTTTATAGCATATTCAGTTTTTAAACGAGTACCGTGACTTGTCCCTAAAGAAAATAAAAGCAATATAATTAACAATAATGTAGTAAAACATGCTACAATAAAAATTGGTTTGTAACTATGATCTTAATTACTCATTATTTCAATGATTTTGTAATACATTTTTTTTATATTTACAAAAAATTATGCTAATAATTCAACAGTTAAACAAGTTATTAAAGTTCTTTAATTTTTTTTCAAACTAATTATTTAAACTGGCTTTCAACAATCAATATTAGCAGTGTACTTCTACAGTTATCATTATTTAGTTACTACAATTTCCTGTACAAAGATTTTTTTATAACCTATGAAACAAGATTTGGTTGAAACTATTTCAATTTTTGAATTTTTCTTTTACATTAAACTGTATCATAAGTCAAAACATATTTTAATAAAACAGTATAGAGACAAAAGTACATCTAAATACTTGACTAACCACAGTAAACATAACCGAATCCTCCGCTGCCAATAATCTTTTGTACTATCCATTCATTGTTACTAGTATCCTTCAAAACGAAACCCTTAGGCAGCTCTTCTTTCGGTGTTGTTTTTAATTTTTTGCTCATATTTCCACTATTTAACCTTAAATAAAAACCAATTAAAGCATAATTTTATTAATAAACGTAAAAATAAATAGCTAAATAAAAATAACTAATTTTTAATTTTAGTATAGGTGAAACCTATACATATGTTTCCAACCAGCAAAACCACACAGATTTCTATATGATCAGGTAGATGAGCGGTCATATAAATAAAAATCCGTATGGCTTAAAAAGCAAGATGCTGTAAGGAAAAACCCCCTAGGTGGACCCAGCTCAATATAAATAACTATGATAATAAATATATCCTGTCGCCTAAATACAATCAGACAAATACTACAAAATATAAAGGGATTTTAATAAGATTTTGATTTTAAATTTTACATTAACAAATTTTTATTGGATTCTTTTAAAAGCATGTATTATAGACAAATTTTTTTTTTTTCACTCTCAAAAGGCAGAAAGTACATTAACAATAAAATAGTACATTGATACATATTAAATTTTAAATTAGCTAACAAATGTTTTTACAAATATTAACAAAAACATTTTCACAAGTAACATTTATAAAAAGATATAAAAGAGCAAAAATAATCAAATGAAATGTATGAATAATAATAAAATATTTAAACAATTTTTTTACACAAATGGACAATTTATAACTTGGAAATGTTTATTATAATTTTAATTATTCAACATTCTCGTCATTAACATTCTGTTTATTGGTTCATAGTAGCTATAGTTTTGGCTATGGTGCCTAATGTAAAACAAATGATGACTTTTTAAGTTAAAACTCGAACCACATAATCTTATTTGACTTAATAGATTAGAGCTATCTAAGAACTACTAAGAAGATCATAGATAAATTTGATAACAAAATATTTTGTCGATCAACTAATGTTTGAAGGTTCAGTGTTTGAAGCATCTTTTTAATTAATTTTTGAAACCCCATGTTCGGTAAATTAATTTTTTGCCTTTAAAACCTAATCTGTCTGGTTTTTATTGTCAACTACTTAAAATTCAGTTATTTATTTATTACACTACCATCAAAATTAAACACAATATAATAACTGAGCAGAGTCAGTGCCATGCTAACTGTAATTTACGCTCTAGGATAATCATATTTGGCGCCCATATTTAACATATTGTTTAACTGAATTGCAACCAGAATGCTGTTACATATTTAATACAATACAATAGAATGTATCAAGTAAAATTGTTACACCAAACATAATATTATATTCAAATATGGATTAAAGCATACATAATTTCAGAAACCAGGATAGACGATAGTCATTATACTCAGGCTGACATAATAAAAATACTTACAAATGAGATAAAAAAAATACCAAAACTATATTTGACTCTTTTAAAAACGCGTTCAGCGTTCTAAGCAAACATTACGACACCGGACACAGAAGACGTTATTATTTGTATTATCAACTTTGTAATTTAAATTAGAAGGCCGTTCGCTCTTACCGTTATCATTTTTATCAATTATTTTATCAATTTAGTCGATATCGGTTCCTCCGGTCCTACCAACCTATCAAAAAATAAACCATCAACATTTTTTGTTACCAAAATATTGGATAGAATAAAAGAATACACAGTTTATATGAATATTTTCAAACTTGAGAGGATTGCATGCCGTTTTTTTGACAAAAAGCCAGACAAAATGTGGACTACTTAGGAAGTTAGGATGGTCCGATTTAAATTCTGTAAAGACATACGAATTTTTTGACAACTGTACAAGATTATGAAGAAAATAGATTTTTGTTTTTTTTTGTAAAATAATTGGGTTTCAATAGAGAAAAAATTGCAAATTTTATTTATTTAATTACAAGAAACATAAATGTTTAAATGAAAATCGGCTTCCTAGATAACATAGAAAGGTAGCCAAAGAATCTCTTTACAGAATTGAAATTGGCCCATCATATGTAGTCAACATTTGGTCTAAGATAAATCAAATCAGCTTTCTCATAGAAAAAAATGATTTAAATTAAAAAAATACTATGAATCTTATACAAATTAACCAGTCTATTAAATGACATGGTCGAAATTTATTAAAACCTTTTTTTTTTAATATTGCCTATACAAAACTCCTTAAAAACAGACTGCGTGCATTCCCTTAATATAATATGTAATACTAATTTGATACTCAATTCAACAATTTTATATTTTTATTGTTTTTAATGGAAGGTATAATGTTACAATTCATATAGGAAGATCGATTAATATTGAACAGATATTGTTTTTAAAGTCAAACTGTTTTCACACAAAGCTAAAAATAATATTATCAGACAACCAACAATAAATAACAACTCTCAATTCCAAACAAAATTCTATTTTATTTTTTGTAATAATTGTAATATATTCAGTCATACAACAAGTATATAATATATTTATAACATTCCAATTAATAAAATTTTAGTTCTCATCAATATTTCTCTTTACATTAAAAAAAAAATTATTATAGTATAAATACAATAATATTATGTTATAAAAATAATTTTATATGATTGAAACTTCCAGCATATAAAAATTTCAACAATATTTCACGTCTTTTTCATTAATAATTAATAAATTATTTAATTCAGAAAAAGTTACACTTAAAATTGAAATTAATCAATAAAGTTCTGCAAAAAAAAATGTTTCAACTTTTAAGTACTCAGTAAAATATGTTACTCGCAAGACCCAGCTACATACAATACATAGAATTTTTTATCAATTATATATATTTATACGTTAACGAAAAATTGAATTGCGTAAGTAACAGTATTAGATGATAACTACAAGAATATTTCATGTTCCAACATACATATTTGATGTATCGAAACATTAAACCATACAACCAAAATGAGCCTCAAGTCAACTCATAGGTAGTTTAATGACACATTTAAGATTACATAAGTTTCTTTATTACAGGAACAAAATTGAATTATATTTATACTTGTCGAAACATTCTCAAGCAACAGAAACAAATTTTGTTAGCTATGTATTTTATGTTTATATAGGTTGGAAGATGAGATGCGATTCTTGGTTCATGAAAACAAGGTTAAGCTTGGAGCTCAAACCGACATTGTCAATGTACAAGAGTTTCGACTCGTTTTGTTTTGGATATTTCACTACAACTGCAGTACCAGATACCCTAAGTGCATGCGACTCTTCATCGATTACATTACCCTTCAATACAACATGGCAAGTAACATCAATATGAATGTATTTAGTTACAGTTGCTCCCAGTTTTCCCTTTACCTGAAATAATTGATTCATTAATTTTAGTATGACTATTTAATTGGTAAGTTATTCATCTCCTTACGATGCATTGCTGATCTTCAACTTGTGGATTATCACTACGGAACACAGTGGCTTGGCCAATTTTCAAAGTACCGTCCATTATATCAAATTTCATCCCGCAAAAGACAGCTTGTGGCTCGAACCCATAACCATCCGGATAGGAATCACTCCAAAAGTAATTGGTGTTGTTGTTTAAGCTATGCCTATTAGGCTTGAAGGTAATACGTTTACCGTACCCCATACCAATGCTAATCAACTGTAAAGCGTTGCCATCAAACAAATGATGCTTAAGTCCCGCTGGCCGTACTTTATAATGGAATCCTGGGATGATTCTAGGATCAACATATGTACCTGTAACAAAACAAGATTATTGTAAACTAAACGCAGGGAGTCAAATCGTTCAAAAAACCAGGCTAAAACAAGGTTTATTATCTGAAAAAAAAAATTATTTGCAAATCAATTTTTTATTTGTTATCTTTTATTTATTTTTTTTTAGTATTTTAAATATGCTTGTGTATTGATAATAGATAAATATAAAAGTTATCTAAAATGAAACAAATAATTAAGATAACTTTTTTTTTACTTTTTACATAGTTTTTGACAAAATATTTACAATCTATACAATAATTAAATTAGTTAGCTAAAAAGAAAGAAAAACAGACAGTGAATAGGGAATAACACAGTTAAGACACCTAATAAGATAAAAAAAAAAACAATAATTTTAGTTGTTCTTGAGAAGATTCTTGGGAGAGTTTTTGATGCAAGTTAGGAGACTAGTTTATTTTCATGTGACTCTAATCTGGAGTAAAATTGTTGGTAATAGATTGCTGCAGTTTTAGTGATTGTGGTATCTTGAGGTCGGAATGAAGCGAAACATTTTGAACATACTTTGTTGTGATTATCCTAAAGCATATGGATTGGAAGACCCAACATTTTTTGGTGTTGGTTTTTACTGATCCCCAGATAATAATACCATAGGTCTGTATTGACTTCATAACGGTATTGTAAAGAAGAAGCTTGTTGGTATTTTTTAATGTAGAAGAGGTCGAAGCATATTTATTTGATAGTTGAGTGATTTGCGCTTTTCATTTAAGTGTGGTGACCGGTTAGGCGCTATCAATTATTAAGCCTAAATATTAGATTTGAGAGGATTGGAGAATGAGAGTTCCATTTAAGAACAGAGGAGGACAGGCCAAAGAGCATAGTGTAAATGTGACGTGAGCTGCATTACTTTCGTTTATTTTTATTTTTTATTTATTTATTTAAGAAATATGAATAATTAATTAGTAATAATATAAGATAATTGTTATCTATAAATAACAATTAAATAAATTGTTTTTATCTGTAGAGATATTTCACGGATAAATGTTATGTATTGTTAATGAATAAATACTTTGTGTCAAAATATATATCATTTAAAACTGATTATGACACATTTTTAAACTTACCTATTACCGGAAGCTCATATGGTTCCAAACCAGTGATTGTATAAACAGTTGGTGCGTCACCAATGGAGCATCCATTTAACACCAATTGTCTTTGTTTATTATCAACTCCTGGTTTTAAAGTATAACCACGGGACGGAATTAAACCAATAGAAGCATCTATAATTTTGACAAGCTTTGCTGAACCACGAGACGATTTCAAAGCTACTGCAATGCCAGTAACCTTTAATCGAAAACAAAAAAATTATTACTGAAATATTTCTGATGCATTCAAATTAACAAAAAATATTAAAAATAATACAAATTTAAATTGCATTATACTGTAAAAATTAACATAAAGAAGACGACAGTAGAATTTTCTATTAAAATACTAGATGTTTTTGTTCTCATTTTTACAAAGCTTTATAATTTATATACTTACTGGTGTTATTAAAGCAGAATCTTCTTTATAAAACCAATCCACTTTGCACAGCATGTTCACTTCTACCTTCTTTCTAACTTCGCCATTCTCAGTTAATTCATGAATTATTTCCTTTTGAGCGCCCTAAGAACATCATTTTTTTATAAAAAATTGAATAACTTTGTTTGAAAACTTAAAACAATCCAATGTCCACTGTTACCACTAATAAAAAAAATATTTATAAGTATGTTTTAAACCTTACCGGAATTTTAGTCACTTCGAGAGTGGCAACAGCAACATTGTTCGCATCATAGACGGTATAGTTGTCTCCAACAGACACAACATGCACTTGGAATGCATAGCCTGATGGCATGGAATCTGTCCAAAAATAATTATCATTATCATTTAACAACCCGGGACTTGCCTCAAATGTCAAACGCCTTGAGTAACCACGGCCGATGCTCATAAGTTCTAATGCCCGGTTATCAAACAAAAATCGCGTGCGCTAAATAATAAATTATTATTATATTTATTATAAGTAATTGTTAAAAATCTTTGTATCGCATGTATCAGTTAACAAATACCTCTTTATCTTGATCGATAGGTCGAACTTTGTACTTGAAACCAGGCACAATGTTGGGATGTATCCACACACCAACAGCTGCAAACTCATATGGTTGCAATAACGGAACGGTGTACTTGGCGGGAAAATCATTGAGCTCGGCCCCATCCAAACTAATCACACAAATTTCTTCAAAGTTCTTTGGGGAACTGTTACAAATTGCAGACTTTAAGGTGTTAAACACAGACACAGACTTTTCTGAATCTGAAGAGTCAGCCAGCTCCTAAAAAACATTGTAAAAAAAAAATGGAATTACAACAAAGTAATATACATATATATATATACATAAAAAATAAAATGTAAAAAAGCTACTTTTTGATAATTAAATTTTGTAATCTACAATAAAAATAAAATTTGTAATCCTTGTAATAAAAAAAAAAAAGGACAAACATTTTTTTAAAATGGTAATAGTTGGGAACTTCTATTCTCTTTTTTTAAGTTTTATCAGAAATAGTATTTTATTATTATTTATTTTATTAGCTCCACGATAGCGCGTTAATACTTGTGGCAGAAAAACAAGTGTTCTTGATAGACTTAAGTGAAGCAGTCGAAGCAGCAGACAGGAGCAGCAACATTGAAGTCGTTCCGTGTTTCCAGCACAACGATGCGATCGTCAATTGTAACCAGTAGCAGTGCAACACCGCAGGAACTGTCACTCGAGTTTCAGTCTTCTTAAAATCTATCAAACACACTTGTCATTCTACCAACATTCAATGCGTGCTGTATATATATATATATATATATAGGAGAACAATATTAGTGAGATTTTTTTTAATTTTTCTATATTTTTGAATGAAGAAAAAATATTACAATACCCTTAAGTCTTATCAAACATCTGAATAACAAACTTCAATAGAAATAAAAAATTAAATATAGTCTATATGAGTTATAAATTTTAATAAAATAAAATCTAGCATATTAATCATTACGGGTATTATTATATTTGTTTTTATTTCTTTAAGAATTTAAGAATATACACTTAAAACTTTGGGAAAAAAAATCAACATATTATTTATTCTATTAATATTTTATCTCCTTCTTAATCCATCTAATATTCAAATAAATATTCTCTTATTAATTGGAGACTGTTGTATGAGATATTAAAATTAAATTCCAGTTTAAATCGTTTAAAACAATTTATTTTGTTATATAGCTGAATAAATTTGGTAGTTCCAATCATATGAATGATAATAATACAATTCAATGTCAGTTCGAATTTATATGATAATACAACAATTTGTTAACTCAACAAATTGCTCAAATAAAACAACAAAATCTGTAAAATACCCATTTACTTATTACAAATTTACATGAATATTACTCTAATATAATATAAAAATATACATATATATATTGATAAAAAAGCAATATGCATAGTTATTTATTTAGTTATGACTAAACAGGAAATAATACATACACTTGCCTAAACAACATAAAACCAAACAGAAATGTATACATTTTTTTTCCATATGCTATACATAGTATCAGAAATTGTAATGTACACTTGAATAAATAAACCACCTTAGGCTTTAAATGAAACAATCCATATAATAGCATGTAATGTCATAGGAAATCATAAATATAATAGAGTATTGAAAATTAGAAATTAAAAAAAATGTTTGTACATACAAATATTAATAGGTGTATAGGCAATATTTAAATGAAGTGATAAATAGGTTTATCTGAATTAATTTTGAAAACTCAAAGACTTCCACTGAAAATGTATTTGCTTGTTGATACTTGCTGAGTTTTTATATCATTATTATAGTCGTACATTTTTTTTACTTAAAATCATTGTGTTCAGTCATGAAAATTTCTTTAAATCTTGTCACATCAGTAAGAAATACTTGTAAAATTGGTTAATTTACTAGATTGCAATATTTTTAAAGAGTGTAATTCACTTTAAAGTCATAAAAATGGTTTTGCTATTTAAAAGCAAAGACTTGAAATAATTAATTAAAATATTTTAATAGCATCCAGGAATAATATTAATTCTTAAGCAGTATTAATTATTGCCTCTAAACACTCTAATTAACCCACTAATCAGGGTTCAAAAATTAAAAAAAAACCTTGATTTCCAATGCCCATAAAACCTGAAAAAACTCTACAGCCCAAAAAAAGGATTCAAAACAAAGCCCTTGTTAAAAGGTCAAATAAAAAAAAGGTTCATTGTAATTTAAAAATCAATATCGAGCTCATTTCTTTAAGTACAACAAATTCACTACAAATCAAGGTATAAAAAAATTTTCAAAATCAGTTTTTTTTTTTATCTAATAGTATTGTGTATTTTTTCGATTTTCCTGATTCATCATAGTAACAATTTTATAATGATTAATAATATTATGTTATCAATTTATGTTACCCTCTCTGGAAAGTGTGTCTAAACGGGTAGTGTTCTGTAACCTACAAAGTTTTTATAAAATATGTATTATTGGTGGTTTTTCTTTTTAGTTAGGATAAAACAATTATCTTTTTTTCATGGTAATACATCATTTGTTTTTTTAGTCGCAACAATAACTCACAAGCAATTTTGTTCTGCTAATATGGAGTCCGTCATGGATAAAATAACCATGCATGTAACTGATGAGTCCTGTAAACAGAATTTACATTGGCGAACATATATGTTTTTCTTGGTTAACAGGCACCGTGTCGATGACAGTTGAATGTAAATCCATACAAATATAAATAATAATAATCTAATACAATAGAGTATACAAATTGTTAATGGATTATGCACATTTTGAGTTATCAATTGAACATTTTGAAATATCATTTTTTTAAATAAAAGTTTACTTTATCAGAGTATTTTTGTCTTTGGTTTCGTTTTTTACTGTAAATTAAATAAAAAATATTATGTAACAAGCGAGCATAATAATTTTGTGATTATACTTAGTTGATTGAAAAAAAAAACTCAAACAAAAAGTTATTTGATTTTTAACTGCACAAGTTCAAGTAGATAACTCAGAAATGTGCATGCCAATACACCGTTAAAATGTCATTTTCTAAGTTTTATATTATGTTCTCAGATTTACTTACAGTTGAATTAATATACTATAGTACTAATAAAGTGTGTGTGTTTTAAGTGTGTTAAACACAAAGTCCACGCACAAACTAACGTAACTTACCAAGAGATAAAAACTTACCGACCCTGAACTCACAAGAACAGGGCTCTGGTAAAAGGAGCTGGTGAATTTCATAATATTATTGTTTTAGCCGTTAGCCCAGAGTAGGTCGGACGAACTTTAAGAAAAACTAATTTCCAACACATTTTACCAAGCTGACAAAATTATTAGGTTTTATATAATATACACCGAAACCCGACCGCACGCTACCACCGAATTGACATGAACACTGGACATGAAGACCGTTTAAATAGGTCCGTGTAATTGAATTGCAGTACATATTAATATTATAGTGCCAGAAGCCCCAGGAAGACACATTGTAGTTGTAATTAATTTGTAAGATAAACAAGTGTTGCAGAAACCTCACTTGGGCTGCATCCAATTATTCTTATTTGTTGAAATAATAATATATTTGTATGGCTTTTATTTTCCCCAATCGAGTTCTATCGAATTTTATCATAAATTATCAACTATAATAACACAGTTTAAAAAATGAAAATTTCAAATTAAACCCTCCGTACTTGTTCAGCGATTTAAATTTGATAAAGTCGTCGTTGGACAAAATTCAGTTTTTATCTTTTATTAAAAAAAAAAATAATAATAACCATAAAGTACACACGTTTTCGTCGACCACTATACATTGTACCTACCAGGTTGAACGAATAAAGATATAATTTGAATAAAGAATACTAACTTTGTCCAGGCAACCACCCGCTTCCTCTTTGGTTTTGATATTTTCCCCGAGTTCTTCATCAGCCGTCTGAAAATATTTTTAAAACAAGAACATAAATTAGATAATAACATCAACGACGCGATAATATCGATATATTATACGAATAGATTAGATGACACCCTACTGTTTATCCCATTAAAAAATGTGCCACCATTTTTGTTAAAAATAACGTCATACTTGTACTCGAGTAACAACACACGAATAACATCTTTTTTTGCGTTGCATAAAGAGCTATTTAAAGATTAAGAATTTACTAGTTGAACTAAATAGTATATTAGACATCCCCGGCGTAGCATTTTCTAGACAACAAACTCTAAAAATTACAAAAATATTGCATTACAGCAGTAAAAAATTTAATTTTTATAAAATAGTGACAACATTTATTTGTATTTTTTGTAAGCCAATTCCATATATTATTAATATTATTTTACACTCGTTTATTTGCAATATATTAGGTCATTTTATAAGGGTTACGAATATTGTTTTACTTTACTAAGTCATTATTACATTTTTAAGTATTTATTTTTTTTTAATCGTATCATAGTTTTTCTAGTTTTCATAGTTATCTTCCAAATTTTGTCCATACAATTTGGGGCTATTATAAATTTAATCATTGGTCCCGAATAAATGTGAATAATCGAAAATAATATTTACTTATGAAAAAAACATTAACGAACCCCTTAAAATAAAACTATAAATAATTGTATAAGTAATTTGATTTTTTTGTATTTGCAATTTTGAGTTGTTGTGAACTGGGACGTCGATAATCCATAATACCAATTTTACAAACGTACCTAATACTACAACCGGCTACAAATACAATGTTCAATATAGCATTGAAGTATACAATACGTCGCTGTCGGTTGAAATTAGGTCCATGGTAAAATTCAGTAGCGTTAAATCCTACATGTCAAGCCAAGGCCAAACTACATTTTAAAAAATACATCAATGACTATTTCAGTTTTTTAATTTAGAACCGATACTTATACAAATTCGACAGAGTAAGTATTAACATTGAAATTCAATATTTCTGTAAAATATACTGAGCTCACGGTTCCGCTACTTAAATTTATTATTTTAAGCGTAATTAGGGAGGGCTCGGGGGAAGTATTAATTTTAGCACACTCTAGTTTGGTGTTAAATTACATTATTTCAGGGGTTTTCTGTAAATTAAAAAATAAACTATTTTTTACGTATTTAAATTTCTAGTGCCATAATGAAAATACATGCCCATGTGGCATGTATGATTGCTTAAAAGACAGACCAGTATCTGACTGACATAAGCTAGAATATATGGAATAAAGTACATATAACCAACGACGACCTCATGATCTCATTATGTTCTACAGTAACAAATGTTAGAGCTTATAATCGCATCGTCGCATCGTCGCCCAAATTGTATGGGTACACTGACTGTTCATGATGACAACACACTGTTGCAACGATAGGCGCCAGTCAAGGTATAAGATAATAAAATTTAATAATACACAATATAGGTATGTAATACTAATACCTACCGATAATTGTGTAATCCAAAAACCAATTTAGTAGACTATGAGTGTTCTTAAAGCGTTAAATTGGGGTTCGTGCCAAAGTTATATACGATTTGAATAAGTGCATTTAGAAATCCGATAAGCTCACAGAGCTAATGACACAGTTTGATACATTTACCGGCAGGTATAATTTGTGTTATCGTGATAAATGCAGGTAGGCACAACTAGTGTATTTTTATCAACGACCGGGTAAAATTGTGGTAAATTTTATAATAGTTTGTTGCTTCTGTTAGAAATAATAATGGCTTTCAGCCAACCTGCGGCTAATGTCAGTCGTTTGTTTCCGAACAATCGTTTAAGGTGTGTACATGGTACCAGTAGGAAACACTAATTTCGAAGCTGCTTATTAATTGTTCATAATCGTTTTTATAATATAATGTACTTAATAATATTTAAAAAATACAATTTAAACAGACTAAATGTCTTTTAAAAGAACCGCGCAAATATACATTTAAAAATATTTAAGTACAAACACATTATACGATATAATGCCAACACACAAAGGCGACATAGGAGACTTTAAATCACTTATATAGTTTTAACAATAACATTAATTACTAAACTGTATTGTAATTAGTGTTAGCCGAGTGTTTATATAAGAGCGAAATAAATATTATATACGTAATATTCAGTCAGTAGGGAAAAAATGTAGTTACGAAAATGGGATGAAACCCCGTATAATGATCGGATATTAATTGGACTAATTTTTTGTTACTACCGAAATCCCTAAACAATTGGTAAAAAAAAAACTCATAAAAGTTGGGTCATATTAAAACTCGTATTACGGAAAATTTAATTTTGAAATTCAGGGAAACGGAACTTATTAAGGAGCAAATGATAAGCAATATATGAAATAAAAATTATCTAGGAGCCATTTTATAACACCAGCTAATTTAAAGATAAATGAACACTACGTTTTTGTAGTTACAATATGTTTAGTTTTTTTTTTCTTGAGTTATGGCAAAAGTTTGATAATAATACATTACGTAGAAGTCACGTTCTGATGTATCTATTGAAGGGATTTTAATTGTCCCTATGGAAATCTTACTACTTCCTCTATATAGGCTAAAAGGCCTAATTTGTTTAATAGATACTCCATAAAATGACTTAATATAGCATTTAATTAATTTTTACATTCAACATTCGCCAGAATAGCACACAAAAAATAATAAATCACTTATACATTTATCTTTCTAAAAATATTGATTGATATTGGAATACTTATAATGTATTAAGTCCTAGATAGATTTATATTAAATATTACCTATTTTGGACCCTTAATTATTGCAGTTTCCGTTTCTCTGAAGAAATTGGTAACAAGTACTTCATTATGAAGAAGGTAAACGGTTCTTTTCTATTACCTACATTTATTTTCGTATCAATTAAACGTCTATTATAACTCATGAAAATGTATTTATGCAAATCAAGAACATGGGCTGGCCCAGCTCATAAAGTTAACAGTCTGGGCATTAATCCAAATCGGATAGGATTTTTATATATCAACATTCAACAGTATCAGTTTGCTTTAAAAAAACCTGTTTGAATAACATAGATGGTCTACAGTTCATGTACGTGAAACGAGAAACAGAAATACCTTAGATAATAATAATTTATGGCTTATAAATCCGTTACTACATTGAATATAAATTGTACCATATAGCTCTTGTCTATAATCCGGAATATCTACATTTTTATTTTACACTAAAACCAGACAAAAAAAAATTAACATGATTCAGATCATACTCAATTCGTAAATTATAAAAAAATATATGAATTTAGTATAATCACAAGGCAAAAATTAGAATCATATTAATTGATATTTATTTTAACGCAGATATTAGCCGTTTAAAAAGTTTTAAAATTGCAAATTACCATAATAATTTTAAATGAAAAAACATATTTTAAATACTTGAAATAAATGTTAGGTAGATAGAATGTTTATGCGATTTTAAATGAATGTATAAATTCATAATGTGTGAAACAATACGGTTTAAAAATTACAAATGCTACAGTTATGAGACTTTTTATTAATTGTATAAGAAGCATACAACTCGAGTTAATTTAATTTTGAGTTTTTTTACACTTGATCTTTTTTTCTATTGCTTCAGAGATTATATAGTCTAATCAGCCTAATTGATTTATCATCGTTCGACAATATGTCAGTTAATCAGTAAATCGGTTGTTAAATTTTATCTTTCAAAACATAACCTGTACAAGGTTGATCGAAATGCCAAGGCATCGCTACTTATTTGCATGCAAAAAAGCGAAATTCCAGTTTAAGTAAAAAGGTCTTCGATAATTAACATTATTATTTTTATATTTACAAATAGACTTCTCACCTGACTATCGTATCCAAAGTGATCCTGATTCAAAAGATCATCCCGGACGTCCTGCATGGGACTCAGGATGGATCCCTGTCGTTTGGCCCACAGCCGGTGAAGACCGGGCTGCATGATTTCACTGTCGACGTTTTCCATTGTCAAGTTTATCTGTCAAAACAAAATAACGTCAAACTTAATGTTTCCGCAAGTACCAAATAGTATTGTATAAATTAAGTATTAAAATATTATGAAATATACTTTGAAAAAAAAAAACGGTTTACGGGCACAACTTGTAAAAAATGCACCAACGCTTCAAACAGTTGTTGGCAAACTAAGTGATTGTAAAAATATATTATTAAAACAAAATAAAATAGCAGGTTTTAATACGTATAAGTAGGTATATTTTCTTTTTAAATTGCAAAGCGAATTTCACGATTTTACACAATAAGTCAACCACGTCCGATCGTGAACTGAGCTAAAAATATTATGTAGACGTAGTCCGGTCTAGAATTGGCACGAGAGTCGAGACGACAACGACGGCGTTTTAAAAGAGAGAGAGAGAGAGAGAGAGAGAGAGAGAGAGAGAGAAGAGGAGACAAGTCGTTTATAAATTATTACACATATATAGTATATAAATTATCTTAGGCACAGTCACGCAATTTACTGACGTTTCACCAATTTTTATCAGACCGTCAATTGGTTTTAGTGGGAGACGGCTTTTTAAATATGCACACCATACATTACACACGTCAAAAAAACCTGTAAAAACCGCATACACATACGGTAAACGACCGTTTTTTATGGTACAAACATATCTATATTCTATTAGAATAGAGTTGAAAGTAATATCAAACGCGACAATTTCCAATAAATAATTTGGAAATTAGCTGTGTAGACTTTTTCAACGTGTACGCGTCGAGAAAGTAGTCCCATTCTGTTTTACGCCAAATCACATTATAATTAGCATGTGAGCGGGAACGGAAGCAAGTGGGGCAGTGGCGTAATAACGGGGGGGATTTGGGTGTCGTATCCCCCCCTTGACGATATATATATCACAATGGTATACGTACAAAAAAAATAATTGGGGGAGGGAGGGGGTGATGAGTAAAATGTATGCATTTTTTTATTTATCCCCCCCTCCCAAACATGACGAAATTACGCCACTGAAGAGGGGGCGACACCTTAGCCTTAGACCCTTTAACCGTTAAGAGTAATAATTGATACCCCTTATTCACCTTTATCTCAATTGTTTCATGTAAAGACTAATAACCACCAACAGAAATAAGCTCAAATAAAAAAAGAGTTCTATACTTCTACGTCCAAAATATTAACATGATTTTATGTTTGCTATTTTTAATAATTTTAAATAGAAGAGTAAATATTAAATAAGAATAATAATATGAATTTATAAATGTTAGCTGTAGGCAGTAGGATATTCATTAAAATAAGAAATAACTTTATTTTTATTAGATTAACGAAAATGTTGTTAAATTAATGCATTATACAAATGTTTGAAATGAAAAATGGGCAATTTACATTACACAAAATATAAAATTTCCGTTTAAAAAAATTAAAATTACTACATTTTTTTCATTCTGATAAATAATATTATTTAATATTGATCAATATAGTAAATAACAATAATTGTCATTTGCTCAAATTTCAAACTATTTTTATTTATTAATTAAGCTGGTTTTTGTTAAATCATTTTAAGTATTTTATTGTTTAATATATAATATTAAATATTATTATATAGTTTAAAACTTAATTTAATAAATCTACAGTGGATACAAATCTACAAAAGATTTTATTAAATTAACCGCAATGCTATTGCATTTTTTGGACGATTTGATTCAGTGTACTAGTGTGTCTCGTTAAACGTAAACCAATTATTGGCAATAGCTACCGAGGTCTATCCAGCGAAATTTATATTTTTAAAAAAAAATGGACTTTGTCCCAAGCAAACAGTCACAATCATAATGTTCCTAATCGAATAATGTTAATAAACGAGATATTTTTGTGCTTACACGCATTACTTACGACTTATGTCACGGGGCACTATGTATATAATACATGACGTATATTATACACAAAAAACAAGTTTTTAATTTAAACACCTACATTAAACAACCATCAATTACAGTTCTAAACTTTGGACCGTTGAACTCCAAACTAGGAATGTTTGCGTTTTCTATTTTTGCTAATCAGCAAAGGTACAGCCATAACCGACCATGTGTATCGCTTTTAATATATATATAATATAATAAATAATCTAGACTGCTAACTGACAAAATGTTGGCTTATAAACCGATTAAAAGCTCTATCTTTACACGAGATCTCTAAAGTCTATACATTGATTTATAAATACTAGTAATAATAGTATTTATCAATGGTCTATATTACGGTCTGATCCTATCAATGTTCAATGACTATAAAATAATATTAATGATAATATGTTAATTGTTTATACATTTTTTTAATGTAATAAACACACTTCTCACATAAAAACCGGCACATTCAATGTGACTAAATACTTTGTATCATTAGTCAGCAATCTAGTTTTAGTTTATTATAATTTATAATAGTGTACGGTTCTTTAGTGTACTATAATTACAATAATAAATTCAATATTAATTTTGATTCGACGAATCTTGCCTCATAAAATAATTAAACATTCCGAGGATATCAACTCGAAAAAACAAGGCTTTATTACTCTGTTTTTACTTCAGTAATTCAGCGACAAGCCTCAAATCCCAGTCCAGTTAGTTTATCTAGTGATCAGTAAAATATTGAGATAATTTTAATATTCTCATGAGAGCCCTCGTCGCTCCTGAAACGTAAAGAAAACTTATACGATTTTTTTTTAAAACAGTACCTACACTACAGTATAATATACCGAGCGATTCACAACAGATAATATGTGGCACTAGATTTTTTTAAATAATCAATAGTAATTGTTTTCAAAGAAAATGCGTGCCTTATCTTTAACGAGTCTTTCAGTTTGTACATTATTAAGTCGAATTCTAACAACCAATCGGTGCTTCTGTGTTCAGACAAACCACATGCCAGAGAGACTTGTGTACAGATCCAACAAGACGGTTTAACATATTTGTGGCTTAAAGAATGGGGAAAGTACTACAATGCTCATGTTATTTTACGTCCAACTTCTTCTCGCCTTCGGTTTACGTAAACAGAATACATGTATAATATAATAAAATACTATTTTATGAATTTCGAAAATACTCATTATGTTGAATAAATCATTAATTTTCGTTATAACGCAATTCCGTGTCACTGACAGTCTATTATTAAAACAACGGTTGAGAACACACAATATTATGTTTGTAATGTAAAATACAGTAAACAAAATCAAACGTTAACGCCTAATAACCTTAACGACATAATAATAATGTCGCAAATAAAAAATAATTACAAAAAACAAGTGCTTCCTACTTAATAATTAAGATTTAAGTACGATAAAAGTTATAATTATTATGTCGTAAGACATAATAAACATAATCACATAACAATTATAACATGTAAACAAATTGTCATAAAACTTGGAAAATGGGTCACATAACGCATTATTTTCATTATTTAATAGGTATGTGTATACGAGTAATGATTGGCAATTATAATTGTATTATAATTAACATTTTAATATAAATGTCACAGTTAAAACAAATTACATAATGAATATCGTTATAAATATGTTATTTTTTTATAATTAAAATAATTTCATGATTATACATTCAAAAGTATTTCTTAGTACACGGTCGACGTGTTTATTATAAATTTTAATATATCAAATTATTATTATTAAAAACAATACAGGGAAACGTTATATATTATTTAAGATCATTATTGATATTTATTAGATAGAATATTTAATCTAGGATGTTAATAAATAATAGGTTGAAATAAGAATACCTAGAATAAAATACCACCTACTCAAAGTGGAATTATTTATTATGTGTCATGTTTGTATAATATTCGATTTGAGTGTTAAATAAAAAATAAACAAACATACAAATCTTTCTGGAAGAAGTAAGTAGGTACCTACACGATAAGTTCCAAATATGTGATTATTTTTCATACTCCGACTTTTTAGTCCTTCAGAAATAACTAAAAACCAATTTAATTTAAAATATTTAAACCAATCGGTTTAACAAATAAATTCGAGAAAATGAAAAACGAGAATTTACAAAAAGTATACAACAAGCCGGATATTCTTTCGATTAGAAAGGATTAGTTATGCCTGGCGAGAGGATGGCCAATTGGTGGAGAAAACAAATAGGACAACACCTTTAGGGAGACCCAGGGTTCCGTGGATTAATGTAGTTGCCAAAGATGTGAGAAGATTGCGTTCTAAATGTCTGCGAATAAAAGAGAGAAGTATAGATTGGTGGTAGCATTGATCCTAAATAACCCAATGGGCTGAAGATGAAAAAACGATTGATTTTGGCGCGGAATCTATAGCTGAATGTTAGGATTTTCAAGTTAACCAAACCTTACTATAACTGTGGTAACCAAATAACTAAGTATATTTTTAAAAATTACTTCAACACAGTGTTATATTTTCGATAAGGACACGATAAAAATATAAAACGTACTAACCTAACCATAAAGGTAACCAGTAACTACTAAGACATATTCGTTATTGAGCCAATACTAATTGTGGTTTTGAATTTGTACTTGAATACTTTAAAAACATTTATTTAAAAAATAATATTACAATTATATTATTTTGAAATGCCCATTTATTTGATCAATAAACTACAAAAAATACAGTCGAGTTGTAATAATTTTTTGATGAGGCGTCGTACAGGCGTTTACAACAATTAATTACTCGTGTACAATGTAATTTAATATACATTTTTATAATAAATAGCAATATAATGTTTATAGGAATTCGAGAAATGTACGTAGGTATTATTGATAAAATAAAAATGAAAGGAGATCCTTTTAATCACACTGCAAGACGATCACATCGAAATTCTTTAGGTTATCTTATCGTTTCACACAGGTATTCAACGCGTAATGGATAGCAGGCCAATGACAAAACACGAGAGTTTACAATATTAATTATCGTTAAATAGTATTTTACTATTAGTCATAAAAAAATGTACGCGGTATTCAAACAATGGCGCAATTTCAATAAATAATTTACCGTTTACACGAACTAAAAAAAACAATTACGCCATTATCGAAATACAGACACAAGTCGTTATATTATCTATATTATATAAAATAAACTATTGCCGAGTTGCACAAGTTGTATTGGTTCTATAAACCGTTAATGGAATGGACTACCTACAGTGATTAGTCCAAACTACTAACATGGTTTATAGAACTAATAAAGTTTTGTCCAAACCAGCGTATATAAATCCCAAAGCCTAAATAATACTTAAGACAATCAAATCCTAAATAATAAAGTTAACCTAACCTAAGTAGTTTTCAATGTCAACATTATTGTCACAATTTATCTAATTAAAATTGACTGACGTCAAAACATGATCTCGGAATTTTTTAAATTTCTGACATTTTAAAACTAAAAAAAAACATTAGTTTTGTTGCAAAAAATAACTTTTGTCTTTTTACATTATTTTGAACAAATATGTTATAACAATAAAAACGGGATCTCTTGCACATTAACAATTTTATAAGAAAAGACATTAATATATACGAAGATTGGGTGGCGTCAGCTGCAACTGTTGTTCAGTTCTGCGATTGAGCTGCGTTCGATGTGGATAATTTTTAAAAAAGTAACTAACCAACTACCAAAAATTTCAGCAACAAAGCCATGCCTTTAACGGTTAACATATTAACATGATCCAAATGTTAAAAAAAAATCTTGGCCATGAAAATAGAAGCTAAAAAAAAAAGATTGAAAGATTGAACGCAAGATTATGTTATACACTAATATTGAACCAAATTTAAATTACAAAAAAACTTACAATATATAACATTGTCTGATAATTTCATGAGAGACAATCGAAAGTGGGTTAAATTAATTTTGCAAGATTTGAAAAATACCCGTACAAACGTACGTACGTGTTAGCGAGTTAAAGAAAAGCATTTAACATATAAAAATGTTGGTAATTTTATTGTTGGGCGTTACGCTGACTACATTAGGACACTATTTGCGTTGGCCAGCACATCATTAATTTCTTAACTATGTGATAATTTAATACTGAGTAATTAACAAGAGATAAAATGTAATGAATTAAATAATTACATATTTGATATATTATGTAGTTGAGAATAAATTAAAATTTTAACTTGGCACATGGACACAAAATATTTACTACTTATAAAACAGATTATATTCAATACATTTTCACTTATAATATGTATTACATTTTTAAATGTCAAGAGGTATAGTTGCATAGAGTAACAAACGCAAACTTGTGAAATGATTAATATTTTAAAATATTTACTAGTTGTTTTTTAAAGTGCAAAATCAATAAACTCATAAGTATTTGAGTATACTTAATTATTTTTCCTCGCTTTCTTTCTAAAAAGTAAAAACTCAAATGTGTAAATCTTTGATCTTATAAATTTAAAATATAATTTCTATACTAGCTATATTTTCTAAACAAAAATACTAAAGAAGTATAAAAAAAAAATATATATATATATACATTATTTATTGTATCGATAGTAGTTAAAATGAGGCGCCTAGTTTCATCACCAGCTAGACAATTTTTGACAATTTTCACAAAACAACAAATAATTTCTTTAGATAGAACCAACCAAGACTTTCAAACAAACACAATTTGAATTAGTTATATTCTTTATTTGATAGATCTGATAACAGTTTTACATAACATGTAATACATTGTGGTCACTTAAAAAACAAAAACGTTTTCAAAATGTCTTAGGGCTGGTTTTCAAACTAGATGCCTCAAATAAAAGACAGTAAAATATTGTATCATTCAAACATTCAATACAGACATTTTCCTTTATGCCATAATGATAAAATTTTGATCAAGACGAAAGTGGTTTCACATTTTTTTACCACAAAGCATTATAATGGTGTATCAAAGAAAACATTTTTTAACATTAACATAAATAACATTTATGTCATACAAATAATAAATAGATTTTTAGCCATAGGCGCAAATACAGAGGGCTAGGGTGAGCTGAGCCTTTCCATTACTAACATAGCCCCACCAAAAAAATTAGGTTATGCATACAATTTTAAAATACAAAAATATATTTACTTATATATATAATTAAAAAAAATGTCCACCCCCCCCCCCCCGAGTTAAAAATTGAAATTGTACCTATGTTTTTAGCTCTCTCAAAGTGGTTAACGTAAATATCAGCCAGATACAGATTGTGCTTAACAGCTGACTAATTTTTTCTGTATTCTTAAATTATTTTTTCTTTGCCCTACACTCCCAAATACATGGGCTCCGCCAGTTATATTACATTTTTTTTTTTAATTTGAACAAAATACCACATACATGTACATACAAATAGTTCAATGGTATAAAATATAAAAAAAACAATGTTATTTTAAATGTATTGTTAGGCTTAACTTATGTTTTTCATATAAAAAAAACAAATATACTTAAATTAAAGTTCATTTACTGAGAAAAATGAATAAAAATGTATTAATTAATATTTACCATTTTATATAAAAGTTAGGTAATCTAGATTTAAAATATGTTTCTGAGTAAGTTGTGATTTTTATAAAATTAAGTCTAGTGACTGAACAGTGTGCAAAATCGACATTACTCGGCTAAATCAATACTTAAAAATAACTGATTTTGTTTGCATATAAAAAAACATAAGCAATAGTTTACAAAAATCATAACTTGGTCGAAAATACATATATTAATTAATAAACCCAATATTTACTTATCTTAATAAATTTTAAATTAAATACATTAATGAAAAATAAAAACATTTATTTAATCTTCACATTCGCATCAAGTAGTTTTTCTAAAAAAAAACTCATTTTGTACTTTGTCGGTCGTTACCACTTAAGTACCTTACTAGTCTGTACCATTGAATTTAAAATAATACTATTCTAAAACCTAGTTTCAAGTTTGTACTATAATAATATGTAGATACTTATTAGACTATACTTTTATCAATTCATCCGTTTCTTTTATGTAAAAAATATGACTTTTTCCAAACACTGCTTACTTGTACACTACTAGTATTAGGTATAGTATAGTTAAAGAGTTAAATGTTCAAATTACCTTTGTGGTATCACCGTTTTCAAAGAGTACACGACAATCTTTTAAACCTCGGTTTTTCGGATTTCCTGCTGACAACAGCTGCCGGTAACGGGTAAATTTGTAGGTTTTGTTAATGGCTAACGATTGAGGGGAAAATTATCTTAAGAACACGCTTCACTGTTTTCTGTTTTGTTTTTTAAATAAACAGGTAGACTGAAATGTTCTACTTATTGGATGCGTTGTGTGCGTTTTTGTGCCGTTGGAAGCGTTCTCTGTCGAGTCGTGAATATCGAACGGTCCAACAGCCAACTGCTGTCTGCTATCGAGCCGAACGACGTCACGCACCGAACGGCGGCGTCTGGCGAAAAGAATCGATTTGACGGATGACGGCAACTGCTGAGTGCAAAGCAATAACGACCGACCGGAGACCGTGAGAGAGGGGGAGAGAGAGAGGACAGCCAGAGTCGACCACGACGACCGGCTAACACTTCCAGCAGCACATATAAAAATGAAATGAACCTGAGCTGTGGCCTGTGAGCAATTGAGCATGTCTTTTGATCCCACAGCTGAACGCTTCCGACGGTAGTAGGTGGATACAGAGTCAATGGACGGGGTGGCAGCGCTAGTATGCGGACGGCCATAAGGCACATTTTGTGTACTGTTTCGACCACTGAACTGGGTTCAGGGTTGAGACGAGAGTTCAGTTCAGCTTCATTGGTTACGACGTGCCGCGTGCGTCTATTTTTTTTTCCAGTGTACTATTATCATACTTCATAGTAACCGGCATTGACAAGTATACTGGTATGAGTGGTATCCACTATCCAGGTAACCAGGCACAGTAGCTCACAGCTGTATCTGTAGCCTACTGCCTGTCACCTGTGTGCTGTCACACACGGGACGTGCAACGCACGTGCGTGTAACCGCAGTGTGACCAACAATTTTTGCGTAAAATACCTAATTAAAAAGTTCACATTATCCGGGACATTGGCGGAAATTCAGTGAATATTTTTAGTGGGTAGAGAGGGAGGCTAAAAAGAAAGTATTCAATTCTCACACAGAAATATCTTCCTATAAAAAAAAAAATTAGTTTAGTAATTTGTCTAGAAAGCCTTTAGAAACACGACTATTTAGTTATTACATAACGTTTCTTGACAGTAGAAGAGAGGTATGGCCGTATGGGTCGCTCTTGACATTAAAAATAGTTATGGCTCTAGGTTGTAGCCATTAAGTTCAAAAACTCCAATGAATTTTTTACAAGAACATAGCACGGTATAGCTTTTTGAGATATGATCAAATTAGTTCCGAATTTGTGTGAGCTATTCTTAGGTATATAATACTATAATTAATGTATACAATATACTATTACGTTATATTACTATTATATTATAGTCGAACTAAATAAAATATGTCCTACCTATTATTAACCCTTTCTCCTCGTAAGGATGGAAACTTTTTCGTATTTCCTTTTTGAGGACTTCTAGTTTGAAAATTAGAGTGACCCTATAACATTTAAATTGTTGTTCAAAATTTATACTTTTTTTTATAAAAAAAAAAAATTAATAAAAAACCCAATTACAAACACAGTACCTAATATTTGTATAGTGTGTACAGTTTGTCATGCAACTTCTTTAAAATAATTTCTCATATTACTATTTTTTAATAAGCAAACAAATCTTAAGCGTTACATCCTTTTTATTGTTATTTTCAGTCACCAAAACGGATATTGATAGTAACAAAATAGAATGCGTGTACAATTATTACTTATATACTTCAGTTAATGAGGAATAAAATTATGAAATTGATTAAAATCGTTTTTGTTTAGTACAAAGAATTAATAACGTTAAGATATTCTATTTGGAATGTGATGACTGTACTACCCGTCCTCGATATGAAATATTCATAGATAGTATAGATAGATAGATAAATAATAATATTAATACTTATAATTATCTAGAACAAAGTGAATCGTTTAATAAGCAATGAAACGATAATAATTGAAATAAAACATTTAGGGTTCAATAAATTATAACTAGCAACGAGAATCATTTGGAAAATAATCATCCGACAATGATAATATTAATAATTGTATACATGTATAATGTTTATATATTATCTTAGATTTAACAGCTAACAGTTATCAGATATCGATATTAACTAAATGAAAGAATGGTGAAATAAAAAGACCAACAGTATCGAAACACGAACGTGACGATACTCGTACTCAAGTCAATATATTAAACCATTAATCAAGTCATAATAATTTCATTCTCAAAACAAACACCGCTGTTTGTAGCACGATCGATGTTTAATGTTAAAACCGATAAAGAAAATTACTAAATACGCTCATAAAGAACAATTATTATATTAGTCTTCAGCAACATAAAATTGTTAGTGCTTATAATTTGGAAAATACTTTGATTTTATCTTTAGTTTAGTTAAAATTGTTAACTGATACTAATCAAATATTACATACCTGTTTTTACCAATATATTTAAATATTAAAACTTCGAAATTAAAAAACATGATACAAATTTAAATCAGAATCTACTACAATAATAATTTAAAAAATTTAACTCCCAATATGTTGTTATCTAAATTTTATCTGGTTAACTTCACTACAAATTACAACACTGAACTAGATTTATTAGATTATATTTATCATGATTATAGGACAAACAAATAAATTACATTTAGTACTCATTAGCATTAAATTATTATCTTTTAAATTATTAATTAAATACAATAACGCACATGGTTATCTCATAAAAATACCGAGAAAATGTATTATTTAAAAATTTCTTTTCATATAACATCTTTACCCTAAATATATTTTTTAATTAGAGTTCAATGAATGCTAATTATTGAATAATATAAGATAAGTCAACTTAGTATTTCAATAAATACTATCCAGCTATAATAAGATCGCATAAGAGTTATAAAATGTGTTGTAATCAGATATGTATGCGGGATGGTACATAAAAATAAAAAAAAAACAGTTGAGATTGATTACAACTAAAAATAATATTTAATTCAAATATTCAATTCAAACATATTAATAGATCGGAAAATAATACTCCAATATTAGTACTAAACTTGAGAGGAAAACGGTAAAATACAAAAATATATAATTTAAACACAGTAAAAAAACAAGAATTGTAAAAACTTCATAATTATAAGAAAAAGAAAGATTATCATAGAAAAAAAAAACAATAAAACTAATAGAAAAATAATAGTTTGAAGACATTAAATATAAGTTGTTTGAAAATAATATCAAACAATATTTCGATACACATCACTTGAATTAGTCAACCATTTTGTTTTTCCTACGTCTTTATCCAAATATACTTGATTGGTCGCAAACAGTTTCAAAGCTTTTGGATAAGCTATATGTTCTACTTGTTTAATTTTTTCTATAAGGCTTTCTTCAGTGTCATCCACACTAATGTTCACAGCTTCTTGGACTATAATAGCACCAGAATCAAGTTCTTCCTAAAATTATTTAAAATGCATAAATGAAAACCATTATTTATAAATTTTAATTTGGTTTTTATTTACTTTACCTCAACAAAATGTACAGTGCAACCGGCTACACGAACACCCGATTCAAGGGCTTGTTTTTGAGCATTAAGTCCTTTGAACAGAGGAAGAAGCGAAGGGTGTAAATTTAACAAACGACCTCTCCATTTGCTTACAAAGTGTTTGGTTAATATTCGCATAAAGCCCGCTAAACACACAACATCTATCTGCGTTTGATCCAAAGCCTTCAAAATATCATCCTCAAATTCTTCACGGCTCTTATAATTTTCATGATTAATTTCCTAAAAACATTGTCATTTTATACAATATTAGAAATTAAAACTAGCAGTCAAAGAATATGATAAAAGCTAGGACAATATACAGTCAACCAATAATAAAATAGTATCTTTATCAAACATGGACATTCAAAAACCCATAAACTAATTACCAATCTTCCTAAAGTACAGCTTATTAATTTGAACATTTCTTAGTTCTGTATTTAATATTTAAATATCAAAAGTATAGTCTGATAATTGAACGAATATTACTAGATAATTGCTTAATACTAAATAAAATAAAACAGTTCTAAAAATTGTTTTTGAACATATAAAATTAATAATTATTCTCTTCTAATTTTATTCGACTTAAAATAAGTCGTATAATGGGAAATGTTTAATGGTTTCCTTTTTTTTTTTTTAAACACCAAGTTTGTTTTTATGATTATTTCAACAAATATTTCATAACTGAAAAAAAATACAATTGTAATACCAAAGCTAAAATTCCTGCTCGCCTAGCCCGCTCTAGGCCTTCAACACCAGGCCTGTTTGAGATAACCAAAACAATTTCCGACATCATCGAGGAATCATCTGTAGTCGCGTCGATTAAAGCCTAAATTAATGAGAAAATAAAATTATTTGATTTTATGCTACAGACAGATGTTAAAAGAAGAAAATAGAATACGTCACCTGCAAGTTAGTTCCACTGCCCGATATGAGAACAGCTACACGCATTTTCGGATGCATCCTAGAAGCAACATATGTTTGTATATGCGGCCGCATCAAGGGTTCCATGGCGTTTGCGAATTTCTTTACTTCGACAGACGTTTCATCTAGACGATAGGGTAATTAACAAGTGCATACATTATTCATATATATATATATATATACTCCTCTTACAATTTGCATTTATTGAGTTCTTTTTATTATTTACACTATTAAGAAAAAAACCTGTTTACAAAGCTTTGTCAACGATGTTGCTGTTTCAAAGATCGCCTACAGCAATGTATTGCTGCTGACAGCTGCCATCTTATATAATATTTAATCTTATATAATTTTCAAAACATAACTAAAAAACGGAATTTCTGACTAATTTAATAAAACAAACTGCTTTTCTCTAAGTTTTACTGTTTGTTACTTATGTATAAGATTTTCACAAGGAGAAATTGGTTTATCTTTTTAGTTCATCTTATACAGATTTTTATACTCTTTCAGAAAATACCAGAAGCTGATCGATTGATTAAGTATACTCGTATTTCTTCTCTCTTTCCCACAGTTTTGTTGAACAATATAATTTTGAGAAAAACAATTGTTATATTATTCATTAATAAAAATAAAAAATGTTTACTTTGTTAACCAAGTTCTTCCTTAATCTTTATCGCGGATAATCACTAGGGAATAATATAATATAGACTTGATATATATAGTGCTTAGTCAACAGGAGACTACTGAACAAGTTTATATGACGACTTTAATAAAAACAAATTTTAAAAATGGAAGTAGTTGAAAGGTTTTTGAGTAATGCTGACAATCCAAAAAAAATGAACACTGAATTATATATGAAAATAGTGTAAGTAAAAAAAAATACTAAGGTTTTCAATTAAAAATAGTAAAAATTAACCATACCACCAAGTTTATCTCCAACAGTACCAACAATTTTACCATTGGTACATAATAAAACATCATCGACATATTCTTCAGCAACAATCAACACCATACCAAGTCCACAATTCATTGTGCGTAACATTTCTGTTTCATTGATGCTACCTAAAACAAAATTTAAAAAAATTGTATTTTATTATGACGTACAATTTTTTAATTTTCAAACGTATAGGTTAGTTTTGAGACAAGCATGACTGTTAATGGTCACAGCAGTCAAATGGCAAGCAAATTTGTTTGTTAAATATTCCAAAAATAGTATGATTGCAATATATTGGTGGTCTCGGTTTTATGTTCAGTGAAATTGATTACAAGAACAAATTCTCAGGCTTGTGACTAATAGCATACTTTAAGTTTATAAGTAAATCTGCATCTGTTACCTGTTGCTGCTATCCAACCAAAAATCGGTTTTATTTCCCACTTTGTAGCGTCCAAAATTACTTTTTTGTCTTTAGGTAGGATACGAGGAATATTTTCTAAAATGCCACCACCAGTTATATGGGCTAATGCTTTTATTCCGTTATTCCTTATTGCGGGTAATACACGATTAACATAGATTTCTGTAGGAGTCAATAATTCTTCTCCTATAAAATGAGATTAAAATAAACTTTATGTTTACATAACATAATAAATTAAACCATACCAGCTTACTACTACTTACCATATGTTTTCTTATCTAAACTAAACGGAGCTTCATCCGAGTATTTGTGACAGCCTCTTTCCATTATTTTTCGGATCAAACTAAACCCGTTTGCATGTGGCCCACTTGATTCAAGGCCGACTACAACATCTCCAAAAATTATATCGTTAAGTTTTGGCAACATTTTTTCTCTTTCTACAGCTCCTAACGCAAAGCCAGCAATATCATAATCACTGTTATGGTAAAGACCAGGCATTTCTGCAGTTTCACCACCTAAATAACATTTTAAGGATTAATACTAGAGAAACATTAAAACTCACAGCGCTAATTGCGGAAATACCAATAAGAGCACATCCAGCTTGATAACAACCATCAGCTATGCCCTTGACTACGTCAATTACATTTCCACCTTCCAATCGACCAGTTGCGTAATAATCAAGAAAGAACAATGGCTCAGCTCCGTGAACTAGAATATCGTTTACACACATGGCTACAAGATCCTGACCGATCGCTTTGTGACTACTGCAAGCCAATGCGATCTGTGAAATATAGAATTAATAATAGTTGTAGAGAAAATCAAACAGCTCAATTACCTTTAATTTAGTTCCGACTCCATCTGAACTGGACACAAGGATGGGATCTCGAAAAGCTGCAGCTTTAAGGTCAAACATGGCACCAAATGAACCCAGCTCGCCGAGAATTCCTTGGCGTTTTGTAACAGACACCAGTTCTTTATAAATTGGAACCAACTCATTACCTGCACTTATATCCACTCCACTCGATTTATAGGTTGTTGCGCCTTTGGCTAGAATTGCCCTAGATTAAATACAATATATGTAAAAACAAGTAACTAAGTGGAAATAACGCTGCACTCTCATAGAAAGATTACTGACAAGTTTGTTTTTTTGACGAGTCGTCAATTCGTAGCCATAGAGAAGGATAATAGCTCCTTTTCTGACAATAATTTTAAATATTTATGTTTTTTCAGCAATACTGTTTGTTAATCTCATGCAAACGTGTTTGTTATATACTTAATTTATAATAGTTATGAAATTACAAACTACAATTATCTAACTAATCACAATACCACAAATTCTTTATTTTAGAAATCATATTTATAAATTGTCACCCAATTTGATTTAGCAAACCATTTTAAACTTAATAACTTGCTGTCTATCGAGCTTAAACATCTCATTTATTTGAAATAAACAAATTATTTTGTTTTTAAAATTTGGTTTGTGTTTTAAATTTTATTTTACTTTATTTAGTTTAGGTAAGAACACGTAAAAGTTTGGTTTGATGAAAAATCCGGGGTTCACATCACTTTTTGTGATTACATAACTTCAATAAAACTGAATAATATAAAAGAAACAAAATTGAAGCGAGATAATAAATAGTTTTTTTTCAATTTATACCACACCTAGCTATTCCTCTATGAGCAATATCGGTTCTAAATTGTGCACCGTTAAACATTATTCTGCCACAGGCCATAGTAGCTCTAGCGGCGGCTAAAACTAATTCTTGATGCATAGTTACTACGATTAAAACACGTCCACCGTTTGTTACCAATTCACCATAATTATTCAACTTGGTGCCACTGTGGAATACCATGCCTTTTGTCACAGATGGTAGTCCTAAAAAATTTCCAATGATAACTGATTATTAATAAAATATTGGAGACTGTATTATTTTTCTATTAATAGTTTTATGAATAACTCACCAGATATTACATCGCCTTTACTTGAAGTAAGGGGATACCCTCTACTGGCCATCATAACACCCACACAAAATTGATCGGATTTCCATTCAACTTTGACCTTATCCAATGTACCGTTAACACACGCCTAAATAACCCTTTGATTGTAATATAATCATTATTGGTTGTAAATTATAAATGTAAGTACATGCATACTTTCATAATTTCATAAAGATCTGACTCTAATAATGGTAAAATGGTTTGAGTTTCTGGATCTCCAAAACGACAATTGAATTCTAAAACCCTTATGCCATCATTGGTCACCATTAATCCAGCGTATAGTACACCTGAAAAATAAATCAATAATTCATTATAAATAATTCAGTTGTAAAACTAGTGACGAAGTGGACTACAGTCACAATTATAGTGCACCATTTTCTAGCGGTTAAGAATATAATCTTTAATACTAGAAATTCAAATTAACCGACCTACAAAAGGAGTTCCTAGTTTACGAAGACCATCAACAGCTCTTTGCAATATATGTTTAGCCTCATCCAACTCTTCTTGTGGCATGTTATAACAAGGGCAAAAAGCACCCATTCCTCCAGTGTTTGGTCCCTTGTCTTGGTTGTATGCTCTTTTATAGTCTTGACTCGGTAACATAACATTAATATTAATGCCATCAGTGAAACATAAGACCTGAAGAAACACACAATGATCAGAAAAATGTCGTTAATAACTTAAGCATTGGTTATTATTTTTTAAAAATCTCATACAGAAACTTCTTCTCCTTTTAGTAATTCTTCAATGACAACAGTTTGTCCCGCTTTCCCAAAACGGTTTTCCGTCAAGATTGCATCTAACGCTAAGCATGCTTCTTGTTTATTTGTAGCAACCACAACACCTTTTCCAGCAGCTAGACCACTTGCTTTTACTACTAGTGCTGGATAATCGGCTCTGAGCAAATAGTATACAATTATGTTTCATTATATTACATATACACATTCCAAATAAAAACTTTATTTACGAATAAACAAAATCAGTCGCTTGTTTGACGTCACTAAACGATTTCCATCTCGCTGTTGGAATGTCAAAATCATCCATAAACTGTTTAGCCCATTCTTTGTCACTTTCAATACGAGCTGCTTTTGCAGTCGGACCGAAACAAGCTATATTATGTAAAATTAATACATCAGCAATTCCTGATGCGAGTGGATCTTCCGGCCCAATAACAACCAAGTCGATGCATTTTGTAACACACCACTTAGCTACAACCTAGTCAAATGTAAATAGAAAACATTTTAAAATTATATTATAAAATTAAGTTGTATTTTACGATAAGTTAAACAAGTATTAAAAATGTAACTTTAAAGTACCTAAAATTTGCTAAACAATATACCTCAAAATTATTCACATCTAGCTCTACAAATTCCACTTGAGGTAATAATGCAGCTCCTATATTGTTTGGGGTTATATAAATTTTTTTGACCTATAAAAAAAAATCATATTAGCTATTAATTATATTTTACATAGTTTAGGCCAAAATAAAATGCAAGGATTAATGGTTAAACGTAATAGGTTAAAAAAAACAATTTCAATATGTATTAGTTTATTTAAGTCTGTGCTTAAATTATAAAATAAAGTAAAAATAGACTGTGGTCATTATTGCAATTTCAGGAAGTGCTACACATATTCAAAAACACCTAAAAACTAAGTTAGAACAGTCCAAAAAATCTATATTTACAGATTTTATTTTTTTAGTGAAATATTTATTGATTATGAGTATGACCTATTTTATATTACTAATTCCAACTTGCAAAGTTTTGAAAAATGCCATAAGACCCCCATAAATTGTGCCAATGATAGTAGTTAAAAATTTAGAAATCATAACTTCGCTACTAATAGCACCGAGCATTGATTATTTCGCCTTTTTAATTAAAAGCCATTAATCAAACAAATAAACTATTAATTAAATTAACAGAGATAGGCGACTTCACAGATTATATGCAAATAGAACTATTAAATAAATAGAACTATTTTTCATATAGTTTTCCATCCAGCAATGGTGAGTCATTTAGATGCTGCAAGTCTGAGAACCACTTGACACGCAAGGATTTTTATCACTAAGTATAGTTTTACTTTTTATAGTTTTGCACAAAAACAAATATAATATTATCCCCTCAGCATATTTTTATATATAAATCTATTAGGGATTCTAAAAATTACAATTTCAAGGACAATGTAGATAAACTACATGAGGACATGATAAAAATATAATATTAGATACTAGAATAGATCTTTGATAAAGTAATTTATATTTGTAAAAATGTACTTTTAATTATAACAGTTACCTAAATTCTAATATAACTTGTATATATTTCTTTTATCAAGTGATGATATATATTATAATACAATACTGCAAAACTGCCAGAAAATAATATAATTAGCTGATAAAAATTGGCCTAAAATTAATTAAATGAACAGATAATTAAATACTTTCAAGGTAATAAGTGTATACCTAATCAAAAATATTTACAGATAATATTACATTATTTGTATGTAATAGATTAAAAGCTAACCTAAATGAATAATTTTCAAAAAACTTTTCAACCAGCATTTTTAAAAATTGTAAAAAATATTACTATAATAAACATTAATCACTAGGCTTCTTTATTAAAATTATATTCAATTATTTGACAATTAGTTTAAAAAAAATACAATTTTACTACCCATGTACTATAAGTTTTCTAAGAGTTAAATCTGTTTTCATATATTTTTTATGATCAAAGTAAATAAATCGTTACATTTTATTTGCTGTTAGAGGGGTAAATGCCAATATAAAATAATTTGTTTTTATATGTAAAAAAAAACATTTAAGCTTATAGAAACCCATGTTATTAAAGTGGTGTAACACTGATACCAGTACTGAAATATGTATTGTGTTATTTACTTGTGGGGAAATCGAAAGTTTCCAAGCAATGGCGTTTTCTCGTCCCCCGCCACCAACAACAAGTACAACAGCCATTATTGAATCTGGAAAAAAAACTAATTAGCCAAAAAAAATGATTTTTTCATAAGTATTAAAAAAATATTCAGGTTCTTTAAAAAAAAAAAAATAAGATAAAATACAAATAATATACCGTACCAAAAATGTGACAAGAAAAACACGTGCAAAAACAAAATTACAGTATACGATACGAGTTGTTAGTTGTTACAGTCAATATACTTCCGAAGAGGAACGAAGAAAAGAGGACAGTGTAATAATTAATATTTGCAGCATAGAGAGAAAAAACTAGAGATATATTATAAAGATTGCGACGATGACATTTATAATGGAAACGGTATAATATGTGTTTTCTAAATATTGACTATTGTACTACAACACACAGAGATCGTCGGCTTGCGAGTTGTGCCTTGTGAGACTTCTCGCATAGGTCAGTAGTTGTCGGCTCGGCAGTCGAAAAACGTGATTGCTGTAATCAGTTATTAAAGACATAACCTTAATAAGTGGACGGATTCCCGCCAAATCAGTATTGGGCATTAGTTAGCACGGACGCTGGAAAAATATTTAATACAATACAAGTTGTAAGCAACAGGCAGATCAGCTGCAGCAGCGCAATGGCACAACTATAATCTTTCTAACTATAAATATAAACCTTAAGAGGCCCAAAAGTCATTATATAAAAATTAGAAGCCCAAATTTAAAAAGTCCTGAAACAAAAGAGCACTTTTAGCCATAGAACTTGGAAGTATAGAAGAATATCGATTCCAGATTATCGGTTCGCTTTTCACAGCCTACTCTCTTCAATCGCTACTTCTTTTTAGAAATAAATAAATTCAGTTGTAATGATAAAAACTTATGATACATTATGTACATTTTAAAGTTGAATTCTTATATTTATTTATTAATTTATGGATAACAAACGCTGGTAAATGCGCATTCGCGTCACTGAAAATCTAATTATAAAGCATCACATAAAACGCGATCACAAACAGAATTAGAATAAAAAATAAATCATAATTATCATATTACAAATCTCTACACAAGGGAATTTCACTTACTATAGTTTACCCAAATTTCCCGCAATGTGCAAATTATGACACCGAATAAAATAGTGACGTCATTTTAATTTTTGGATGAAGGGTAAAATAAAAACTAACATAACTTATAAATGAGCACTTTCATATTGGCGGCCTAAAATCAGTCCGACAACCAAACTAAACCCGGTCGGACGCCGCGACGCAACAACCCTCCTTTTACAAGGAAGGAGACAAAAAGCCCGGGGAAATGTCCATCTTGCCACTACCCAATGACGCCTCTTAAATAAAGGTATCAATGATTTTTTAACAATTAACGCATAGACATAAATAGGGATTGCTGAGAAGATTTAAGTAACACCGACATTTCTTTTTTTTTATTTGAAAAATATACAATGTGTACTGGTAAATTCGTACAATAAGCATGTATACAATAGGAATATATAAAAATTATCAGTGTATGACACGTGTGGAAATCACCACCCATTGATATTTGATGGAACACGTTTAAAATTTAAAATTAAATAGGAACGATCAATAAAAAACTTTGTATTCTTTTTTTTTTTTATTGGAATGATTAGAAACTCAAATAAATTGTTAATATATTTATGGAATATTAGGTGCGTATTTAAAGGACAAGGATAACTTTATAGGGCCCAACTTACTGGATAAGCTTATTACGTTCATTGTAGACTGTAGACACAACAAAATGATGATAAATACTAAATAATATCGGAAAAGTGCAAACATCAGTCAATGAACTTGAAGCTATTAGCAGCTGATAAACATTGCTGAAATTATTTTGCCTATATAGTGTTTTTTATTGAATAAGTATTGGTTATAACTATAATACCTTATAACATATGATACAATTAGTTATAGTTATTGCATTTCTATTATTTCGTACTGTTAATACTTTAAACTCTTATTTTTAATAGATTATTACAGATACATTATAATAATATGGAATTCAAATTACAGAATATATGAAATTTCACATTTCTGTATTTAGTATATTTTTAAAATATACGGAACAAAAGATGATTTTGTAAGTACACCCTTGAAATTCGGTGTATAAACTCATATAATGTATTTATAATAATGTATATACATTACGTGTATCTTAATTAATTGACGAAATGGTTAAGTATTGTTAAATTACTATTTATTTTTTTATTTTTTGTAAAATTTTAACGTCCCATAGATGGCGCGCTGACGTTAAGTCGCCTAGAGCTCGGCATATACAATTGTTATTTTGCTATTTAATTTTAACTTTTTTTAATAAAGCTCATTTAAGTCATCATTGGTGTCTTTTTACATTAAGCAGAGTTATTTCATTAATCAAATATCTTAAATATATACAACGTATACAGTAAAATAATTACTTTACTGTGCAAAAGTTCTACATATACTATCTTCATGTTTACTAGCAAATATAGGGATAATTTACTCAGTAAACTCTAATTAGCTGACATGGTAACCAATATAAAACAATTACATTAACACACTCTTTGATGTGAATGTTAATTGGTATATTTGTACCTTGCAGCGGCCTGAGAACGTTAAGTGTCAGCTTACAATGCTAATGGTGAGGTTGGTCTGAGACCCCGGTTATTCATAAATTCTATGATTTTTATAGTGCTGAAGTGTAGTGTCTTACCGTAAACAGGTTATTTGATAATAAAATAATTATTAAGTTTCTATGCGGTATATTACGCGAATTGTCGTTTGTGATAACGTTAATTCGTAACATCAACACTGGTCACTGACTTTTAATGGTATGTAATATTATGATGTCATGTTAATTGTTGTTTTTATTTTATTTTTTATAACCAATGCCATCCATGTTTCCGTGTGTAAATAGGTAAATACTAAATAGGTATGTTAATCGGATCACAGCGGAAGCGTAGCGCTTGAAAAAAACACCGCAATGGTCGGGAACGTCAGAGCCGTGCCGCGCCATACCGATCTCGCGGCGCGTACCGCATCCCTATCCCTGCGCCACGGAATCCCGCCTTTAGACTAACTGTTCGCGAGCAATAATTATTAAACGAAGCTTCTTTGCCACTATTATTTTAATACTATACATTCCTAATTTTGTTTTTTATTAAAGTCGGTGGATGTTATGAATAAAGACTTTGAGGTGGGTATAATCATAAATATAAGATGATAGGAACTGGAATTTTTTTGATAAATTTGTATTAAAAAAAATTGAAAATTGTTTATCTGCCGATGTTGATGTGCTAAAGCAAATCCACACATAGTCTGCCGTGAAAAGATTTGTATACAAATTAGTTTTTAATCTTATTTACGGAAATCAGAATGCATATTTACAACGTTTTCGGTTACATCTAAATTTAAATATTTGCTTAGTCCACGCTTAGTAAGCCTTACATTTTCCATTATAACAGCTGTGTTTCTGTACTAAGTTCGATATTAGGTACTCGTTCCGCTGCTGTCTGTGGACTGAAGTCTGAACTAATAACCTGTTTAGTACCGTGGCCTGTTATGCAAACTCATAACTTACTTTTAAAATATTTTACCATTTACATTTATAACAATATAATGTTAACGAAGAACGATTTTTAATTGAATGAGAATTTTCGAAGGTAATTTACCTTATTTAAAAATTAGAAATCTAATGACTATTTTTATATAAACATATTTTATTTTGAAATTCGATTTCTGTATTGTGTAATCCGATATTATTAATTTAAATAAATATAATAGTATTATTGTAATCTTGTAAACATTTTAAAATTTACCCTTGTAGCTTGTAGGGTTTACAATGACCCCACTTAGCATACGCTTCGTAATCTAAAAGTATACATAATATATTACTCAGTTATTTAACACATATAAAAAATATGTACATAGCATGTAAATGTGATGCTCATGTGTATTATTAAACTTTTATAGCCAAAACATTTTAAATAATTATTCTAAGTAAACTTATAAACATATATTTTGATAAACGAACTTTATTTGTTCTTTTTTTAAATTTATTTTGATACTATATATTATATAATCGCGGTTTGGCTGTAATAAAATTTCGAAGTTCATAATTATATACAGTCTCATACACCATACAGTAGGAAAAATAATGATAATAGTAACGAAACAATGTAAAATCTAATTAACCAATGTCTTGGTAAATGTAATTTAAAACGGGTTTAGGTATTTTATTTTGTGAAATAAGAAAATGCAATTTACTTATCGTAAAAGCTAAGTAAATTGAAATTTCGCGTTAATGTTTAGGTAGGTAATATATTTTTTATATTATATATATATTTTGTATAATATATACATATTATTTCAGTAGTTCATATTATAAGTTTCTAAAAAAGTGCTGCGTGAGAAACCTTCTCCCGTCTTTTGAATGTACTACCATAAACACCTATTTTTCTACTTGTCTATTATATTCCTCTTACTATCGTTATTATAGATATAATTTAGTAATAATCATAGAACACAAGAAATAATTTTTGTAAGTAATATAGTCGGCTGAATATAGTTCGCTCTATATCATTTTAATTACTAGTTGATTTGTTCCCGCCTAAATTAGAAATCTGACTACTGTGTAGTGTGCATCAGTTAGTGCTAAACTGTTAACTGCTAAGAGAGTTGCGCAGCGCTGTGAAAGTATGGAACGCGGCTGTGCATATATAAGGCGCGAAAATGCACTTGTTCCTCAGTATGTCGCGAATGCCGTCATCATTCTGTTATCATTGTCGAGATTCGCATAGGTCACATTATCTGTGGACATTTTTTGTCTTGAGAGAATAATATTTTTTTTTAATGTGTCGAGCCAATAGCGCGTAAAGCAGACGTTATATTTCTTGGAGACATATCAATAACACCGGTATGCATGATTTTCATCCATGACCATTTTCTGTTATCATCACATAATTTGTCCTCCAAATTTAAAATACTTTACCAATACCTAATTCCGTTGAATGTCTATGATTTATTTTGATTTTTTATTATCTTCTATACATGTATAGATTCAAATTTCGACAGCGATAACAGTCAACACGGTGTACTAGGTGTAGTACCATCGTAGTCTGGTTTCGGTTGGAAATTTAAATTTGGAACTCTTGTTCTTGTCGTCGTCAAGCACAGGAGAACGTCCACACGAACATTACAGTAATAGTTAATAGTGTATAATGCACTTGGTTATTTATCTTAGAGACCGAACTATTTCTCGTAACAAATAATTAATAGTTTACTTTAGACCGAGTTGTACAAGAACAAAAAATACAGTATGCCAACCAAGGAAATCAATGGAAGTGAAAAAGTGTTCAACGATAATGTTCACGGTCACATAAATTTACATCCTTTATGCGTGAAAATCATTGACACGCCAGAGTTTCAGCGACTGCGAAACATCAAACAACTGGGGACTTGTTATCTGGTTTATCCTTGTGCCAGCATCAATCGGTTTGAACATTCTTTGGGGTATTTATTGACCATATGTTATTTAGTTTCTCTATAGTTTCGTAGCAAGCAGTGTATAGAATGTTTATAACTTTTTCAGTGTTTGTCACCTAGCTGGAGAAATGGTCAACGCACTATACAAAAATTCAGAACAAGATATTGGTATTACCAACGAAGAAAAGCTATGTGTCCAACTAGCTGGATTGTGTCATGACTTAGGACACGGTCCTTTTTCTCACACTTGGGAAAGATATCTAAAAGCCGCTGGAATATCATGGAAGGTATGATACTTATATGTATAATTAATTACATTTATATTAATTTTATAAAAACAAATAAAAAACATTTAATTTGTTTTAAAATTAGGTATTATTTTAAGCCAAAGCAGCGCAGGTTTATTTTTTTTAATTATTCTGGAATTTTAGCACGAAGACTGTTCGATTCAAATGATCAAACACATCATAAAAAAAAATGTATTGGAAGAAGAATTTAACAAGTACGGCTTAAACTTGAATTACCATCTAGATTTGATATGCGAATTAATCAATGGAGAAGGTACCACTTTACCCAAAAACAAACATTTTTTATATCAGGTAAAATATTAGATCATTTATCATTTAGTCTAGTTGTTAACATTCATTTTGTTATCTCTAATTAGATCATTTCTAACAAAGACAATGGCATCGATGTTGATAAATGGGATTATTTCTTAAGAGATGGTAAATCGCTGAATTTGAATATATCATTTGATTACAAAAGATTGATACAATTCTCCAGAGTGGTTGTCGATCCTAACTCGAATCCATCAAGAAAGGTGATTGCTTTCAGAAACAAAGAAGCAAGAAACGTGTACGATATGTATAGAGTGAGATCTGATTTACACACGAGAGCTTACCAACATAGAGTAGTTAAAAATACTGAATTAATGTAAGTTAAATATGGCACACCATGTCTCAATAATATTAACTATCTTTAACTAACTTCTATAAAGTTAATAAAAACATTCCCGTTCTTTTTCATTATTAATTCTTGCAGTTTTTGCATGAAATATTTTTTTTAATAAACTATTTTTAAAAACAATTTATTGTTTAATACTCAATTGTTGCTTCCTAGAAGTTATACATAAATATACATGAAAAAATTATTTAAATTCGATTTATTAGTTCACAAACTGTTTTTCTTATTTTATCCAGTGGTGTAGTACTGTACTCGTCTTCCACTTTTCTATATATGCGTTAACTCGTAACAAAACAAGGGTAATAACAACCAACATATACACACCACTCTTTTTATCGTACACTTATGTGAATATCTATGATTAATGTACAGCTAACTAATTAAAAACAAATTTTACTTTTGTAGGTTAGTTGATATTTTATTAATGGCCGACAAATATATTACCGTTCAAACTCCATGTGGTAAGAAGTAAGTGATTAAACAGTTTGTTTATATTGACTTTTAATCTGAAACTCAAGTTAACAAACTTAAGTTTGAGAGCAGCTGATTTCAGATTTTCTATTGAGTATTGTAGCACTTTTTGGTAAAATAAATGTGATAGTAGTTTTCAACTTTAGTTTCATATACAATAGGGTGGTCGTTAACTTTGATTTTTAGGAGCAAAGTATAGAAATAAGTTTGAAATTTTAAGAATTTTGCTCTAAAGACGTTGATTTTCAGAAGTAGTGATGTATATAAAATATAAAAAAAAAAAAATTTTAAACAACAATTTTTATACTCTTAGAACAACAATTAATACATAATGCAGTACAGCTTTCCAAAGAAAACATTTTGTATTTTTCCAATGTACACTTATCTCAATAACAAACATGTATTTTGTCTCTCTGGTTATTCACTTAGAGACAATTTACTGTACATCTAACTGACATAGCTATTAAACATATTTATTGTAAGAATATTAGTTTGTTGTCAATCAACAAATTTGTAAAACACATTGCAAATACTAGGTTGAGCATTACTAATATAATATATATCCTTCGTATAAAATTACCATAATACTCTTCACTATATTTTTTGTTTAGATACTCATTGAAAGAAGTTCATACAAATATTGAGGCAATGTCACGTCTCACTGATCATATTTTGTATGAAATTGAGTACAGCCTAGATCCGAATTTAATAACAGCACAAAATTTGTTAAAAAATCTTCAAAACAGAAATTTATACAAATTTGTTGGGTCTTACAATCTAAATGTTGTAAGTATTAAAATTGAACTACTATAATAGAATACAAATATAATGTGATACTGAATTTAGTTTTTATGGCTGTATAGAAATATACATTTTGTAATTTTATATTTTGTTAACCTTCCAGCACCAAGCGGCGTGCTGTTGTTAATACAACAGCTTTGTACTTATATATATATATATATAAATATTGTTTTTATTAATTTTATTTCATTACAGCCTATTATTAAATTATGGTTTAAGGTGTAGTAAATACATTAATATTGTAGACAAATTAATCGGATGTACTATTATCACTACCTTTAGTACTGTTGTAAATTATACAACACGCGACTTCTCATGTTATAACAAAAAGTGCGCCTGCTGGAAGGTTAATATGATTTTTTATATCGATTTTTGAATTAATTAGTTTTAATGTGACTAATATATAATAATTATATATGTACCTAATAAATATAAGAAATGTGCCAAAGTTACAATTAATTTTTAGCAGTGTTTCGAAATTGGTTATCTTTTATGACTCATAATTTTAAAAGCAATACATTAATGCACTTATTATTTGCATATTTTTAGTTCTAGTATTTAATAGTTATATTGAACATATCACCGCACACATATCAATAGTTATAAAACAAAAGAGACTGAGCATATAAGGTTTTTTTTTTTTTATACGAACATCAAGACTGTTTTTTATCAATCACTAAATTTATCTTCAACTTTTTATAATGTACTCGTTAGCAGCATAACAAGGACATAAGCCATTGTTATTATTGATTGCAACTGTGACCTTATTATTTTATGTATAATTATCAAGGAATACATAATATATTATATTATATTTATCATCAAGTTTTAATTCACAATTTTTAATAAAACATTTTCACACGTTTATAATTAGATAAATCAAGAGAATTGCGATCAGCTTGATGTTGAAAAATTAAAAGCCGATCTGAAGAAAAGTCTTCAAGACAAGTTTGGAATTCAATTTGGAATTTCTGCCACGTGGCTGGACTGTGGTGCTCCAGTAAACAATCCATTAAAACATGTCATATTTTTTAAAAGGCCGTTGTGTGACAGCACAACCGTTGTTTTGGATAAGACACCATATGATAAATATTACCCTCTGCAAAAGTAACAAAATGTTTTTTAATTGTTTTTCATTAATCATTTTGCTTTTTCATTTAAATTATTTTTTCCAGGCTAGAATTTTTCAAACGAGAAATCTCTGTTTTCAGTAAACAAATGAATTTGAGTCATGATAAATTGAAGGAAATTGATGCCTATACTGAAGAATATTTTAACAAACAACTTCAAAAGTATGTATGAAAGTATTAAAAAAACATTATATTCACAACATAAGTTGTTTATGAACAATATTTTATACCCAACTTAAAAGGTTAAAAAAAAACTGTATATTAATAAAAGTTTATGTTTTCAGATGATCTGCAAAACACATAATGATAATCTCTTTAAATAACTATAATTGTTTTAATTTTTTTTTTTTTGTCATTTTACTACTAGTCATACATATTGATTAATATTGTAATATGTCTCTTTATCTTCATGTTGTATACAATTTGTTTTCTAATTAATATTTTTATTTGACATTATGCACATTTAAGTTATTAAATAAAGTTTAAACAAAAATTTTTTCCAAATATATCAGATTACAATTTTTTTTTTTATAAAAAACTAGAAAAATATTAATTGTTTTCTTTATTATTATCACTAATAAGCCATTTTTTTAAGATGGGATTATATAATACTTGTGGTAAATATTATGATCATAACAAGTAGGCAAAGATTTTTGTTTCAAGCATTGTACTTGATATTATACAATATAGATTTTCACAAAAACATAAAGTTTGTTTTATATAAAAGTTATATAAAGTTTGTATAAAATAATGTCTTTATACGTTTGTTGAACATTTACAGAACAAAGCACTGGTAATCATTTACGTACAATTTGTTTGTTTTTTAGTATTACTGGTCAGGCATTTTTCAAAATATAATCAATAATAATACTTAAATTTATTGATAGTAATTGTTTTTTCTTTGATTATATTATTATTTTTTGTCTCTATTTACATAGATTTATATCAATTTTTTGTACACATTTATTGATACAGAATTACATTTAAAAAAATTTAATTGGTCATGGTAAAATAAAATTTAAAAAACTTTATATATCCCTTGTAACCAAAACAAAATTATTTAAGCACAACTAAAACATTTATTGTCATATTACACTTTAGTGAAAACAAATAATTTGGCTTTTTTTTAATCCAGTAATAATGTAATCATTCAGTTAAAAAAATAATATTTTATTGGTAAAGTAATTTTTAAGTTATAAAATCACATTAAAAATTGTGAGTTGTAACAAAATTAACATTATTTAGATTTTATAATATAAATTACAAATAAAATCATATTTTCTATAATGGAACTTTTTATTTAGTTAATGAGATAGGCATAAAATAAACTTAATTAAATATATCATGTTTTTTAATGGCGAAAACAGCCTATTTTATTTCTGTACAAAATATAAATTGTTTTAGTTTTCAACATATGTTGTAAAAGACGCCAGTCTAACTAACCTATCTAGAATCTCATTACTAGAGCTCAATCCTTGTTCAGGTTCACTAGTGGCCACTGGAACAACAAAGCCGTTTTCACATAGCCAACCTTCGCTTTCTATAATTCTTTCTGCTTGATCTTTGTCTACTCCCATGTACGATTGAAACTGGTGGAAAGAAATAGCATCATAGTAGACGCTAATGAATTTTAACGTATCTTGTTGGATACGACGTTTAAGAGCTACCATAATAGATTCTAAAGATTCTGACCACTTGTAATTTATTAACTCATTGGCTTGAGTGTATTTTTTTGTCCACAGAGCCTTACCGATCGACCACACTCTCTGCAGTTCAGGTGTATTCTTAATGTTGTCTGGCATGCGACGCCATAGAAATTTGGCGGAGCACAGTTCGTTATTATAAAGATAACTGGCAAACAATTTTGAATAATTAGTGATCGACAAAGTGTAAGAATCTATTTCGTTGGCTTCCAATTCCTCGGTGATAAAACTGAAAATTCAGACGGTGAAAGTTATAATGTAAAGTTTGTAATTAAACGAAAGAGTATGTATTGTACACTTACCCAACGTCAAGGGGTTCGGTGGACATATTTGTTAATAACTCGAGAGTCGGCCAACTGTGAATTAACTACTGGAATTAAATATTTAAAGTTTAATCGAGGTAAGTCTTCACTCTTCACATAAGTTTCAGAATCAGATTACAATTGTTGTACAGTGGATAGGTCCTAGGTTTGGTTACGAACAATGACGCTGTGCATAAAAACTAAAAAATATATTGATTGACCGTAATACCTATCAACTATCAAGTATCAACCCGGGCCCGGCAACGTTAAGTGTTTGTTTCTTTATTAAAAATGACAACAATGAACAAATTATTATCACTTTTAAAAACAATTACGGATTACCTGATAACCAAAAATACAGGTATACCAACAACACATGTTAACTGAAAAATTATATTTACATGTGGCCCATAGATAAATATAATAAACTAGATTGCTAACTGTACATGCCACCAATAGAGAAAATTGAAGCAGCCACTTTCTGCCACCTTGGTGAGAATTAGAAGCTTGAATACGCGAGAATAATATATGTTTATTACAATCACATATATATATATATATATATACAGATATATGTTATATGCATTGATACCACACATAAATTCCACCAGAATGGCGGACCGTCGGCTTCAATTCTTATCGCTAGTTAGCAATCTAGTTTATTATATATATATATATCTGTGACATTGATTAAATATTTAATCAATGTCTGTGATATAGCACCATAGACCTATAAAGAAATATGTATAGCACGGATCAACAGTGAAAGCTCAAGTTCCACAAAGAGCGCTAGCAGTATCTCATTTTTTCATGTTTTTAGATAAGATCTTTTTTGGCCGCCGATCAAACATTGCGAAATTGCGAGGTATAGGTCATTGTGTAACAATTTATCTATATTCTATAACCATGTTATAGAAATTGATAACAGATGTTTCCAACATGCTTTTATTGTAGCTTGCATTATTTAATAAATTACCCTCGATTGTCTATATTACATTATATTCAAAAAAATAACCCAAGTTGTAACACTTTTAAGTTCTTCCCAAATTGTACGTTGTCGATAAGAGATCTCCTTCACTTTCTGCATCACATACTATTTATACTATGTGTTGAAAGAAAAATATTCGTCCGACGTCCATACAGACTTTTTGTTATAGCTACAAAACTATTTTTTTTTTGTTTTTTAATTTTAATTATAAACACTCGTTAACTTCGCAAAAAAATTTATCGAATAAACTGATTTATACTAAGCATAGATTGTATTGGTTCTACCGAGCTGAATTCTTATTATCCACAAATTCACAACAAAGTGTTTAATTGTGATGTAATCACTTTTAGATTTAAAAATGCTTTAACCAAATTTTGCTAACTTTTTACAGTACAGATTTATTCTTGGTTTGGACCAAGATCATTTTTTTGCACTGTTAATAATTCCAAAACAATTAAGGGTACTTTCTGTTAATATATATATTAATACAATGGAAAATATATTTAGAACATGTTATTATGAAAATTTACTGTTTTTAATTAATGAACATGCCAGATATTTTTTTGTTTTAAATAATAAAGAAACAAACAGACTAAAACTTATCGTCTAAAGAACGATATAACAAATTATTAACTTTTTGTATTTTCCGTATTAATAGATTTAATTTCATCTTCTGTCATTTGTTTTTTAAATTCATCTGCAATATTTGACTCTTTTCTTATATTTTTAACTCCAGATATATTTTGATATCCTCTACTTTCTGCTTGTTGAGGGTTGTATGGTGGTGGCAAAATACTTTTATTTCTTAATGTATTTATAATGTCATCTACACCATCTAATGACATTTCTACAGCAAGTTTAGTTGGATTTTTGTCGGGTATTCCTTTTAAATCAATAGGCGGTAACGACTGGCGCAATTTTTTATGAAAATCTCTGAAAATCAAATAGTTAGAATTTCTAAGAAACTTAAAAAAAAAAATGACCAAAATTTTATTATAAGCACTTACGCACGAAATTTATCTTCAGAATAAAATATATTAGGTACAGGCTTTTTAACTGGATCTTTGGCAAAATGTGGTTCCGATTCTGGTGGAAAAGCTCGATATACATCATACCACAGAGGACGATCTTCCAATTTCATTGCACCTGATTTTATTAAACCATTGACTCTACAAAGTTTTTTACATACATTTTATGTAATATTGGTTTAAAACAAAGTACAGTAATAAGTTATACAAATTACTTATTACCTCGTGAATATAGTGCCAAGTTTTTCTAGACGACTCCCAGCCATATCAGAATAGCTTTTGTAAAATTCAACTTAAAACAAAAAACGGCTTATACTAAACAAAAACTAGGTACAAAATATAATTTAATGTGAGAAAATTTTAGAAAAAAAAATAATATACATCAAAACATTACAAACCTATAAAGAAATGGACTGATAGTAGAGATAGAGTTCCGCCGTCCGAGGATCGTTATCGTTAAAAAAAGGGAGATATTTGTTAGGTATCCCATGGACGAAATAATATCATGGAAAAATAGTTATATGATAATCCAACAACGAAATTTTGGTATAAATATAATTTATCGGGCACCCTTTTTTATTTGTTTTTTAATGAAAAAAATTATGCAGATTGGCAGGGCGAATGTCACGCGACAAAAATACTCCCAAATATATTTCTTTTAATTTTAATGGGACATTTTATAGTCCGTCTTAAGGTGTGAAAACAGCAATCTCGTTGTGTCGGCGGTCAGCTGATATTTTTAATATGTTCGAGTTACCACTGTCGATGGAAAATGAGTAAACCGACATTTTTTAGACGAACAGTAACTCCTTTAACATATTTAAAATAATGAGAACTTCATCTAGGTTATCTCGTCGGCTTTTTTTTTTTTGTTATTAACCGAACATTCACAATTAATACTTTAGTTCTAATATTTTTTCACTTTTTTAAGTGCTGTTTAAGCTTAGAAAATAAATTATTAATTAGTATATCTATTGATTTTAATTATTAAGAATTATTAATCAAGCATAATCTTGTATGGCATATATTTTATAAATATATGCCAGACTGTGCTAGATGACAATCTAATTCTAACAGAAAATGTAAATTTTTATTTCCTACTTATCGAATGAAAAATATTTATCTACGATACCATAAAATAACCCGAAATTATACTGATTACACTAAATACATAACATATATTGATAAATACGTAAATCTTTTAAAACGTATGGGTAATAAAAGTTCAAATGAATTAGACATTAAATTAAAAAAGATGTGAAGAACAACGGTTGTGTTAAAAACATAAAAATCAATTACCCCTAAATTATTTGAATTATTTTTTTTTATGTAATTATTAAAATAATTTTTGAAAATTCATAACCTATCAACTTTAAATAATTTTATATATGTATATATTTATAATTCATACACACTCATACTCAAATAATTGAATCCTGGATTGATGTTACTGTGGTAATTAAGGTTAATAATTATCAGGTCTTAACTAGATCATACGTCTATATCTGTCTAACCAGATCAGTGATCTCCGACAATTGACACTTAATAGGCTTACTTTATACTTGGTCACTTTACACTTTTAAAGTTTTATATTTCGTTAGGTGAGTGGTAGTTGGTAAAATCGAACCGCGGGTATTTTAATAAATAAGTACGCATAAATGTCCTGATTAAAAGTACATATATATTTTGTATTATTGTTAATTAAAACACATTTCATAATAAAAAAAGATAATATGGTATGATATATTAAGTATAAGTAGTATACAATCGAAATAATATAACATGTATAAACTATCATGTCACTGAAATAATTCGGTATACATTATTTTTTTTAGTAGACAGGGGTTTTTAACAATAATAAAAAAACATCCATTCATCATCATTCTAAATGTCAATCTCATTATTCTCTACATTTTAAGTTGTTTGCTGTTGTTAAACTCAAAGTTGAATTAATCATGGTAACTATGATATTAATTACGTTTCCTAACCATAGCGTAAATAGTTAAGAGTGAGAATATTAAAACCAAGATTCCAAAACTGTTTAAAGCCAAACCCTCGGATGAGTAGTCCATGTATTCTGTATTTCTGTAGTAAAAAAAAAACCAACATTTTTGTAATAACAATATAATATTTCAATATTTGTTCTATGATAAATGATGGTGATGGTCATAAATCACACATCAGGTGCTGTTTATACATTGTTTACAGTTCAACAAATTTTAGTTAGATATTGAAGTTAGAGTCATGTATGTTATCATATATATATACACAGTAGCCAGTATATATTACATATTACATTGTCTATATGTAATATGTATGGTAATCATCCATCACGAGTACACAAGTGTTCCTGATAAATTATTAAATTTGAATAACATTAAAAATTATAAATTTGTTGAATATTATGTAACTCAGCAATGAAATTTAAGTAATGCGAATACTCTTGGATAATAAGTGGTAAATAGTGTAGAAAAAATTAAGTAGGCATTTTGGATTAGCTAATACAAGAAGGACGAGACAATTTTTAGACACGAGACGAGGAAGAAGATATGTAATTAGGCACTGGTTCTTATAAGTTATGGGGGGGGGGATATGTTGCCAATTGGAATAAGTTAATTGCTGCTTAAATTTTTGTACGCAAAATATTATTATGCAATGTTGTTAAGCTTACAGACTGTAAACGGCGTGCTCGTTAACTCCGGTCAAGATAGCTGAGGTGGCGATCACTATGGTGTACATACTGAACTGTTTGCCTAGAGGCAAGCCGATTCTGTGAAAGCAAGGCATTGCGAAGGTTATCACCGCGGTAAGCCACTGCAACGTGAAGAACAGCATAGTGGTGGCGCCGATCCAAGAGTGTAGCGAATACAAGTGTCCGAACAGCATACTTTTCAAGTCTAAGGAATTGTTGGATTTGCCCATTTCCCTGCGCACAACCATAAGAAAGACAGACAGCGCCGATACGAGAAGTGCGAACGTATGCAGCATAATATAAGGCAGAGTGGTATTTTTTTTACTTTTTTTTATCATAAACATGGCTGGAAATAATAAATTTATTAATTATACCAAGACGTGCAAGACTAACTTAACTCTAGGTTAGTCTTGCTAGTTGGTTACATTTAACTTTAAAGTCACTAGAACACCTAGGATTCATGTCCAATGGTAAGTATAATATAGGGTGTATATTTATACAGTATACTCAGAGGCTGTTGTTTTATTACGCTAAACAATTTGTCAAAAGGAGAACTGCATTTACATTTTAGTGTCATTTCATTATTTTTAGAAGGGGGTGGAAAAGCAAAAGTTCGGCCCACGGTAATTTATACCGTCATAAACCCCTTGCCAACATTCCAAATGATTATCATACTTCAACCAGTATCATATTAAATGTTCAAAAGAGCAATTGTGTCTCAATTCTCAGAATTATGATTTGTCATACAATTTTATTTATATCAATTAGGGCACTATTTTTTTTAAAAGTTATTCCTTATTTGATATTTCACGTGTTCCTTTTGTACTTGACCCGATAGCATGACCTTTTCTCGGGAAACAAAAAACAGTTTTGGGCTTTAACTCCTACATCACAATTCTCATCCAACATAAGTGACAGTTCAGAATACTAAGTGCCTTAATGCCTTGAAGGGTATGTGTCCTCAGAACGCCAAATTAAACTTTCAACTGTAATTTTAAACCAACTCAACCCGACCGAAGTTTATAATAATATTTTTCTGTTGTTCTTTAAGAATTTTGAATGTTAATATAATTTACTCATACCATAAAATAATACCGATAAGAAGTGCTATGCACAAGAAAAGCAACTGATTTTAAACGGGATTCCCGTTGTCAACAAATGTACCCTCATCATAGTTTACCCCATCCACCAGTACATAAACTAACTGATTAGGTTAATGCTCATTGCTCATACTTACAATTTCCGTAAAGGTATATGAATCCCACTGTGGACAGCGTATAGTGCCAATTGCGTATTTGTGTCTTATTGATGACTGCTGAGTTTGCATTACCCGACTCGCCAAAATATCCTTCTTTGTATATTACGGAAATGCAAACGATGGCGGCTACGGAGGCCAATCCAAAAGCTTGTAAACATGTCCATAGTAGCAGACCGATTGAAATTTCACCTTCTTCATTGTAGCCGCTGTTGCTTTCATCTAAATTATATTAGATTTTAGCAGTATTTTAAGCTTTACTTGGGTGTATATTTCTGATGTAAAACTAGAAGGAATTGAAGGATAAACAAAAATGAATAACAAAAGGTAAACGTTATGTTTGATATTATAAGAGATGATGTCATGAGTCATAATATATCTGTGGTGCTCGGGTAAAAGGTGTTAAGTCCAAAAAGTGCTAATTGTGTAAAAATAAATGATTTGTTTTTGAAATTAACAAATTAGTTATTTTGGACTTAAAACCTTTTACCTGAGTACCACAGATATATACTACAAATATGGTGTATATATATTATCTCGTGTTAAAGTTTGATCCAATTGATCTGCTTGAAATAGGTAAACCCTAGTTGTACCTAACTCTAAATCTGCGCTCCTGAAATGTATACTCTGGCCCATCATAATAATAAATACTTCAATGTTCAAATCAAATCAAGTTGTACAAATTCATACTAAGAATTATTTTATATTTTAACTTAATTTCGACTAATCCACGATCCAATTTATACTTTCGTAGCAATATAAAATTAACTATGATCAAAATTTACAATTATTATCACATATAAATATATTAAGCATTACTTAATAGATCTAATTTTTGGAAAACCCTTCCTTTCATCTAAGAATGACAAAGATGGCACAAATAATGAAATGCATAGATTCCGAAAAATATACTGATACAACATCAAACCAATAAAGAAATTAATTAGGGAAAGAAGGATGGTTTATTCAATACCGTATACATTTTCCGTTAAAACTTACAATTATTTTTTACATGTTGTGCAGGATTGGCTGTACCATCTAAAAACATAAACATATTAATGATTGATTAATTAAAAAATTGTGTTATAACTGTTGGAGGCTCCATAACTAGCAGATGTTAATTGATGCCAACGGTTGGGATGGTATTAGAAATAATATTGATATTTTATTACAGCACAGTATTCGAAGGTAAAATAATAGTATAACATAGTTGTATAAATAAAACATTTAGATGTTTAAATATTTTTTTACACCTAGTTATCATTTAGAATTTGTTCCAAGTTGATCATTTATTACCATTTATCGGTTACTAAGTGGTACCTGGAAAGTATATAGATAAGGAATTCAAAAGGTCAAAAAGTACATACCAAATAAGTGGCAAGAATCAAAGGAATAAAATAGTAATGTTTAGAAAAATGTATCTTTGGCAAATAATGTATATTTAAAAACTTTTTTTTTTTAGAAAAATGGTTATTACCCTTTTGGTTTTAATTAACTCATACAGTACTAGACTCTCTACAGACCGTATCCAAAAATTATGGTATGGGGTCAAACAGTAACGGGTTCTGTTGTGCTTTGGACTATCTAAAGCATCAGGTTAGTCCTGTGGCTTTAGAAAAGATAAATCGTATATGGTGCCTCGTTTTTTTTTTAATGTATTTTTCATTGAGTATATAATATGTACAAGCTGTACAGTTAGCAGGTATGCAATTGTGTAGGTACCTGCATTTCTACACGGCGGTAAAAGTTAATAATTGCAAAGCTCATCAAATGGTGTTCCACGAAAAAGATTTACTGCCTACCCTAAAACTATGCGAGCTAAGTTCAAATAAAATTAAAATTAATATGAAGTAATACCGAAAAAACAAGCTTACTCGCTGTGGGGTTTTCCAGATCTTTTACTGCTGCGCTTTTGCTAATTATTTGTTCGGCAATCGAGTTGGCTGCATCCTCCAATTCCAACACTTCAGAATCGTCTGGAAACGAAAATTCAATTACAAATAAAAAACGCTTGGCAAGACAAACTTAGGCCATATACAGATGAAGTTAGATGCAACGAGTACCTTTGACAGAACTAGTAGTACTTCCACCAACCGTTTGCAGAGCGTACATGTTCAAGAGATGAAAAATTGACAGGACTCAAACACTAAAGTATTTGTCGGTAAACTTCAAAATTCGGCAATGTCAAAAAAAAAATGTTCTTACAATGTCGTGGGTGGCTTCGTCATGAGTACATTTATAACCTAAAACTCTGATTACTCATTTATAACTATAATTATAAAATACTTGACATTTAACCATATAAGTGCTCTGTATAGTACTACACTCAGCCTGTATCAAACAATTAGTCATTTCTTTAATGTAATATCGCTGACTTTGTATTGCTTATGATCGACATTAGATTTACGCTTTTATCGATTGTAGTTTTAAACGCAACTAAGACTCTATATTGTCCATTTCTTCTTTTGCAACATTGTCATGAACAGCATTTGACAAATTTCAACAACACGCATATGCGTGTATTGCAATTCTGTCAAAATATTATTGGCTTTGAGCTGGCGCGTTGTAATCATGACTATACAAATAAAGACTATGTTCTTCTAATCTAACCACTTGAGATAAAAATATTGTTTGTGTGCGTTGTACAATTAACAGAATTTAGGAACACAAAAAAATTATTCCTAATAAACATGTAGAGAAAACGAAGAGATAAAAAAAAAACCCAATTTCACATAATGCATTATTTTATTTGTAATAATCAAGTCAGTCGTTAAATGTTATAATACAATAAAAGGCGAAAAAAATTAGCACGCAAACAATACTCGTTAGGCACTAAAAATGCAAAATATAAGTACTAATTAAAGGCACAAGTTTGATGTCCTAAGTGTGTATAAACAGTAAAATGTAACTATTAAATTGTTTTCATTATTTAAATTGACTTGTTTTTAGTGATGGAAGACTAGACAAAATTTAATATTTTGTGTATAAATGTTTTTTTTTTAACTATTAAGCTCGAATTTAAGTTTAGAGATCTGTTGATTAATTTATAAATATAGAATAGAAAATAAAAATTATGTATATACCATGGTTTATAAATATATATATATATATATGTATATATGTAATGTATACATAATATAGAATAATAAAATATTAACAAAATAGAAAAATAATATACAGAGAAATAATTAAAATACATTTAACAAAAATAAATATTAGGAAGTTTTTTTTTTAAAGTTAAGATTGTTTTTAATGTTGACGCATTATTTCGTAGATAACGTAAATTGTCAATACTCCGAGTACAATGTGGTAATTAATTTTGATGCGATTTGTTAGTTTTACAATTTTTGTGTCAACTTTGAAAAACAGTGTTAATTTTCTACAATTTGAATTTTACACATCTATGGCACGTGTTCTACTTCCTAACAAAAGCTCTATACTGAGTCAAATACTCGTAGTGTTTTTAAGTGTTTGTTAGTATTAAATGAGGTTTTGAACACATTGGGTTTTTAAGATTTGCCCATATACGTTGGATTTTTAAACGTTGATGTCGCTTGTCTGTATATTGGATTTTCAGCCTAAAATAAATAAAACAATTATACAAATTAGGTCCACACTTACAAAGAACTAGAGAAAAAAAATAGCTTACAGTATCCCATTTGGCTATCATACGTTCTTTCTCGAATTTAGCAAACTCTCGTCTATCATTTATGGTGGTCAGCAACTTCCACAGCAACAAGAGAGCCATACCAATCAAAACTATAGCACCAATAACTCCCATAATTATTCCTAAAAAGCAATGTAAAAATATATAGGAATTATTTTCTAATTTCTAATTTGAAGTTGCATACCCATAAAGTACACTTGAGGTGGACACTCCCTTTCTTCTTGGGCTCGTATGATTACTTTTCCACTTTGGTCATACGTGTATACATAAGCAAAACGGCAATCGTCTTCGTCATAATAAGCACAGACATTTTCATCTTTTTCCTCACTAGCTAAAATTATTAGGAGTATTTTAGTAAATACTACTTATTCCAAAACTATTTTTAATAATTACAATTTCATACCTTCAGCTACTTTAACAAGAATTGGCTTAATAGTGCAGTTCTGAGCACATTCCTCTGGAGTTAAAGGACCAGTTTTATATACCAAACATTGAATGCAATCTTTAAATTCTTGACACCGTCCTGGACATGTCTAAAAAATTTAATTATATTTAGTACTAACTTTTACTTTTTTGTTACTTAGAGAACAGGTGTTCTGAAACATTTGCAAACCCATGTTTGCAACAAATGAAAACTACTGGTGTCCTAATAAACCACCAAGGTATAATAAATTATTTATATTTTAGTATTTTAAAAACACAAATACATAATTGCATTAATAGCGTTAAAAGCAATTCGTAATTTTATGATTAGTTGTAGATAGATCACCAGTTTAAGAACTGCTGATTTAGAAACTAATTGGTAAACTTACTGGACATTTTTGACAGTATTTTCCAGAATATCTAATGTTGTCTTCTTCGAAACATTTACACTGGCCGCATTCACATACTCCACGTCCTGAGCATATTTCGTTACTACCATCCATTATACATGTATCATTTGTAGCATGACAATCGCAAGATTCTCCTGACCAACCAATGTTGCACTTACAGTTGCCACAATCACAAATACCGTGACCACCACACAGTGCGCCACCAGAACGATCGCACGAAAAGTTATCGCATTCACAGTAAGTACCATAAACTTTCTAAAAATTAAATTTATTATGTTTAAATAATGAATGATTATAGCCAGAGATGGGCTTTTGTCAAAAGATTTTAATTTGTATAATTATTCAAAAATTATAAGTTATTCAGGACTTTTAATTATTATTCAAATAATTTTTGCACAAATCTGGTTATTATAATCTAAAAATTAACTAATATTAACCTCATCTGGATTTATTCTTTGTTGACAATCACATTGACCGCAATTGCATTCGCCACGACCGGAACAGTTCACTTCAGTTTCATTATTTGTACGACAGCCAGATACCAAAGAAGTATCATTACCATGTCGATTGTTGTTTGCGTCACATTCACAGGTACGGCCAAAATGAAAGGGATCACATTCGCAAACTCCACATTTTAATGTACCTGCTCCATGACATTCAAACGATTTTTCAACATAACCCTAAAAAAATCAAATTTCATTTGAATCTAGATTTTAAGGTATTGTAGACAAAATACATAATGTTTTACATACAAAGTTTCCAGGGTTTTCACATGGACAATCACATTGCATTTCTACATTTACAGTTAAAGATTCATTGATACCAACAGGATATATTTGGAATGTCTGATGCCAATGCTTGCGGTTTGGCGGACACGCTGTTACTTCGATTTCGGCTTGAAATTTGACTACTGTACCAACTTTTAATCCATCACATTTGTTCGTCTGTTTCAACTGACCACTTTTGTCGAGACAACTGGAATAATATGTAACTTTTACGGCACTTGATGCTGTATCTCTCATCTCGACTGATGATGATATTTTCTGTAATAAAATCATTCCATTATTAAAAACATTATGAAGATTCAATAACAATGTTTAAAATTAAAAAGTTAACCTTTTCAGTCAGTAACAATTTTTATTTTGAAAGAAAGGACTAAACTGATGTATTTTTCATTAATTTGGGTTTGTAAATAAAGGTGATGTCCTACTGATAGAACATAGTGACTGAAAGGGTTAAACTTTAAGTGTCTGAGTAACTAACATTATACTGATCTTTGACTAAATCGACTACATTAGCTGAATCGTTTGACAAAGTACCAGCAGATGATCCTTCGATGTGTTGTTTTAAGCGTTCATAAACACTTATCTGCTCAGCAGTCACAGCAAAAATCATATTGATTGAGTTTTGTCGCACTTTCAAATTAATCTGGAAAACAATTTCAAATGATTAATGTGATTTTTTTTTATAGCAAATTGCATAGAACTTATAGAATTTAAATCATCAATATCAATTAGTGGTTTTTAAAAATATTTACCTGTGAAATTGATGGATAATCTAAAAGACTTGAATGTGTGTAACTACCTCTACTATCTAAATGACATTGTCCATCATTTGGTTTTACAATTCCACCAAGCTACACACAAAGTTCAATGTTTTAATATTTGTACTAGTTGTAATTAAAAATTATACAAAACTTTACTTTTCCATCTCCAGCGTAATGGAATCCAGCATCTGTTGAAAATACTAGCAATCGGCGTGCTCGTTCTCTCCAGCCTATTTGCTCTCTACATACAATTGCTTGCATGATGGCGTCAAAGCCACCTTCGGGAGCGTCCAAATTGCCCGACACACTGGCTTTTTGAACCTCACCCTATTTAATATTGAAATTATGCAAAGGATTCAAAAACACTTATTTAATAATAACTAAACAAAATGTACAGTAAATAGATAAAAACACACCATGCATAGCAACACAAAAAAGCACTACGTCATGTTTTCAAAATTAGTTACCCTATATAAGGCTTGTTAATCGAAGACAATAAAAGTCAGTTTATGTTTAATAAAGAAACGAGATATTTTGTTAATTTTTAAAAATATTTAACAAAAAATATTATGGTATTGTATGGGTTTGAAGTAATTTGTTATATTAAATAGCTTATTTAATTAGTTTAGAACGGTTTGAAAATTGTTGTATTGAACTTACGGCAAATCTATGCGTATCTTGGCTGAGAGACATGACGTTTTGGTAACCGTATGGAGCTTCACAGCGTGGACACGGTTCCACCAAGCTGAATATTATACAGGCACACAAAAATTATTACAAAATCAATTTTGTAATAACATAATACAATATATAGTTTGAATAAATACTTTAAAACATGCATTCACAACACAAAATAAGTGTCATGTTATAACGACACCAATTACACTAAATAAACACATGGAATACATTTGTATTGCTAAAAATATTTAAAAGCTTGCCAATAATATTTCGTATGAAGCATTTTAGTATTAAGTATTTACCTACAAATTGTCAGCACTTAAATCATTTAAAAAATGAAAAAGAAAAAAATATTATTAAAAAGTAAGCTTGAACCTGGCAACCGATCTAGACCCAAAAAGGCCTATTCCTAGTCAAAAGCTCCATATGATAAAAAAAAAGTGATTTTAAAAATGCAAACAGTTTTTTTTTTAGATATTTAAAAAATATAATGGAGGTACCTATGGGTTATGACTTATGAAACAGCTAATTCCATGTGTTTACTTTAGTAATCAGTATTATAAATCAATATTCAGGTTTTTTAACACATACAAAGTTGGGAATACTTTTCAACAAACTATAGTCTAATAAACATGTATGCACTACGCGTGATTCTTAATATCTTACACGTTTTACTGTACATTACATACAAAAAATAAATATAATGATTTACAACCTTAATTTTTAAAATCATGCGTCAACTAGTAACAGGAAAGAATAAGTTAAGCTTGAAACAAAATTTTTATGAAAAATATTTATGGCTCCAACTATAAGTAATTGTTGATGAATGTTTATGAAATACAACATTGTAGATAATTTCTGAGCCAAAAATCAAATATTTAAAATCCATACTTTTATTAGTAACCAAAATACAAACACTTTTAAACCTTCCTTTTGTTTTTAAATAAAATTAAAAACAAAAATACATAGAACGCCTCCACCAAAGTTACAATTGCAAAAAATTAAATAAAAAAAATCCTCTGGAATTAGGAATAATCGAGTATTTATAGATAATATTATAAATGTTAGGAATTTTATGAAGGATATGGATGTAAAATGTTGGTATCTACACACATAACGAAGTAGCTGTAGCTGTAATTATACACCTAAGGCACATAAAATGTGTTTGTACAAAGTTAATCTATTTTATATAAACAGATTGTTGATAATACAGGCGAACAGATTTTTTTGCATTGGCTGGACCCAGTTAACATCAATAACTTACTGAGAATCGATCAGTGTCTGAGCTCAATGACAACTGATTTTGATAACCGTATGTACGAACACAGGAATCGCATGGAGACTCAAGTCTAACCCCAGATAAATCAGACGAAAGAAAACAAAAAATATATAATGTAGGTTTAAAAATCACATACATCAATAGCAATAACAATGCTAAATGCCAAGTAATTTGGCGATTACTCACTTTTTAGCAACAGTGCTCACATAAGGCATCACTACCTTGTCAACAAAACTACCAAACCCGAGACGAAAGTTGGATGTAATGTTTTGCATACTCTCGGCCAACAAATTGCCTAGTTTAGACAACTTTTCTTTATCGTCCTCCATGGATTTTGACAAATCCATTAAATAGTACAAATCGACTGGATAATCTTCAGCTTGTGCGTAATTTAACGATATCCTGTAGGCTTCGTCTATTAATATACACATAATATTAAACAAATTAGTAAGTAGTAATAACCACACAATGAGAAAAAAAAAAGTCAACTAACTGATTCTAAGTTTAAGGGCTACTTTTTGTGGCGATATTTGGACAGCGTCATGCCCAATGCCAGTTGCTCCTCCGGCACTCGAAAAGGAACCACTAGAACTGCTGCTGCTACTAGAAAATGAAGAACTCGTCCTACTGGCTTTTTGAAGTTTTCGCGCTTCAACGATACTGAATTCGTTGTCAGGGTTATTTATATAACGCTCTTCACATTTTTGCAGAACGTTGGAGTTGATGTGGAAACACCGCTTACCATCGAATTTCTGAGGTAAAACACAAAATTACTACTGGTTTTCATTAAAAAAATTGTTAAGATAAAAATTTGTTATAGCGTGTCGGACGTGACTTTTCAAAGGAAAAAAATATCGGTGACGAATAATTATTTATGCTGGAGTAGTATTTTTTTATTTACAATAACAGATCCTAATAAGCAATAACTTACCGGTTGAGCGCACCACGCGCACGTCGGGGTTTGTATACATTCGTGACAAGTCTGTTTGAGTATACAAGGATTTTGTCTGATTAACTGTTGTTGAAATTCTTCGGCGCTGCAAAAGCCCAAAGTCAGCAGCACAACCGTCCACGTAATTACAAGTCTCTCGTCCATTACTGTAGATTTATATTTATAACCTACACAACAACAAGCAATTGTATTTATAAGTCAGAGTTGGTAAAAATAAACTGAAACCACAAAAAAAATATGTCTGTTTACCTAAAAATACTACTTGTCATTATGTAATATATATTAAAGGGCCAACAATTTTTATTCTTACACAACATTATAGTATGAATTTCGTGTTTTAACGTAGAGGACAACAGTTTTTAACACGCCTACTACAATAAGTCAAATAAAAAAAAATATATATATATTAAATCACACATATAAATCCTTAATACATTTTTAGAAATTAAGGAACAACGGTAGCAATATTGATTCGTCGACATGCCAATGGCTATTCAACATTTATTTTTTAGGAATCTACTGTTGTTTTTGGTAAAAATATCAAGCAGAGCTGCTTTGACATTTAGTAAAAGCCGCGTGCGTCGTACCTTAGTTCAATGAATCTATTTTTATATAATCTTTTTTTTGCAAATGTCTCGGTTTTTTTTATTCGAATAGAGAGGCGGCCTGTTTGTGTCTATATCGTGACACTGCTTCAATAGAATTTTTTATTTTGGAAATTTGTTATTCAAGAAGGACACACGTAGGCAAGCACCTCCTCCCTATATAGAATCTGCTTGAATATACGATCGTTGCTGTCATTTTTAACAATAAGAATAGCTTATGTCCATAATATAAAAACAAAAAAATAAACAACCTATTTATGGAACACATAATAATGTTATAAAATTTAGAATTTCCGTCTTATTATACGACTGAAGGGATATTAAGACAACTTTTCATTTTAAGTCGCCTCTAATTCGATGCGTCAACGCAGATAGTCATATAAATCTCAAATTCGATTAGTCACACGTTGACTTATAAGGTTTTTAGTATTGATTACACACAGTTTTTAGTACATTGTGCAGCTAAGCTATGGCGACGTCGTAGGTTGTGTGTGTTGACTATCGTATAAAAAAAAATATTTACATTTTAAAAAGAGAGTATTACGTTATTATATTGTGTTTTTGTGCTTTATTGGTTTTGGTCCATCGGAATACGAACGCGTACACACTCACACAGTGTTGTCGCGCTCATTAACTAAGTCCCCCACCCATTGACGTGGACAGCTCCTGGGCATGAGAACTGCCATATGCGGTTTTGGACGGGACGAACGCGCCGATTTACCCGGCTTTGGTTTTAGTACGGTCTGACGGCGTCCGGCAACGGCCATTTCCGCGGCACGGCGACGCGCCAAAAGCCGCCCGTCCCGTCGAAACGGCCCGATTTTGCGAACATGTGTTCAATCACGGGACGCCGGTGACCGCGAGTTGGGTGCACGGAGAGAAGGGAGGAAGAGAGCATGTTGTATCTTTTTAAGGCGGCACACCAACATACACGCAGACTTATCTTAAGCGCATAACACATATTGTAAAGTGCACCAGGCGGCGGCACGTGGGTGTACACAACGGCCGCCGTGCGAGGACAAAACAACAAAAACCAGTCATTCCCACACATTACAGACGGTCGGTCGTATGGAGTTACCACCGCCGTTTATAGATTACAAGAGAACAAATTGTATTTTTATTTCACGCCTTATCATTTAGGGGAAGAAGTCTTAAGCGTTATAATAACAATATGCAATATGTGTATTATTTTAAACAAGGAAAAACTAGTTTTAAACGTAAACAATTAATTGAACAATAAAAAATCACAGATTTGTATTTATTAAAATATATGTTAAATGTCTGTTTTAGTTAGTATCAACCCCGAAGAGCGAATATGTAATTATTACAAAAATACAAATTTTTTAGTGTATAATTTTCAAACGCGCGTTTGTATCATTGAGTTTACACATAATATTATATACTATATAGTTGTACGTTACAGGAGAGCCACGAGGCATATTGTTGCGTGTTAACACTTAACCCCTTCGTTGCGCTGATCGAGATTCGATGAATGAGGAGAAAACGAGAGGTTAGTTGTTTTTTCCGCGGAGATGAACGGATTTTTTTACCGACCTTCCGTGGCGACAACGTCGACGGAAGGTGTAAACTATTTTTCCACCTCCACTTCACAGACGAGGACGGTATACACGGCCAAACCTTATATGGCTTTGATGGACAGTTATCCGGTGTGTGTGTGTTACGGTTTATAGTTTGTACTTTATACTGTAAACCAAATGACTGCGACGTCAACTTATTGTCGGTTTTAAACGTATTATTATATTATTTTTAACGATCAAACATATGGAAGAAATTCCATCCGACGAAATATAATACACTATAATACAGAAATTTCGTTATAAACTTAGGCCAAAAAACTCACCCGGGAGTTGATCGGGGTCAAATCGATATATTTTGTTATTTGCGTGTCTCGTAAACAAAACGCACATGGCCGTTTGTACTTATCGATATTACGCAAGTAGAGCGGGTACGTAAACCGAAAAAAAACAACATAGTTTTTAACCTCAGCGATGGTTATTAGGTTAATGGATTTCGTCGGTCTTGACTGGCGTTGGGAAAAAAGTTTGCCGAAAGCCATAGGATTTTACTATGCCCCGTGGTGTATAATTTTTCGAAAATTAATGATGCTCTATCTCCTGACCACTATTTGTTATCAAATAGCGATTTAACTATTATAATGTGGCATTTGAATTTAAGTGTAAATCAATAATAATTATTGTAATAATAGTTGGTGACACGTGACGCAAAAGAAATTCCTCAGGCTGTGGGACAGGAAACGGTTCAGAAGGCGTTGGTCGAACAAGAGCAGATAGATTGAGAGAAGGCAAAAAAATAAAACTTCCAAGACCGAGTGGGCGCGTTGTGAAATCGAGAGAATTGTACAAGTATTCATCATTTTACCGTCGACCAAAACTATTCACTTTACGTATAGAGCGGTTCACATCGACCTTAAAATTTGTATACGGAATTGCAATAAAGAAGTAATTCGGAGGCAAATTAACAATAAAATTACTATTGATGGGTAAAATTTTAATTTTGACTGGTTAATTGAATCGTTAGGTGGCTTAGTAGGATCCATAATAACATCATTATGTCACGATGAGAGCTAATGATCATAATGAGTAATCGGACACGCAAGTTTTAATGGAAACGCATAAATTGTTGGTTTAAAAGGTCTACACGTTTAGTTATATTGCGCAAGTATACCTATTTTTGTGCAGTTAGTTTGTGCAAATAAACTGAGTGAACTTACAAGTTGTTTTTACTTTTTATTTTTTTGTTCATTTCTAATAATTCTAAACATATTGGTTTTCAAACTCCGAAAACCGTGCGATCGTACAGGTTTTTTCGAGGCACCGCCTGAACTTGCAGTTTAAATATTTTTAACTGTGCATCATACGATTTTTATTTACACGCGCAGTTAGTTGGTACAAATCAAAACTACGTGCAATTAGTTTGCACAGTTTAATTGACCTCAACTTAACAGTTTAAAAAAATTATACAGCCAAAACATTTAATGACTGAATTTTACTAGCAATATTAATTAATTACAGTACATTCCAATATTGAATACTCGGTTCGAATAACGCGCAATAGACCACTTTTTCGGTTTTTTTTTTTTTGCGAAATACTGTGCTTTGAAACAATTTAAACCTATTTTAAGAATCATACTACTCCCCAGAATTATCTTATCACACCTTCAATTTTTCGAAGTTATGTTGTTTATTGGTTCTTTTTTTGTAGCATTCTGTAAAGTAAAGATAATAAGATATTGTAAAGTATACATAATACATATTTTATATGTTACAATTTATACCGCGATGATTTACTTCGATACAAATTAATAAATTTACTACTTCATGAACTCAAACACGGGCCACTTAACATTCTGAATTGATAAACTCTTTATTGTGGTAATATAAATGGGGCGATATTACACAATATATTATTATAATACGTACAGATACTGTGTGTCCCAAAATTCCGGTGATATCTCAAATATTTCCAACTTTTAGTTTCTTAGTAAGTGGGTCCAGGAAATGTACTTAATATGCAGCTTAGTTTAACTACAAAAATATTTTTTGAGTCGAATCTTGACGAGGAGACACGATTTACAAATTACACTTTTCACTACTTACAAAGAAATAATACTTTATTTTTAATTATTGAGTGTCCCAGGATTTTTAGCAGAGTTGATTAAAAAAAGCTAACTTTTTTTTTAAGCCAAGCGAATGTTTTATATTTACCCAAAGATATGAGTTTAATAGGGGTTATGTTTGCGCATACAGAAAACACGTCACTGATGAGTGTAATGTTATATTTGTTCGATCGAAAAATGTTGGGCCTTCCGCTAGAATGCTTACGAATAAATAGTTTAGGAGAGTTTACATAGTTTTTAATATAAATGACACGTAATAAAAACCATCCAAAGTTATTTTCTGAATTCTGTCGATTTGAAATGATAAAAGGTAATGGACTTTTTTTAATAATAAAAAACCGTGTAAAATACATGAATAAGTAAAGGCGTAAAAAAATTATGATTTATCGGGAAGAAAAACTAAATGAAATTTGTACAGCCGTTAATGTTTCATTATGAGATAAAAATAAATAAATGCAAGCTCTTCCGGTGGTCGGTTATTCGATGTATTTTGTTTCAAAATCCGCCATCTCGCGTTTACCGACAAGTTAAAAATAGAACGATGACCCATTTCAATTTTCATTGAGCACCGGCCGAGGGGGAAAACCGCAATTTGTAGATGTTCACGAATATGTTTTTTTTTTTTTAATAAACAGTATTGATGAAATATTTTTAATGCTAATGGTGTTTCCTTGGGACAATGCATTGTAGCTTTATATATTTGATTGAAAGCTGGACATACATAACAATGTGTGATGTCACGGCAGCAGGCGGTGATGCAAACATTTGATTACGGATTTATAAACAGTTTTCCTGAATTCAACTTGCACGCGAATACACGATAAGGGTATCCGGTATTAAAATACATTATGACTAATGAGTAGTTCCATTTAAGAAAATAATACTCATTTACGCAAACCGAAAGGATAGAAAACTACAAGGGCACTACAGTATATATGCTTTATAAGCACAACATTAATACCAAATTTGTAGTAAGGAGATTCAAACGATTACGATATACATAAAACAATGAAAAATGTGTTAGTAATTAGTAGTTCTTACAATTTCATAATTTTCTACTAAATAATTAAGAAAGTAGTTATGGAATACCTTACTCCTTAATTACTTTCAGTGCTATGGCGTACATATTATGATTCGAATTTTCATTAAATATAGAAAAAATATAATACAACCATTATTATACAACTAATGAAAAAAAATAATTAAAAATGAATAAAAATTATGGTAATAAAATATATATATATGCTTCACAAATTTGATGAATCCTATTCTGAAAGCAATCCTGTCTCCTGACTATAATTTCTATTATATTCTTTAAAATTTGAATAATATTATGTTTAAATACATTTTAAAATTTAGTTTATTAATTATCCATAGTTAAATAATAGTTATTCACAAGTATTAATTAATCTATTTATAATAGATATAATAATAATTAGTATCTTATTTTTAATTTTTCCTCAACTTAGGTAAAAAGTCATTGAATTTAGATTAGTTCATTCAGGTAATAAATTACAAAGTAATTAAACTTTTAATAATATATAACATAAATGTTTAATGAAAAATGTAATAAAATTCAGAATTGAGACAAAAAAGCTAAAAAAAATGATATGGTAGCATATGTTACATTTTGTATCAATGCAATATAATTAAGTCACAATTGTTTAAATATTGTAAATGATTATTTAGTAATATTCTGTAGGTGTAATTCAAATTGGTTGCACAATGGGTGATAGTGATTAGAGAGCTAACCTAAATAAATCGACAATTTAATGGAAGAATATATAATATAATTACTAGCCAAGTACAATTTGCGATATTCCTTGAAAATTATGGAATACACAGTATATTTATATTTTGCAACTACATTATTAGTTAATTTTAGAAATTGTATTCTTCATAAATTAGTGACTAGATTATGAGTTTTAACAATTATTTAATAGTAGATGAATTACACGAGTTTTAAAATGCTTCTTACAACTATTATAATTTTTTTAATAACAAAAATCATTCAGTGGCAACTGAAATCTGAATGTTGAGAGTTATTCAAGACTGTAGTTTGACTAGAGAGATAGTAAAATATTTAATATAACATAATTATTTATAGTTTGGTTATAGTAAGAGGGATAATATAGAAAAAGCCTAAAAACAAATGTTTATATATTAATGAGAGTTATTTGAGGATAATAAATGTTATAGGTCTTGTTGAGTAGAAATTTAGAGGATTAAGTTGGCCATAAGTTAAGTTTCTACCTTTTCTAGGGAAAAGGGTACATCCTTGGCTTAGAGATATAAATATCAGTCATACTATAATAAAAAAAATACCCCACATAAATATGGAACTCTTATGTTGTTTTTGAAGCCACGGAAGAAACTATGATTAGTAAACTAAAAATTAGGCTTAAATTAGGAAAATACCTAATTCTTGTAAGTAGTAGAGACAACATACACAAACAAGAACACATTTATAGAGAAATGAAAAAATTATACAAGTAGATGAATTGACATACTCTAAAAGAGTCGTAAGTCAAATGGGATAAGTAATAAAGAGAATGAGTAAGAAGGAATCAACATTTTATAAGCATGGTGTGGCGAAGCAGTTACTATAAATGATGCTCGGCACCTTAAATTAAGCAGTGTCTCTTGCTGCTTGATCTTGAAAGGGCGACGAGAGAGATAGAGAGAAACAGAGATACTTCATTGATGGTATAAGAATTTGAAGTTTTTTTTTATAATTAAGGTTATTCATTATTTGTTTATTTTTTTATTATAATATATTATTCTTTTTTAATTCAGGAATACTTAAATTATGGAATTGTTGATTTTAGCTGTAAAAGGTTCATGAGAGACGATAATATTACTAGTCGATCCAGAAGAATCAATAAATTCAAACATGTACTAAAACTATAAATATAAGTAACACAAAGCTTATCACAAAAACTTAGATTTTTAACAATTATTTCATATTTGAAATTTAAGTATTATCATTGATATTGAGAAAGTAAATGGTATAAATTAAATTGAAAGTTTATAACATTTTTCATATCACCAATACCCCCTCTAAACCTACCTACTGAAGTAAATTTCTATCAGTTTAAAGATGTGTTTTTGAATTCGTTTTGTTTATAAATACTAAATAGTAAATAATAAACCAGTGTTTTTTTTTGTTTCGTCTTGAGGCCATCCATTGTCAAGCAGGCATAACCAATCAGACTAACAAGAAATATAATGCTATTCTTATGTTGTTTGCGGAAGTAGACAAAAAATAAAATCATAGTCTTAATAATGTTATTATAAAAAAACGTCATTGTTATTGAAAAAAGATTGACCGCCAAGACAGATATGAGACTGTCAACTAAAACCAAAATAATCGTCATTCGTTACTTACGGGTTTAGTTAAACAATTTTTGAACGTCCACGGCGGTTAACTCTGGTGGGTGAAAATCGCTTTAGACGACCTTTGTGTTACTCTTGACAAGCGAAAGAGGCAGTGGACGTATTCTTTTTTCTAGTCGAGCACATTTCCGTGTTCCGAACGCGACACCCGTTAATCTGACGACGATTCGGTGTCCACTAGAATTAACCCCGTATACTCCATTGCAAGCGAAACTGTTTTTTGTTTTTAAATTTGATTGATATTAACAAACACAAATTAAAAAAAAAATACTATAAATTAACAAAATAAATGGTCGATTCGATAATTCGGTTTCCGTATTCATTTATCACCATCGTATTTACCGCACCGGACGGGTCGCGCTCTAACAGTGGCGAGTGGCGACGGCGGACGACAAGCGCATACACATTACACAGGCGCGCCTGACGAGGCCACAGGAGAAAAATGCAACTCTAAAAATGGGCAGCCCAACCCAACCGAACCACCACTGTCGTCCCACCAGCGTCCAGCACTGAGCACGGAACGCCGCTATATAGTTAAAGTCACCGCCTCCGTATCAGTGGACGGCAAAAGGTGCAGGAAGCCAGTCCAAAGAGATTCTAAACATATGTCGGCCTACTTTTTGGCGCGTCGGCAACGTTATCTACCTTTTCAATTGTAAACTTTTATCATATCAATAAAAATTACAAATTTGAAATTTTATTCTAATAATCACACACTATAGTCAATGTGGTATAGACTACAGTCTGTGGCCTCTGTGCTAAATGCTAATATAATGCAATTCCTCGTCAATGAGAAATGATCAATTTTTTTAAAATAATTATTTAGTTAACTGATTGACTTAAAACGCGTGTTTTAAACAACAGTGGATATAATTAAAACGGCATTACATAAGAGGTCATACCATTTAAGTACAAATAGTCGTAAAAATGAGATTATGGCAAAGAAAAAAATGTTGATACCGTTAAAATAAGAAAAACATTAACTAGGTTCTCTCGTCGGTCATCGGTATGTTTAGAAAACTGTTAAAATGTTAGAATTATAATATAAATTGTGAATGTTGGGTCAATAATATCTTATATCGAAAAAGCCAAAGAGAGAACCTAGATGAAGTACTTATTATTTTAAATATATAACAAAATATTTTCTACGATTATTACAAAGCCAATAACAGAGAATATGCGTAGTTATGTTTCGATACAATTTTTTTTTTTTTTTAATCGCTATCAGGGATGCTGTGATAATTTGAAAAATAAATTAATCATTAAAAAAGAGTCCTAATTACTGAACTAATATTGCACATCACATTTTAACTTTCAAATTGAGATTTCGCAAAATTTACCTACCCCTAACTCCTAAATATATGACATCATCTTAATGCCTAAATACTTTGTGTATAAGATACAAATTAATGAATTTACAAAATAATGATGTACTATTTACAGGTAGTGTGTACCTAACCTAGTAATGTATTATTTATTGCACTTGCCGTTTACTCAACTTTTGTTATTATTAGATAGCTTTTTGTTTACTGTATCATAAGGTATAGCACTGACCATTAGTAAAAGATGATATTTTTATCTAGCTATGAAATATACCCAGGTACATCTCGACCAAACGTCTTGAACAAAATTGATGATCCCTAATAATTAATGATATTTAATCATTTCTGAACTAATCAAAATTAATAATAGCTTTACATCCTGCCCTGCATAAGTGCCGTAACTAGAAAAAAAAATTGTATTTTTTCTTGGTTTAATCGGTTTTTACTTTTTTTTTCGAGTTACGGCACTTTTGCTTAGTAGGGCAGTATAGTATTGTATACATATTTGGTACACATCACAAATGTTTTTTTTAATACTTTAAAGATGCTGTCAATTATAAATGATAACAAAACTATCTTAAAACATTGTGCTCCTTACTTGTTATTATAATGCTGACCACTAGGGTTGGGACTAATATTCGGATTTTGCGGATATCCGGATTATTTGATATCCGGATAATTCGGATACGGATATCCGAAATCCGGATAATTGATCAACTATCCGGATATCCGAAACTATCCGGATAGTTTCGGATATCAAATAATATTTCAATTATCCGTAGAACCAAAACTATCCGAATAGTTAAAAAATTATCCGGATAGTTTCGGATATTCATTTAATTTTTAACCAGCCGAATATATTTTTTTGAGTACTCAAATTTATGTATTTTTTGAAACTTTCACGGGTTGAAATATCACATGGATGATTTTCAGATATATCCGTGTCAGTGGTTATTAACCGGCAGCGGAACAGTTGTGACAACCCTGAGGATGGACTCTGCAAAGAGTCCGAATAGTCGGTTAACAACCACTGACACGGATATATCTAAAAATCATTCATGTGATAGTAAAATTTACTCATTATTTTATTATTCGGTATGTTTAAAAACACTGTATATTATTAAGGTATATTTGTCTTATAAAAATGAAATGAATATCCGAAACTATCCGGATAATTTTTATATCCGGATATCCGAAACTATCTGGATTTCGGATATCCGAATATCCGGATAGGCCCAACCCTACTGACCACAATAATAGCTGTATACTTGTATGTACTTTCAGTTGCCTATGCCTCATGCCGTAAGTAAGGTTATTTTCAAAAATAAAAGGTAAAAGTAAACAGTTCAAAGTAATTACTAATTTCTATGAAATAATTACGTCAACATTTTAATCGTAATAACTAATTAAACTATATATATTTTTGTTTGAAAAATATCAATTGAAATTAATTTTTGTTAAATTAAGAAAAGCTAAAAGAAACTAATTATTTAACTAATTGTATATTACTGTATTCTTTAAAAAAAATAATAACAAAATTACTGTGCTTATAACAGTATTTTAACGAAACCTAACTAGAATAAATTATGATTTTCAAATTAAAAAAATAATTCTTCTCTAATAATGTTTTACTGTTGTTGGTTGTTTTACAGAGTATATTATAAAATTTTACGGTTTTCTTGTTATATTTTTTTTTATGTCGTACTCGAGTTAAGTATCTAGTTACTTATATTTTTTACGTTACACATTTTCACTCAAACAAATTAGAATGATTGTTTAAAACAAAAACAATTATTTTATGGTTTTACTGTATTCAATGAAGGTGGAATACATTTCAGATTATCAAATTGATTCATGGTCGGAGACTTGATTCTGGAGGTAACCATAGGGTGATTAGGGTGAGATCATGGTTACCTACCGTGGATGTCGAAGCATGGAGTAATACTCTATGGAGGTAAAACATACATGTAAACGTTTAATGGGAGGTAACCATTAATAAACGACTTGTATTTTGCGATATTACATTTTTGTTTCGTGAATCGTGATAATATGATTAAATCAATTTTATTTAGTCTTTGTTGCCATGGAATGAACCAGCATCATTATTTTATTATTGCTTACGAGTGTTTCTATTTTACAGCTTAATGATCCTCTAAATTATGTTTTATCATAGCACACGCGGTATTATCTATTTAGATAATCTGTGGTGTTCTACAAATAATAATGATTGTCGTTGATAAGCGTCTACTTTCCGCGATCATTATACATAATGGCTAGCTAAGTAATGTGTTAAAAGTCTAACAAAACATACTTCGCGCATTTATATTAAATGTATTTTAGGAAATCTGCGCATAATGAAAACGTAAGTTAACGTTGCCATTTTTGAATTACGAAAACCAATCGTTTCTATACTTAAAATTAAATTGTATGTTTGTTATTTTTCAGTATTAAGCAGCTCTCCTATCACTATATCATATACACTTTGTAAGAACTACAGACATTTATAATCGATAATTCGTAAGTTGAAACTTGGTCACTACTCATTATTAATAGTTAATTTTCAATCTCTAACTACTATAAAATATGGTTAGGTATATTCTTTCACTTATCATTGTAAAAAAGTAGAACTGTTGAAATAGTTAGACAAATAAGGAAGTTATTTTATCTTTTTTATTTACCTATTTTAATGTATCTTTATGCATGCATTTTATATTTAAATGATTATTAATTCTACTTAAAGTGCATTAGAAAGTGTTAACTCATTTAAAATATTTTCAAGTGATACTTATTTTGAAAAAAACTCAACCTGAAAGTTATATATTTTTGTTTTAATTTATTAAATTCAATTGTATATCTAGAATGATTTTGAGGTCATAATCTCTATGAAATTATTCAGTTAATTTCTTTTAATGCATTAGGAAATGGTATAGTTGCCTTACATAATATCTTCATAACAAATCTGTTCCTAGTCTTGTTTAGTTTTATGGTGTTTTGGGCTTATATATATATATATATATTGTTAATTATCAGAACTATGTTTTATAATTTATTCTAGGTAACTATACAGATGGACAACAAAATAATAACTCAATCCAAAAAACCATCACGGAGGCGACGCACTGTAAACAAGTCTATTAATAAAAATGTTATTCAACAAAATGAACCTTTACCATTGATTAACAATATCAATGGTGAAGAAATTGTAAAAAATGACTTGACACAGCAATATAAAATATTAGTACCGATTAAAAAACAAAAAATACGCGAATATGTAACATCAAATGATGATGAAATGACAACTTCACCTTCATGTTCTCAGATGGATTATCAAAAGCCAGTTAAAGTAAAGTCTCGATGGACACAATCATGCCAAATGGAAATGATGATGGAAGAATCTCAATCATCATTAGATACATCAGATGCAGTTACTGATATCTCGGTTAGTGATTTAAATGAAATGGTTGATTGTAATTCAGAAATTAAAACTATGGAAGTACGTAGGAGTTCTCGTAGGTCTGGAAACAGTAGGACTGATTACAGACAATTGTTAGGACTCAAAAGAACTCCCAAAGAACCAAAGAAACAAATTAATCCAAAATCATTGAAATCTAATAGAGGACGAAAGAAGAAGCAGCCACTACAAAATTTATTCAACTCAGAGAAACAAATTGATACTAAAAAAAATTCATTAACAAGTCTCGATGATAATATAATAAAACAATCTATTATAGACTGGAATATAATTACTATTTGGGGATCCTCTAAAAGTGTCAATGAAGAATTACCCCGTAAACCTGTTCGAAGATATTCTCTAACTTGGAATTTCAAATTTAAGTCTAAAGATATATTAGTAGATAAAGATAATATTGATAAAAATATTTGCCATTCACCTACTGCACCAGATAAAAAATTAGATCCAAGTGAAGATGAATTAATGAAGGAGGAACCATTGTTTACAAATTGTACACTACCAAGTGAAAATAATGAAACTCATTGTGCCAAAGAATTTAAACCAAATGGTGATCTTTGTCAAGAGTTCTGTAATTTAGATATGACTACTATAAAAACTAGTGAAGTAGATGAAGGAACATTTAATAATGTTTCAATGAGTTCAGAACAAAGTAAAATAATGCCGGATACTATTAATCAGGAAAATCATAATCAAAAAGATATAATGGCAATAGTTGAAACAAAAGAATCAATTAAAAACCATAGCCTGTGTTACTCAGTAAATGCAAATCAAGAAAATGATTTAGAGCCTTCTAAGTACTCATTATTGGCAAATAATAACCAATATGTACAAAGTCATAATACTTTTCAATTCCGGTCAAAAAGTGTTGATTCCGTTATGGAGAAAGGAAATAGAAATAATTTTAATTCTCTGAAACGTTACAAAAGTTATGACTGTGTAAAAATATATGAAACCTCTTCGAAATCTAGTCTTATACCAATAAAGAATATAAAATCTCCCAAAAAGAATAGAAGAAAATCCAAGCGGTTAAAACCTAAGCATAACATTGTAGATTTATTTGATGATTTAAGAGTTCCTGATATAAATTACAATGAAGTTGCTAATGAAATAAAAGAAGAACATGAACAACAGTTGTTAGAAGCAAGGTGTAGTGATCAAGAATTTGATGAATCTTTAAAGGCAGTCAATTTCTCATTAATTAATGAAAACATGTATAGACCAGATAGGTATGTTTTACAGTTAATTTTATATATTTTAATTATTTACAACTTGTTGTATTGACTTATCCGGATGTCTGAGTTTGGTCGGAAGTGAAGAGTGGACAGTATAATTAATAATATTGGCAGTTCACATCTAGAACAAAAGCAGTGTGGAGGTTCAAAAATGATTGCATTTGTTGAATAATATATTTATTGCATATACAATATGGATACATACAAACAGTCCACTCTTTGCTTTTATACTATACTATTCAGTTATGTTATATTGTAGTATTTATTTATTTTATTATATGCATTGTCTATTCGGCATTACATAGTATCTTAGGGCCCACCCTTAAGTCCTTATTTGTCGTAAAACCTTAATTATTGAACGACTTAATAGGATTTGGGAGGTAGTTTGAATGTATAATAGGCGTTTTTATTAAAAAAACTACTCAACAATCTATAAAAACTAATTATTGTTACTTTGTTTTTTACTTTAAACAGAAACTGGTACAGTGTAGTGTCACACATCGCTTATCAATGTAAATCTTATGAGGCTTCTTACCACTGTACCAGTTACGGGTTATAATGTATAGTTGTAATGTCCTCTTACTGTGATTTAACTTTGCAATTGTTTTATTTATTGTAATTTTTAATTTTATATTAGACAAACCATGAAGTCTTATTCTACCATAGAAATATCTCGTCTACGCAAACTAAAACAGAGGTAATAATTCATAAATTTAACATATTTATATACTAATTAATCACACAATAGACTATTAAAATTTTGACAATTATAAATCTGATTTTTAGAATTATATCTGGCGACATAAACGTTTTTTGTGAGTGTACTTTAACTAAAGAAGACATTATCGAAAGAAAAATTGGATGTGATGATCAGTGTCTTAATCGATTACTTAAGATTGAATGGTAATTGATAAACAGTGTTATTATTAAATGTTTTTTATATTTTATTTATTATTTACATTTTTTAATGTCTTATTTAGTGGATCCAGTTGCTCACTTAAACGATATTGTTCTAATAAGCAATTTCAAAACAAGCAGTTCAAAAGAACACAGCTTATTAAAACAGAAAACAAAGGCTATGGAATATGTGCTCTTGAAGATATTCCAAAGTACGATTGTTTTTCATATTTTTAGTATACTTTTTAATAAAAAAAATTTGTTTATAATATTTATAGAGGTGCATTAATATATGAATATGTTGGAGAAGTTATTGACTACAATGAAATGTGTAATCGCTTAAAGAAAAAAATGTATAAAAATTTAAATTATCTGGTTCAATTGAATTCTGATGAAATCATAGATTCCACCTCAAGAGGGAACGTTACCAGATTCATAAATCATAGTTGTGATCCAAACTCAATTGGCGAAAAAGTTAGTGAATATGTTTTAATCTGTTATTTTTAAATTCTGGATGTTCATAATATATATATTTTACCTACTTTCTTAACTTGCATAACTCACATTTATTGAATACAGAATATTATTTATTTTTATTTTTAGTAATTTGATTTATTTATTTTTAGTGGCATGTGTTAGGTCAGTCACGTATGGGATTCTTTAGTACTAGACCTATCAAAAAAGGTGAAGAAATTACATTTGATTATGGTTTCCAAGTGTTTGGGTATAAATATAGTTTGTTATATATAATTCATAAAATTAAAAAAAAAAAAAAATTCAATATGTTTGTTCATACAATTCTAGTGATGGAGCTCAAGTTTGTTATTGTGGGTCTTCAAAATGTCGAGGTTACATCAGTAAAGCATCACAAGTTACAGATTTAAATAGTTCTGATGAAAGTGATGGCGGCACGGATGAAAACAACTTATCTTATAAGTCTGAAAAGCATTTAAAAAGAACTAGGACAGTTAAAAAAAGAATTGTTATTAATGAAAAGAATAAATTACGAGAGGTAAACTTTGTAACTATTAAAAGTTAGAAACGGCGTAATGAGAATTGAGTATTATTTTTATTTCTTATAGTTAAGTCATCAGCTAACTGAAATAAGCAAATTAAAGACTGGACTAAAAGCTGATCAGGAAATGGCAACATTGATTTTAAACAGACTAATGGTACACATCTCAGATACTGTCAGTCGTTTGTATATACTTAAGTTCATAAGAGAAAATGATATGAACTGCAAGCGGTTATTTATGGACTTCAATGGTCTTAGTATAATTCATAACTGGATGACGTCAAATGAAAATGAATCTTTTAAATCTATGGTAAGTCACAGCTGTATAACATATTATATTTAATTCTCTCAATAATGTTATACAAAGTATAAATAAAAATAACGCCAGTAAGATGGTGGCTGTTCAGGCGTAAGGCACTCTTCCAGATGAGTCTTGCTTTGATGAACTTTTTCTTGTGGGGTTATCTGAAGAGTAAAGTTTATCAGAAAAACCCACAATTGGTCACTCTAAATGTTCGTTTGTATTTAGCATTTTCACCCATATACATAAGTAGTGTCGTTGTAGGGTTATGAGTACATGCCTACACACTTAATATATAACATAAATACTCATAATATTATGTCATTAAATGGTTTATCAGGCTTTAAAAAGTGGCATTTAACAATTTCACATTATTAGAAATTATGACTTAAAATTGTTATATTTTATTTTAAAAATAGTTGATATAAATTATTTATTATTTGTTCAATTTTAGTTTTTTATTTTGTCATTTAGTTCCTTATTTAATAATTATATGTTGTTTTTAATATATTAATATTTTGTTTAGATTTTAGACATGTTAGCTGAATTACCAATTACCAATAGAAATACAATTACCAAATCGAAAGTAATAGATGTAGTCGCTGAATGGGCTCAAATTCCTCCGGATGTGAAATCAAAAATCGAAAGGTTGACAAAAAAAAAAAAATCATTAAATAAACTCCCAATTTGTTATCCTTTTTCATACATAATATTTTATTTGTTCATATTATAGTTTAGAGTATTCTGCACTTGAAATTGACAATCTTCTATCGAACAATAGTAGCGACAATGATGAATTTGTCAGTTTTGTAAAAAAAGCCCAAACTCTATGGAAAAAATGGATAGTTTTAAAATTAGTATTTAAAATACCAAAAAAACTGGATCAACCTAAAACAATAGAACTTAAAAGAAACCCTAAGAATGTTGTTGAAGACAATAATGGTCAAATTTATAATATATCAACAGAGCGAAAACAGTGAGTATTAATTTTTATGACTTTAAGTATGGTGTATCAATTTACATATGTTTACTGCTACACTTGTGCTAAATATTGTTTGATTTTATAAAAAAATCAATAACATGAAATAAAAGTTAGCGGTTATAGTTAAAAATATTTATATTATTATTATTAAATTTTATAATAATAAGTAAAACATTATTATCATTTATTAATTCATTAAATTAGCAACACAACAAAATCTCTAATAAATGGAAAGCTATCATTTATAAAAGAATAATAGTCAATTTGAAAAATTATGATGTTTAGAAATACTGTATAGGTTTAATTATTCTACAAGTACTTATATTTTTGGCCAAATTATTAGCAATATAAATACATATTTATCTCTTGTAGTTAAATAACCGAATTATATCAGTTTCTTTCCTAAAGTAATTAGATCTAAATAATGAAAATATTTGTTATAATAAAGAAAAATTTGAAGTTGGCCCACTACCATTTGCAACTTGTTATTTATATTAATACTTGTTTTATTATAATTAGCCAACCTCAAATAGTTGGAATGAAGGTGAGGGAGAAGAAAAATACTTGTTTTTTTACAATTAATTCAAATAAAATTGATAAGTTGTCATTAAAATTTTAATAGGAAAAGCTCGATCCAAAAAAAAGCTGCTAAATCATTGGCAAATAATTTACGGATAAATAATAACCAATTACGGATTTTAATTTTTCGTTATATCACCAAAATAAACAAAAAATTGGATAAAAAAAGTTTAAATAATACTCATATTCAAACACTTACACTATAATTTGAATTTTGACAAATATAGCCCTATTGTAAAATAAGTCTTATTCTTTCATAAAAAAAATATAAAAATCCAATAACTCTATAAGGCGTCATAACTTTTTCCGAAGGGCATGTTTTTGAGCCAATAAATACACCCAATAAAATGTTAATACATACCTAAATTTAATGCTTATGATTCTAAAACATTATATTATATTATTATTAGCCTTTCATTTTTTGAATGTGTTTAATTTCATAGATTAAGAATTCAAAATAAAGAACTTATGAATAAAAGTCGACCTACAACTTTATCATCTGTGGAACGTTATAAGATGAGAAAAGAATATGAACAGAAAATAGAACATGACCGAAAAGAGATGTAATTATTTTTATTTTTAGTAATTTACTTATTTTCAATATCATCTTTTTTTTTTTTAATTTAGTTTTAGGAAAAAAGTAATGGAGGATTGGTTGAAAAAACGGGAAACTGTTATGAAAAATACCGAAGAAAGTCGAATCCAACATCAACAAAATATTAATGGGCTTAATTGTGAAAAACCTTTAATAAATCATAATAATATTCGCATCACGAAAAGAACTCGCTGGGATTGCCCTACACAAATTTTGACTACTCACATTGTTCCAAGTTAGTAATTAGTTTTACTCTAGGGCTTGTAGGAAACATCTCAACTTATGTAAGATGATGTATTTTAAAATGCAATGCTAGTAACTTTAAAATAATTTTGTAAAATTAACTGATATTTTTACATAGCATAAATGATTTATGATGAGTATGTATTTATAAAATTTACAAAAAAAAAAACTGCACTTCAACTATAGCTTCTATTAACTCTTATCATTTTACATATTTATTAAGTCTCTAAGTTAATTTTTTATAATTGCTTGGTAAGTGTAACAACAAGAGTTGTGTTCTTTTGAAGGAATATTGCTTGATAATTTCTATTTATTATCCTCGTTTAGGGAAATATCATTTACTCTTCAAATTGATTGACAACTCAGATAAATCAACTACTTTACTCTATCTCATATAAGAGCAGTAGTGCGCAAAAACCAAAACAACTTACTCTTGTATGCGCCTGCTCAGCCAAGAGTCACATGTTTTTCTTTTTGTGCAGTACGGCTCTAAATATAGAGTTTAGTAATGTTTTTAACCGTGCCCCGTATGCTGAATAACAGCCATCATTTAATGTACTTCAACATATAATCTAAGCTTGTGCTGTGGTTAAAAATTCAATATTTTTTATATCTGTTTCATTCGAAATTTGTTATTTCTATTACAAATTATAATATTATATTTTATTTTTCAGGTCACAATCTCAGCACGCAAACACAGTGTTTGAACTATGGCACAATAGCTGCGACAACATTACAAATACCATTAATGCAAGCTCCACATCATATGCTCTTCATTCCACCAAATTTATATTCCAATAACATAGTTAATTTCTCTACTACAATGAACACATCACCACCAACACAGTTATCTAGACTTCCATTTACAATACAACCTCAAATTATATTACCAGCGCCCTCTTTATCTAGTATACCACTTCCACCAACCATTTCGTCTACAAAAACACCCCCTCAATCACCTACACAACTTTTACGAAAGTCTGTTGATGCCAAATCTCTAAGCTTTATTAGAAACAGTTTATTACACCATAGTAAATCTAATCAAAAAACGAGTTCAGAGAATGTTAATGAATCCAACAAGAAAATTACTGTTGTACAATCTGGGGTGGACTTGTTAGCGAGAGTTAAAGTTATTAGCAATTCTTTCAGGAAACAGCCATCAAAATTAATTAAAATACAAAAATATAAACAAAAACAAGAGAACCCAAAACCTCAACAATTGCCTTTATCCAATGTTTCATTGGTGTCAATTTGTGATGAAAACAAAAGAGTAATTTTTTACAACGAACAGAAAAATATTGCATCTCAATCATGCATTGATTTGATTCAAGTTCCTACAACAATTCCTTTAAGCCGTAAAAATAATTTTGCCAATGCAATACTTAACTCTTTGTTAAAAAAATCAAAAATTGAAAATAAAACTACTATTCCTAAAAATTTTATAACTAAAAATCTAAATGCTGAAGTAGTTACGTGCAGTAAAGTCGACAAAGAATTAGAACTTCATAAAAAATTAAAAACAAAAATGGTCAAAAAGGTTGTTGGTAATATAAAAACAAATTGTGGAGTTATATCTGTTGTGAAAAAAAAATTGGGTGCCAAGTTAACAAGGTTAAATGATAACCACAATAAAGTTGCAGCTACAAAGCGAAACATGATGCGTAAAAGAAATATTCATCGTTTAGCTTTAAAGAATTGTCTTGTTAAAACTAAATCGGCTCTTAAAAGGAAAACTGATTTAAATGCTGATGACCATATAAGAAGACCAAAAGAGAAAAGAGTTACATTCTTTATAGAAGGTGAATCTAATCAAAGCTCTACTTCTATGGATGTACGGCCAATAAACTTAAATCAAAATTCTGGAAAACAAAAGCCGCTTATGAAATGTCATCCATTTGAAATAAGAAATGAGCCAAAATTGCTTACATCTATTCTACAACCATCTACATCTTACCAAGAAAATCTGTTGCAAATTATTCCTAATGACCAGTCCGTTCAACTAACTAACAATGAAATTATTTCCCCTATTGTTGCAAGATTCAAAGCATCGAGACGTAGACGGACTAGTTTTGAAAACATGACTATCGATTTAGAAGAATTACAAAAACAAAGAAAATATACAATACCCCCCAGTATGGCATCTCTTTCAGTAGATGTTTTAAAACTTATTCCAGACAATAAAAAAGAAATGAAAAAAATAGCAGAATACCATCATTCAATGGCAAATGTTATAGTACGAATTTTGGGTCCTTACGCTAAAACAACCTGTCAACAAGGTCGAATAAAAAACAGTGACGATTTTAAATACCTAGCTAAAAAAGTAAAAAAAAAAAGAAATACATTTATATTGTAGAATTTTTATACTATAATTTTGTAATTTTCTGTTTCTTTTAGATCAACGAAAATATTTTACTGAAAGAACTACAGTTAAAAAAAGTCGATAAATTAAAAATAACTCTTACTACGGAAGAAAAAGTTTCTGAGTACATCAGAAAATATATGTCACGATTTGGAGAAGTTTATAAGAGAAAATCGATTGGTATGTTTAAACTTTATATTAGTTTTAGCTTATGCAGATAAAGTATTTTCTTTCATATGGTAGATGTTCTAAAAAAAATTATGAACATATGAACATGAGTGAGCCTACCATGTTTAACACAGAACACTAATCTTTCTTAACCTACTCACTAGACTCAATAATGAAACAATAAAATTGAAATTTCTTTTTTTCAGATCACATCAATCATCACAAATCTAAAAGTACTTAAACAAACTAATGTTAAGTAATTGTGTATATAAAATAGTCTGTAATATTTATTTTAAAAATGTATAGTTTAATCATTTATTATTTTATCCATTTGTATTGTGATTTGTTGCCCCAAGTTTTGTTTCCTAAAAATTATATTAATTTCCTTTATTATTAGTTCAATTTCTTTTTCTAATTAAAACTTATATATTTATGTTTTTAATACCTTGGATTGTTATGCACTTTATTTACAAATGCTAACAACATTTATTTTAAAATATTTTTTTTATTTTAATTCAATTTTGACTGATTAGTTATTTTATGTATTAGATTTTAAGTTGTACAATTTTCACATAGTCCATAGAAATGTATTGTGGTTTAATTTTTTACTTATTGTTACGTGCTTTTGTATTTATTTCATAAAAGTATTACAATAATAATTAAGTTACTTCCAGTCGGTAAAATTAATATTTTCTATTTAGTACTTAAATGATGAGTTAATTTTTGTATGTACTTAAGATCAAACCCCAAAATATTTAATTAACTAAATTGTCGATAATGTCAGTGCATTAGATATAAAACAAATTTACATATTTTGCAAATAGTTTTCTCATATTTCTGTACCTTAAAACCTGAGATACAGATTTGTCAACATTTAACTTTTAAGTAGTCATATGAAAACATTAACTTGTTTTTTATTTCTAAATTAATATTTTTCTGTATACATAATGCATTGTGTTCAACAAGTCTCAAATGTATTTTTCAATTAAATATAAACTTTTAAACTAGAAAGGAGGTACATGTATCAAAAATAAGTTTTTATTTTAGTTTTAACGGGACTAGAACAGTTATTTCTATTATAAATATATGTTTTATTAGTTCATAGTTCTTACCTTCCTTGTGTGTTTAAACTTAATATTATTTTTAAATAACAAGTAATACAATTATAATGCTTATTACACTAATATGAAACCTATAAAGACTTATATTGTGCAAGTATATGATATAATGAGAAAAATAAATGAGGAAATTATGAAAAATTTAATAATTAATTGACTTTATAATTTATATATGTCACTTTAAGTAGGTGAATTAATAGTTATTTATAACTTTTGCTGGAACTATAGTTTAACCTAGCACTATATTTATAATGACTGGTTGCCTAAATTTTATTGTATAGAATTTTTTTTAGTCATAAATACAAAAAATTAAGTAAAAAGTATACAATTTATATGGCAACTTAAATAATAATATGTACTTATTTATTTTAGCTTCTTTAATTTCCCATTTAGCGATCTAAGAGTTTAAATTTTTTAAATTTTAATAAGGTTCTTGACTTCTGAGGTCATTAGCCATACATCTTACAATATTTCTATAAACATGATTAAATAAGAACTATACATACTATACTGTACTTTACATGGAATATAATAATTTAATTTTATCATAGATTCGTATTAATGATCTAAGAGTTGATCATTGATGCTAGGTATTCATCTGTTTTTTTTCTAATTTGATATTTAACAACTACTTTTAGAACTATATTACTACAGGATATGTCAATGGTCAATAGACCACTTCTTATTTCGAGTTAGAAATCTTCAATATTAAATTCGCAAGCGTTTTAAAATGTAGGTGGGAAATGTGTAATAATGTTTTCTGAAGATTGAAGAACATTTTTATCGTTTACCAGTCACAAGAGGTGCACTTATATTTGATCTTTTAAATTTAATAATTGGTAACGTTTAGAACCTATACAATTTAATAGGATCTAAACTCAAGAATGACGAATGAGTTTGGTTCTTATGTATTGTGTAAATAATTAATTGTTTTAATATATTTGATAATTTATGAAAAAAATTGTTTGTCCCATTTTACCAACATATTGATATTTTTAGAAGGATAATCAAGATGATTAAATTATATTACCAACATATCAAGTAGGTATCGATAAACTAATATTATATTTTTGTTGGTCATCTCTACTAATAGGTCTACCATCTATGCAGTATGGAATGACCGAAATCTGAATTAACTTTAGACCGTTTTTTATCATTAATGGATTTGTGGGTTGTAAAGGTTTTGTGTGCGAGAAAAATTATAAAAATTATTTTGAAATCGAACTTTTCCAAAAAAAATCGTTATTTGATTGATCGTTGTTGGCCACTGATGATCTATGTGGAAAGTCTCAATATTAATACACTAAAGAGTAGACTGTCGAGACATCTATGTCGTATAAAATTCCCATTGATAGCCACCGCGTGATAATTGTACGTGATCCACGATTATAAAGAACTTTTATAATCGTGACGTAATGCAAAAAAAAAAAAATGTTGGAACTTATCAGCCCGGCCTAGGTTTCCCTTCTGGTTGTCCTATGCATAGAATAAAGAATGAAAGAATGGTCCTATGATATGACACTATGCGTAATGATAACAAAATTCATAATATGATTTTTATTTTATTTTAAATCGGCTACATAAAAAAAAAAAGTAATCATTGGAATAGGTATTTCGCACACTTATCTCGTACTCGGTAGGCGGTACACCAGTTACTTCTTACCTATAACCTTTTTCACTATTAATAATATATTATATTTTGAGAATGTGCTACTCCGGTTTAGTCAAAATAACTAAATATAATTTTTGTCTAGCATGTTTGTTCACATTTTACCCGTAAATGTTATACGTAAGTTTTATATGCGTTATCCTGTTGCTTCTAGTCGTTTTGGTTATTCGTTGAGTAAAACGATTTTAGGCACATCATATGACCACAAAGTGCGATCTGTATTCACCAGTTGTAAATTAAATAATGGTGAATATGAATGGCTAGATCCGAAAAGTGATGCAGAAATAGTTCATGTTACATTCATCGATAAGCATGGTAAACGTACATTAGTCAATGGCAAAATTGGCGACAATGTTTTATATTTAGCCCACAGGTAAGGAACAGAGGTATATGAACAACTGGTTTATTTTTACTTGCATATTATTATTTATATGTATTTAATTTATATTACAGGTTTGGCATTGAACTAGAAGGAGCTTGTGAAGCTTCATTAGCTTGCACGACATGTCATTGTTATGTATCGGATGATTATACTTCAAAACTTCCAGAAGCTGATGAAAAAGAAGAAGATTTATTGGACTTAGCTCCATTTTTAAGAGAAAATTCACGACTAGGTTGTCAGATAATTTTAGACAAAAGCTTAGACGGCATCGAGCTCGAGTTGCCTGCAGCTACTAGAAATTTCTATGTGGATGGTCATAAACCCAAACCGCACTAATTTTTAAAAACAAATACACGATTAGTTCTTTAAGTTAAAATGGAATATGCAAAAGAAGCCATCAGAATTTCTACTATAGCAGTGGAATGTGATTCCAAAGGTCAAATCGAAGCTGCTATCTATTATTATAAAGAGGCTGCTACACTGTTAGGACTCGCTTGGAAAATACGGAAAGAAGATCCTTTAGGCGATGAATGGTGTACAAAATCACACGAGTATAGTAACAGAGCCGAAGAACTTGAATACCAAAGTAATAATTAAAGAATTATTACTTACTAATTAATTGTTTCTATAAATTTAAACCAGTGATCTGGAATTAATGCCAATTTGACTTCCTTTAGTATTTGTTTGGAACAAATAACCGAAGAAACAAAAATATTTACTTATTTTGCTATGAATAACATAAAAAATGAACTGGGTTTATTAGCTTTAAAAAGTTATTCGAATCAAACGGGCATTAATCCGGACGCCTAGTTTGAACTCTTCACTCAAATAGTTTGATATTAAATAAAATCTATAGTTTAATTTATTTGATTGGTATGATATTGCTATTGAATGACTGTTTAACTGCATATAAATCAACTATTTGTATAAAAACACACAATAATGAATTCAGGTTTATTACCATTTTTTCTGACGCTTATTAGATAGGTACTTTTATTTTATTTTTTTGTAATTAGGGTGTGCAAACTATACTTTGAACCCCTTGTAGCGGTGTCTATGATCATAACTCTTCAAATAACAGTGTCAATTGTTCTTATAATGAAGACAAGTTGCTTCTAGCATGCATTGGGTGTTATTTCCTACTAAGGATAAAGTAAAAATTTTCTTTTTTTGGTATGTTTTGCTTCGACAAGAATGTATCAGAAATCTGAAGATAGTTTCCTGGGATTGATTTATAGTATTCTAGTGGCCAAAAATGTACTCATATGGCTGTAACAAGTTGAGCACAGTTTTATAGAGTATAGGATTTTGTAATCTATTATAAGTAACATGAAGCACTGTTAATTTTTCCTTTTATTAACATATATTTTTGTTAAATTTCAGTGATTTGCACTTTGCACATACCTCCAGACGTGAAACTACAATTATTAGACTTCAGAAACTAGCAATTCAATTTAGACATTGTTATTAGGGGAAAAAATGTTATTTTATAGTTCAATATTTTTTATTTATACAAAAAGATATTTTAAAATATATACTATATTCAATAAGAAGACAATCTTTTATTTTTTGCAATTTTTTTTAATTCCTTAGAATTTCTTACCAATTAGGTCCTTAAAATAGTAGCTAATCAAATGCAAGTAGTAGTGTAAAATACTCATTTTAATTTTCTAATTTGTAAATTAAGATATTTAATTAAGTTAAAACATATAATTTTTTCATGTTAATTACTAAAATATCGCCCAGTAGTTAATTTATATATTAATAGCATTTTGTTTTTAATAGTTCAAAATGATGCTGCTAAAGAATTAGAAAATATTAATCAAGATAAAATCCAATTAAAAAAATGTAAATATTTACTTAAGCAAGCTTTAGACATTGATGAATTAGGTAAAAGAGATTTGGCTCTTAGTACTTATATGCAAGCCATTGATTTAGCATTAAAAGTGGTAAATGATATTTTTAGAACTAGTTTTTATGTTTAATTGTCAAAATAATTGACTTTATATAACATAATAAGTTGTAAACATTTTGTAAAGTTTGAATTATGTTTTAGAAAAAAGAAATATCTGATGAAGAAGTAGTGAAGAATTTAGCTTTATTGATAAATAAAGCTTTAGACCGTGCTGAAAAATTAAAACTGTTAAATGAAAAAAAATCCACAGTTAATGATAGTTCAGGTAGGTAACTCATAAAACCAAAATGTTATAAATATGTAACTAAAGGATGACATTGAAAAATTTAGGATTCCTAGTTCTGATTAAAGGAGAAGAGCTTTTAAGGAAAACTTGATAGACTACAAGGGAAAAAACAAAATCATAAAACGATAATATTTTTTTCTTTCTTTTACTTCATTGAAAGAGAATGTCTTCCTACTTTCATTATATACCAATTTTTCATTTCGTTTCTGAGAATTTCAAACAATTTAACAGTAAAACGTAATAATCAAACCTTTAATGATGATAGCATATAGAAAATTTAATTTTTCTGTAAAAAAGCTTCTTCTCTCAAATAAACAACATTTACTTTTAGAATAATTATATGAGATTTTTTTCTTTTTATTGTAAGAAATGCTTTTAAGTATACCATATGCCACTACTAAATATATTCAGGCGCGTAGCCAGGGGGGGTGTTTTGAGTGTTAAAACACCCTACTCTCCTTGGTTGTGTTTAAGCCGGCCAAATACAAGCCGGTATAATACATTATATGCTAAATGTTGGTTAGTCCTAATACCCAAAAAACACCCTCCCTACCTACAAGCCTGAATATATATACTGGGAATAATTGAGTAAAGTTTGCAATTTTATTTTCAGTATCACATAAAGTATTTCAACAAAATAGAATACCAAAACGTTCAGATGTGTCATTAAGTAATTTGTACACAGAAGCTGAAAAACGAGTTTTGTTAATTACATCTAAAATAAATAATAAAGAATATGTTCCTTTTATGGATGTTGATCTTTTAGAAAGGTAAATGTACTGCTAATATCTGCTAATGTACCTTCAGAGGATATCTTTTGCGTTAATTATGATTATCATATTATATAAATATTAATTAACAGTTATTTTTAAAAAAATACTTGTATAAAGTATAGCTTATTAGCTTTTTAATATATATTTACTATACTTTAAGGTATATTCTTGTATTTAAAATAACACAATTGATAAATTGTCCTTGTTTTCAACAAAAAATATCTTTAGTGGAGAATTGTAAACAGTAATGAATGGCCATCTATGTCAACACATTAGTCTTGTTTTCCTTGTTATAATTATATTAATTGGTATTTATATTTTAGGTTTCAGTTATCAATTCCATTCACTGACAGTGACGGTTTATTACCTTTATCGCCAAAACAAAAAGAAAATTTCATTCAATGGGTACGCCCTGATCAGTTGTGTTCAGATCCAAAAATGGTTGTTGGAGAGTTTATTGATTTCAACACCATTAAACAAACTGTAAATTATTAAACAAATTAAATTTTTTTTTTATAAATATTATATGCATATACATTTTTCCAGTCACATATTTTGTATTCTTATTCTAGATAGTCACCGATTGTTCATTTGTAGCATCGTTAGCTGTTTGTGCAGTGTACGAGAAATCATTTGATAAAAGACTCGTAACATCAATAATATACCCTCAAAAAAAAAATGGACAGCCTGTTTATAATCCTTTTGGTAATAAAACCACAATTCTATAGATATTTTAAAAATAATTTTGAATTGTTAAAAACTTAATTTTAATAATAGGTAAGTATATGGTCAAGCTACATTTAAATGGCATTCAACGTAAGGTCATAATTGACGACCAGTTACCAGCAGGAAAATATAAATCACTTCTCTGTTCGCATTCATCGAACAAAAACGAATTTTGGGTATCCCTTATTGAGAAAGCCTACCTCAAAGTAATGGGAGGTTATGACTTCCCAGGATCAAGCAGTGTGAGTATAAAAATAAAAATGTATAATGAACACGATTCAAAAATAACATTGGTTTTAGTATATAGATTTACATGCACTAACAGGCTGGATTCCTGAAAGATGTCCAATTAATTTGGATGACAAGAAATTTAACGCTGAATCTCTTTTTGAATTAATATACACTAGATTATGTAAAGGTGATGTTCTAATTACAGTAGCAACTGGCTTTATATCGCCTAATGAAGAAACGCGTACTGGTTTGGTTTCTACTCATGCTTATGCTGTTTTGGAAGTACAGAAAATAAATGTAAGTTTTATTCACTGTCAAGTATTAGTTTGTATTAATTCATATAAATTTATTTGGAGTGATTGCAATTTAGACACACGACATTTCAGCAGTCACATTTGGGTGTGCGTTGTTTTGTAGCAAAATAATAATTATTTACCGTGGTTCAACAAAAATAAACAGCTTATTATCTCCACAAAAATTTTAATTAAGTGTTAGCACATAAAAGTTAAAGCTGAAGTATGTATTTAAAATACATTTTTATGTATCAAGAACAAAAACATAATTTCACCATTTGTTCTCTTATAATTGATTTTAAATACTTAACTTATATTCTTTATGAATTGAAAAGACATGTAAAAATAATTATTTTTTATATTGTGGATAATCACTGCTCTTAAATTATATTAACTATATTGTTATATTTTTGCTGACCATAATTATCATCAATAAAAAATTATTATGTTACATTCAAATTAGATTACACAGTTAATATTATTTTTTCAAATGCAGAATGTAAAACTATTAAAGTTAAAAAATCCTTGGGCACATGTCCGATGGAAGGGACGTTTTTCTGAGTTAGATGAAGAAAGTTGGACCTTTCAATTAAGACAATCATTAAACTATGATCCAACATCTGCCGTGTCATTTGATAATGGAATATTTTGGATTGATTATGCTTCAGTGTTACATCATTTTGAGGTGTTTTGTATGAACTGGAATCCTGGTTTATTTCCGTATACATCATGCATACATAAGTATAAAAATAATTACAGTGTCTAGCATTAACAAAAGTTCTTTTAATACTAAATCCTTAAATTTTACTAATAACAAGATTTTAACGTGTGAATCTTCAATGGTTTTAGAACATGGAATACTGGGACAGGTCCAATATCCGACTTATATAATATAAGCGAAAATCCTCAGTATTGTTTGGATGTGAAAAACGTTTCTAGTGGAGCCATTTGGATATTGTTAACACGACACATTACAGAGCTCCAAGATTTTAAAGAAAATCGAGAATATATAACTGTAATAGTGTTCAAAAATGACGGAAAACGTGTTTATTATCCAAGTTAGTACACATAATAATTTCTGTTCATTTACATACTGATAAAATATAATAATTTCAGATGATCCTGAACCTTTTATATCAGGAACACGAATCAATAGCCCACATTATTTATGCAAAATTGTTCTTAATGAACAATTACCATCTAAATTTACCTTAGTGGTTTCCCAATATGAAAAAATGAATACAATACATTATACGTTACGTGCCTATGCCACGTGTCCTTTTACTATGAACGAACTTGTCAATTTATACAATCCTATTTTTAAAAAGGTATATTCCACTCTTACTGAGTTATGTATACTTTCATTAATTATAATTTATTTAGACTGTTAATGGAGAATGGAAAGGTATAACTTCTGGCGGTTGTCGCAATTATAGCACATATAACAACAATCCCATATTCAAACTCAACGTAGATGGTCAGTCGGACACTGAAGTATTGCAAATCGAACTGAAAGCGCCAAAGCAGTATCAAGTTGGTATTGAGATATCTTGTGTTGGCTTAACTGACCAAAACGCCACAGCCAAGTTTAAAATCAAATCGTCAGGGAGTTATAGGTTAGTATTTAGTTTGTTAAAATTTTGAATAATAGTATGTTTAAGTTATGTTGAATAATACATAAAAGAGCCAGTAGAGTTGGGTCGTGGCATATTAGGAATGGAGAATCTCATGAGAGTGATAAAATCGCTTTCAGATTAACCCTTTGATGTGAAGTTGTGGATGGTACAAGTGTTAAATTTTGATAAAAATCATTGTAAAGGTAAAACTATGTTTAAAATTTTATTTTTAGTACTAAGATGGCCAAGACTATAGTTGACCGTTTGTCCCTTTGTTACCAAAATCGACGACATAATGAAAATATTTTTCATATATTTGTTGATTCACTTATACATAACAACCTAGAATATTACTACGACTAATATATAATTTTATAATATTCCTTAATAGAAACATATTTTGACTAAAGATTTTTAAGAAAAAAATTATATGTTGAAACCTTTTCCTTAGAGCTTACTTATAATCATATTCAGACCTCAAATCCTAAACCTACATTTGAAAAAAAAATAAAAAAAGTATTCATTCTTTCTAGGGGAAAGGAAAGGGTTCATATTTTTTTGGTTTTCTAACCAAGTCTAAAAAATATTCCACACAAATTTGTAACTAATTAGACTATTTAAAAAAATTAATATAGCGCCGTTAATTAAAGAATATGTAATTTTTTTTAAATATTTAGCCTATTAATGAAGTATCATTCAGGTACAATTATTAATCTATAAGCTTGCTAAATGAAGGAATCAGTTGAGCGATTTGGAAGATATCTTGAATCCAGACACAAAATAATCTTAATAAAAACAATAGCTTTTTATGGATTTAAAAAAAAAATTGAGATTTAAGCATGAAATATGTATAGAAAAAACTGAGTAAATAGAATAAAATAGATGTTAATAAAAATGAGTTTAGATGTTTTATTTATTAGGTAAAAACATTAAGTTATTATTCAAATTCAAATTTTTAAACAATTTGTTACATATCTTACACAGAAATTTAAAACTCATATTCATTTATAACTTAAAATGAACATTGATAAAATTTTTTTACAACTGAATTAATAAATGAGTATTTTCGCTTAATCAATAGATTTTTTTACACTACGAGTAAATATATTCAAGTATTTACCACGAGTCATTTCTTTGGCTTCTTCTAAGCCTAAATTGTAAGCAAAATCATAAAGCGATTTTAACTCGTCTAAAAGGGGTGGCAATGGCATTTGACTATAGCGTTGTACTAATATCATGTCATGTGCATCTGGTGGTTGCTTCCAAGATGGTTGTTTATCAGTTGCAGTGGTTGCACGAATATGTTGAGCGAAACCGGACATACCTGGCATGGGTTCAGGCCAGAGTTCTGGTGATGACCGATCGAGTGTTTCCATTGCCTTTAGGTCCAGACACTGCTGTTTATGTTGATCAAATTCTGGCATAGTCTCCTCAGCTGGGCGGATAACACGCTACGCTCATCGATTTTGACATTCGGCTTTATTAGGCCATACAATGAAACAAAGAGAAAAACTCGACTTAATTTTTAAAAAAAAAATTGTATAAAAGCTATTTACTTTATACCAATTTTTTTAAAATAAATAAATAAATAATTAACAAACAAAAAGACCTAATGGTGAAGGGTGGTGTATTAAGCTGCCAGATCCATAAACTTATTTGGGTTTTCCCAGTCAAACTGACCGCAAAGTTTTTTCTGATTTGGTAGTAAGATTGCCCAATCAAAAAAGTATGGCGTGTCGTAAACGCTGCTTACATGTTGACCTGCCTTAAAAATCGCTACATTGTTTTCTAGTCAAGATGTATGAATATTTTTCTTTTTAACTAATATTGTACATATACCATACAAATACAGTATTTTATGTTTTAACTATATATTTTCACTTTTAAAAAAATCCAAAATTTCATTTTATTTTCAATACTTAAAAATAGGCCTTTATAAAAATTTGTAAATTTATGAAAATCATAATTGGTTTAAACCCAGATGTTAGTTATATTATTTATTACACTAAACAGATTGTGTAATAAGTTAACTAAATTAACAAAACATTTTTTTTTTCAGATCTGGCTATGTGATAATGGAACTAACAGAAGTTCAATCAGGAAGTTATGAAATAATTCCATCAACATTTTTGCCTGGTAATGAAGGCCCATTTATAATGTCAGTAAACGCATCATGTTCCATAAGCATTAATCAAATACGGTAGATAAATAGTATATTATATCATAAAATACTTTAAAATAAGCAATTAATCAAAATATAATATATACATTTCCATTGTATAAAAATAAATCTAATCTAAACTATTTGGTTTTTGTATTGCTTTAAAATGTTATTGAAAATTTTATCATTCTGTATTGTATTCTGTATTCTGTATTGTTTAATTTATTACTCCTCATAAATTATGTTTTTACTAATTAAATTAAAACTACTAAAAAAATAATTGTATAAATAAGACTTTTACAACAGCATTTGGCATTAAAAATAACAGGGTGTGAAATAAGTAAACACTAGTTTTATTTTATCAAAGTACTAGAATATATTTATTGATTAATTGAATTTTTATAAAAGTAAAGTTAAAAAAACAATGCATAGTAGAAAAAATGTTAATTATCTGCTGTGTTTCTATTGACGTTCTTACTAATACCAGGTAATATTCCACCAGCCGTCTTGAAAGCGTAGAGTCCTGATCCCAGTGTAATAGAAAATACCACAAAGAGCGTAAGTGTGTAATAATTATACTGATTGAGTAATGTTATTTCCGACACAGTTAGATGTGAACCAATAACATAGAAAATTAAGTTTTTATTGTCTGTGTTTAATCCATGGAAGAATAATACTTCCCAAAATACGTGTAGGAAAATGGTAAGGGCAGTGAAAACAGAAGATACCACACAAAACGCACTGTTTCCTCCACGTAAACCCATTGTTCCTGGTCCTCCGACTTCAGCTAATATGTTGATTAGAGAGAATAATCCACTCATAATTCCAAATCCCAAACCGGATACATAGGACAGCATGTGTTTGTTATTGGATACTAATGAGTGGGTAGCAAAACGTTTTAGTCCTCGCTCCGCTTTACGTAGTAATAAATATAAAAAGTATCGGAATAGTTCTTGTACCAATACAGATATAAGAACTCCAAACCAAACTTGATGTTTGAGAGGAAACAAGAACCATAGTATAGAAGACAGTAACAGGCTTAGTAGCCAGAAGAAAGAACTTGCTATCAATATAATAACTCGTACAGGATCATTCATAATTGTGATAAAAAACATAGAGAGTGCTGGGCCAAACGCTGTAAAGGCACAGCCGGTAAACTCCAAAAATGTCATGGTAATTAATTTTTTTTTAATACAAACGGATGAAAATCAAAACCGAACAGTACACACGCACATTGAAATTTATGTTTCTTAACAAATCACTGATGCAAAGAAATATTTTAAGCTTACCGAAATAGTTATGTTCGTTCGGCTATCATCAACTTCTTTGATCGGTACAAAATAGTAACTTTTATTTTTTATCAAATACTATTTACTTTCTATTCAAGAAGACTGAGCGTCGAACTAGACCAACTTAATCTTGCTAATGATCGAATCTATTATCTTCATAATCTTAATATTTACAAACTATGTATGTAATGCTGAATTGTACTGTAGCAATTCATGACAACTTAAATATTCTCTACCATTTGGCATTTAATAAATGAAAAACAAAAATGAAGTAATATCATAGATTAAATAAAACTGTGAAGTATAAACTAAAAACACAGCCCACAGAAAGCCGCGCACACCGCACACTGTTAGTAGGCAGTGTGTGCAACATAATGAAAATGACACATTTAGGAAATTAATGAATAACGGAGGTAGATTAAGCCCAAAGTGTTTAGCATATAGTCGAGGTTGTCTTCGGTGTCAACTGTCATCCTTTGTTTTTTTGTAAATGCGTTTTTATTTTATTAAGATTAAATGTAAATTTAATGTTAATTTTTTTCCACGTCGTCTACTGTAGTTTAGGGATTAAAAGATTTATAAAAAATTAACAGTTTATTTTAAGCAGTTTTTTTTATTGCGATTACAATAGTCTACTATGTATAATGTACTTCCCATAGTGCAGTTGACTTCTGTATTCAGCAATACATCAGTATTTATTGATTATGGTATTATACGTTCAATAATACTGACTACTAAAATATATTATATAAAAAAAGTAAGTATCTGATATATAATGTCAATAAATGTGATTAAGTGAGGGTAAAAATAATTAAATTATAATCTTTGTTATACCTTGTGGTCATACTGATCGCCATCTAGAAAGTGGAGACGTCGGCCCTCGGCACTCGGCAGGTCTGTAAATGAGGATACGGGAAACTTTCTTGGGGACCAAATCAAATCAATGACTACCCACTTCGAATACGAAAAATAAATTATTTTATTTAATTTTAATAACCTATATATATTTTTTTTTTTACAATATTCAATGTAAAATAAGTACAATATATTTTAAAAACTTATTTTGTTTACCTAAATGTGCGTTTGCGGTGCCTTGGCCAATTCAGTAAACATTTTTTTTGAAAAATAAAATTAAAAAAAATGACGATTTTGAATATCTCATTCTTACATGCGAAGTATACGGGGAGTAATTAGAAAATAGGGAGGGAATGTTATGGCCAGTTGCGGTGGTCTCCAATTACTACTAGCACGTAATTAAACTTGTAATTATTTGCCATAAATTAATAATCAGTTGTCTATCGGCGGACGCGAACTGGGCAACGTAGTGTGTCGTATTACCTGTTATCTTCTGACCATAAATAATTAATATTACTATGAAATGAATACAACAATATAATGATCCAAATATTAACAGCATACATTATTATTCTTAAAAACGCAAATTTTTATTAAAATTAAAAACCGCAACACCTCTTTACTTAACCGTACAAAGCAAATCGGGTGAAAAATGTCTGTTAGTGTGTGGTGAGGTATTTGAATTTCAAACTTTGAAATATGTATAATTGTATAGTCGGTAGCGGGTAGTCAAATAAAAAATAAACTATAGGGTCATTCCATGCCAAATCACCTGATATGAGCGCGGGTGGATTTTCTAAATTTCTCAAAAACTTATAAACTCTATGAAGATAGTTCCATAAAATCGAAAAAGTGTAGAAAACTTTTTCTTTTTGGATTTAGACGATGCTATATTTTGTAAATTTTTATTACGAGCTGTAAGAACTTAAACAAAAAGATGTTATGCGTAGTTCGAAAATACGAAATTTGAAAAATTCAAGTTCTTACAGCTCCTAGTAAAAATAAGTCTCTATTATCAAACTTTTACTAGATATTATGTTAGGATACCTGTAATCAAAAAGAACACTTTCAATTTTTCAGTGAGTTCCATTCATCCAGGTCGTGAACTTAAGGCGTTTTTAAAACAAATTTACGAAATATAGCATCGCCCAAATCCAAATATTTAAAAAAAAAATTGTGTTCACTTTTTTGATTTTATGGAACTATCTGCATAGGGCATATAGAAAATCCACTCAAACACACATGATGTGTGACAACTGACACATCAGGTGATTTGGAATGGAATGACTATATTGTTATAATATTGTCAGGACTCAGGAGAATAAACATGTGGCGTAGTTTTTATTTTTTTCAACGTCTTTCTAACTAAGACTCGCCACCGCCAAACAGTTATTTTTGGAGCTAGGAAAATAAGGGGTATGCAACTATGATCTATGAAAGCCATGTCACCAACCTACTAATTATATTGATTATTGAGTTTCTTGGCTACAGTTTTTTTTTAAATTTAACTTTTGACAATTAATCAAGGTGAAATCAATAGTATTTTACGAGTGAAAAGAAATCCTCGCAATGAAATAAGTGAACTTTAATAACTATAATATAATGTTTAAAAATATACGTTTACTATTGTCAGTGGTATAGATTCAAAAATATAGTATTATATTGTAATCTATGCCAGTTGCCTTAAGAATGAAATTGAGGTGGCAGAAATAGTCTACAAAAATTGAAAGGATTGTACTACTTTTTCAGTATTTCATTATTATATGATTTTAAGTGTAAATGTAAAATTTAAACATATTAAGTTCAACGGCTATTTGAAAGTTGAACTAGACAATATTTTCCCTTTATTTAGCAAAAAATAATAATGATATAAGTTTAATAATTTTTTTCGGCTATTGAAAAATATATAAAAGGATCAAATCTAGATTAGCTATGTGCGTTTTTTCGCTGAAGATGGTGGTGTCAGGGAACAGAAAGGTCTTTAAGGGGCAAAAGATAGGCAATATTTGACAAAAATTGATCTGGAAGCCATTTTATATGTTCCAATTAATTTTAAGAGGACGTCACACCGCCCATTTTTAAGGAGTAAAATATAGGCAATTTTTTACAAAATCTTAACTTAAAGGTTAAACTGTGATGTGTAACTATGAGTTCAGTAGTTAGGACTCTTTTTTAGTAGTTAAATTATTTTTCAGACTATCACAGCATCATTGACAGCGATTTAAAAAAAAAATTCTGTTGAATTGAGTTTTACGCGGATTAATTTTTCTCAGGCTTCATACATATATAGTTAAGGAAAGAAATTCATATATATTATTTATGATAAAATTATCTGTGTTCTATCATCCGTATTTTTCGATATACCTAATACAATCAACGCTATATCATTTTTAAAAAAGTCCTTTCTTAATTAATTAATTATTCATTAACTGACAATGTTGTTGACTATATTATGTGAAAATTGGGTTTCTTAGTTTTGATTACAGCCTTTGTAAAATTAATTCGCGCAAGGCGGGTTTTAGGAAGAAAATAACGGGTGTGTGGCGGCACTCTTAAGGTGAAAAAATATTATGTTTTTTTCGTTATAACTTAAGTTATTTTTCTCCAAGTTGTGGCAAAAGTTAGATAAAAAATTACTTGTAGAATAGGTTTCTTAGATGTATATTCTATTTGTTTTTAGTAGATCTTAATTTAATTTAGGTTATATTATAAACCATTAAAAGTTACTATATTGTAATTTCATAAAATAAAAATTAAGTTTTTTAAAATGTTATATATATCGTCAGCCTGAATTGCAAAGATTGTAAGTCAAAATTGGTAAATTTTCTACAAGTAAATAAACAAAAATATAATAAAATTGTTTGAGTTAGTTGTTGTACATATGTATATACTATATACATTATAATATGTTAGCCAATTAAACTATATCAAGTAAATCAAGTTGCGTAGTTAATAATTTGATTAGTTTCAACAAATTTACAATTAGATATAGATAAAATATATTATATAATTATCATAATTCATAACTATAACAAAAAAACATATTTTACACTTAATATTTATCTATACAATTATAGTTAATGTATTTTTTTAAATTTAACTTATTGACACTTATTATCAATAAAATATAGGTTATAAAAAAATTTTCAAACTATAAATTAAGACATTTATAATTTAAAAAATGTAGCTTTTAAGCATTGTCAGTTAAAACTTTAAATTTACCTACCTAATCAGAAAATAATAATATTTATAAATATAAAAAATATAAAAAAAGCTGTAGTTTAAAAGATGTGAAGTGTAATATTATACTGATTATAAAAAAAAAAGGTTACTTTATCACTACTTGTTTAAAAGAAGAGTTATCTTTACTAAAACATATATTTGACCTCAGAATTCACAAAAAATGTATTATCTTCAAGTAATATAATTTGAAAAATAAGAAAGTAGTAAAAAACAAAAATATTCTAGTCTAATGTAATTACACAAATCACTGAGCGTGATTCATCTTTTTCTTTATTTTGTGTTTCAGAGTTACTACTTGGTATATGATCTCGTATATTTGACTCTGAAATTGTTATATTTGGAAGATATCGAAAATTATCAAGCAAACTAGATGGTTTCATCAAAGTTTGATCGGGTTCATCATGTAATGTGATGATGGGTTGATAATCTGAGTTACTTGTTGATGGTGATGAACCACTTTTTACGCTAAGATCCAAAACTAAGTCATCATTAATTGGGCTATTACTTTGTAAATTACATGTTGTAACAGCTTCTGAAATATTCTCATGTTTTATTGTAGGTGTATAAGTATCTTTTATAGGACTATACTTTGATCGTTTTTTTCTTGGTTCTTCATCAAAATCAGAATCGGAGTCTGATAATGTAAAGACTTCAATCTGGCTTGATTGAGTAGTTATTAACGAAGAATTCTGATCTTTTGGTTGTTTTAAGATCCACGATCCATCTTTTTGTAAAATTATGTTTTCACATTCTTCATTTATTTCCGGACTTTTGACAATATCTAAGAAAAATCCATCCACTTCAATGTCTTCAAAATTTACTTTTTTTTTACAAAGTGGACAAAGCCACGTTTGTTTTTGTTCATTCATTTGTAGAAATTGAATAGCATCAAAACACTGCATATGTATGCAATTTTTACCACGAGCAGGTAATTCCATTGTTTTTTTGCTTAATGGATCTTTAACAGTAGCTATCATGGAATCTACACCCATATCATGGTCACTTTCCATGGATTTTCTTATAACTTCTTTTGTTTTTTCAGCATCACGAATAGGATTCTTTTTTAGATCTTGAAGGAGTTCATTCCAAAAAAGCCTTTGTGCTACAAAAACACCAGCCATATACTCATGTGGTTCATCAGACCAAGTTATTTTTAATGTATTTTGTGAACAATTTCTTAAATCAGTTTGCTGAGTAATATCAATTGGTACATTACAACGCCATGGTGTTACCCCAGCTTTTGTTGGGATATTTAATGTAGGTAGTTTACATTGATGATCATTTACTGAAACAATGATATTGTAAGGTAACCGCTCGCTTACATTTTCATTACAATTTATCCGTGCTAATCGTAGAATTATTTGTATTTTATATTCTTGTCTAGCAATGTTCCATGATTTAACTATGGAATGCCTGATGCTATCAGTTAAGTAAAATAGGCCTGTGAAATTAGCTTTGTCATTATGAGCAGGTTGACAATGCATTGGTTTTAATAATGTATCCACAGTTTTATAGAAAGGTAAATGTTCAAAATTAGTTTCTACATGAGATGGTGGTTCATTATAAGTTACAGGTATGGGTGAATAAGATGGCTGCAAAAGGAATCTATGTAAGAAGTGTTGCTGCCGTTGTAATTGTTGAGGTGCCTGTTGATGTTGTTGTGTTACTTGTTGCTGTTGTGTTGCTTGTTGCTGTTGACGTGTTTGATAAACTGGTTGATGATATGGAAATGTCGACTGTCTAGATTTAAAAACTTCAATAATTTTTTGTCTTAAAAATTTAGTTTTTGAAGCTGGACCAGTCAATAAAGATAAAACTCTTTTACGTAACAATTGTTTATTACCAAATTTATTATTTTTAACTGCATCTAAAATGAATTGCAATTCATTCAGTTTCAATTCGTACACTAACTGATGAACATACTCAATATCAGACTGAAAAAAAAAACAATATTAAATTAGTGAATATACAAGTGATTTTATATAACTTTAAAAAAAGGATTTTTTTAAAATAATTTAGAATTTTGTATTAAAAACTAGACTAAAGATAGGTTAAACATACATTCTAAAAATATTTAAGTAGTTAGGGCATGTGAAAAGCAGTAGGAGAAATGAAATAGTAAAATAGGTATGAGAAATATACGAGTAAAGAGATTATAGATTAAAGTAAAGATTAGGTTGTCCATATACCTTTATAAGACAATTTAGGTGTAAACATAGAATTTGATCGGCTGAAATTGTTGATAAGCTTAGAATTTAAATACATCACATTTTGTTGTAAATTAAGTTTAAAAATGTATTAAATGATAATGGTATTTAATTTTATTTAAACAAAAAGTTTGTTTATTTCAATTAAATACACAAAATTTTAATTTTAATGTTAAAACTTAACTATGTGTTAGTTACAAAACATATTTTTAGGACAATAGATATATTATTAAAATATTAACTGTGAGGTGTAGCCCTTCTACAATTCTGCTAAATTTAAACTTTTTTCATTCCTTCTCATTTCTGTATAACAGGGTATATCACTATGATCTGTTAGAATTTCATACCAAATTAACATAAACCTGTCAGTACATTTTGATCTATGTATGTTATTCTTTATTTATTTAAGCGTATGGCATTTTTGACCAGGAGTAGGCCCAATTCTAGCCTAGTTCGGTCGCCAGATGGCGCATGATATTTCTGCCATGCAGTCGGAGCGACCATGAGCCGTGACCGAGTGTTGAACCAGCAACAGTGAGCACTAACACACTGTCATCTTACCCACTCGGCCACGTCTTTTCAACTTATCTTATCCTTAACATACATGTATCAGAAAAAGATAGCTTTAGATGTTTTTAAGCAAATGTAACTTCTTTGTTTTCCAAAATAAATGTTTACACTATTATATTTTGTAATCAATCTATTTTTGAATGGTACACAACATTTTATAATTTTGAATAATTATTTAAAAAAACTTGAGCAACACTTATGGTTATATACATACATAAAAAAGTAATAACATAATAAAATATTTAAAATCTCTTACCTACAAAAAATAATACACTACCCATGTATTTTGGTAGCAATGCTATTATCATCAGCGCTCACAACAAACTGAGTTTATCGTTGCTATCAAAATACGCACATAAGAGTGAATTATTTTTTATGGTGAAGGGTTTTTAAATATCTTATTACTTATTCAAAAGATTATGTAGGGGAGGCTAACTTGGAACTAGAGGAATCCGCCGATTTTTTACTTAGATTTGTAATACTCTTAAAAAATAGTACAAGGTAATAAAATAAAATTGCAAAATAATGGGTCCCCGGTGAAATGCATTTGTACCATTCAAAACTAGGTTTATTACAGAATATGTAATATAGTTGCTTGAAAAACATGTGTTCTTTTCGGCCACCTTGTATAACAAATATTGCCTAATTTTGAGGACATCAATGTTTGTCTTGTGATCACAGATATACACTTTTTAAAATTAGTCAACATTTTAAAATATGCTTAGTTAAAAGTATTGTGTCTACAGATTTACATTGAAGTATTTTCTTGAGGTTTAGGTACGATTTAAAAATCCTAACTAGCGTGGTCAAGGTAAAAAGAAATGTTTTTTTGATCAAATCAATGGATAGCCAACACATTAACATGGTTTTTTTGAAGTTAATTAAACACTAATTCATAATTGGCATAACACTCATAGAAACTTATTTTACTTTAGTATGATCAAAGAGTAAAATTACTCTATTTAATAATACAATTATAATTATAATTTAATTTATACTCACAGAAGAATTACTTGAAGTAGCCATAGTGATCATAACAATACTTGCAATGACCTTACTTTTTACTAGGTATAGCCAATAGGTATGTCATAGTAACTAAGAAAAACAATTTAATTAATTTACTGACATGAAATTATGTTTAAAACGAGTTTTAAAAAAAATGTATGACTTTAAATTTATAGTGTATAAAATTACATTTTTAAGAACTAAACAAAATTGTAAATACCACTATACTCATAATAGTAGACAGCGATATACAGAATAATATAATTCCCGCATTTATATGTAAAACTAATATCGAATATTATAAAGGAACTCGCATATACCTATGTTGAATTTGTATATGCATTATATCTACTAAGTACTATAGTACTATAGTTGACAGTTGATACATGACTTAAGACATAGATCTCTTAATAAAGTCTTATAAACTAAATAAACTAAGAGTTATGATAATTTGATTAAATGATAACACCATTCTGTTAAGCATGGAGGTTGTGGTATACATGGTTATGATAGTAAATTTAACTTATTCCTGACTTCATAGTTTGAATTAAGATTCAGATTTCAGAATCGGTTGATTATTATAATTTTTTGTAGAGACTGGAGATGAATAATTCGTACATATTTTAAAAAGTTTATTATTATTATTTAAATTCATACATCAAGTAAATAAAGTATTTAAAGCACATTTTGTTAATGACCATAAAATAACTTTTAACGTCTTTCATTATCTAATAATGCTACTTAACTTTATTATCACTTTTTCTATTTCCTTTCAACTAAAAAAAAAGTAAAAAATACAGTCATCAAATTATATATTTTATAAAGTAGATCAGTGATAGAACAAGTACAGATTCTGAAAAAAATCTGTAGTCCGTTATATAATAAAATATTACTGTAAATCAATTATTAGAAACATTAAAAATATGTTGCGGTATAAGTTATCCTGGTTAACCAGTCATTTACCCTAAAAACACAACTGGATTTTAGGGTAGTAGAAATTTGAGAATGTTTTTTTAAATTTAAATTTGTTTTCATTTCAAAGGCCATGTTATTATACATGAACCGTCTTAGAACTTAGATCTAAGTTTTAATCATATTATGGCAGTGTGACTGACATACAATAAAGTATTTAATATATTTGTGCGTTGGTAACACATTATACTTTGCTTCAAGCGATATTTCAAAAAATGGGAGTTGGGTACACTGTCAGCTCGCTCGTAGAATATAGTTGCTATCGCATCGCGTAGGTAATTTTTACCCGCAACCCGCCTAACCCCGGTTCACTGTTGTAAATTTCTGTATTCCGCAGACCGCTGTACTGAACACACGATATACAGCACACGTTTGTGTAAACTAGACGTTTTTCATATTACCGAGTGATAAAATATAACAACTTTGTTTCTCTACTTCGCTCTTCGGTAATATATTATTTATTAGAAAGCTTAAAAATGGGCGTTGATGTAACGTTTTTGAGCGAAGGTGATGGTAAGTCTGATTTTTATAACAATACACATTATACCATGCATATCATAAATCATCATCCATTATAATTAATGATAGCGACCTTGTAACTTACGAGTTACACTTGCTAAGCATAGTGATTGACGTTGTAATCATAGACAGAGCACGTTATTATTTCAGAATTAATATTTGTTTTTAATTTCAGGAGCTACGTTCCCGAAAAAAGGCCAAACAGTTGTCGTGCATTATACAGGTATGTTATCTCACATTATTGTTTGCTATAATACCTACTACTCTATATTAAAATGGATACTTTAAATCACTGCTAAATAACGCTGATATAATGGCAGATAACTGTAATCGCATTTCTGGATCTGTATACCTATTCTTTATTTATACCTGTTTTTTACAGTGATAAACTGTAATACTATTATTAAATCCCCCCCCCCCCAAAAAAAATGCAAAATCTATAAACGGACATTGCTCATAACCATCTATAATATAATATTTATTATACAATTATAATTATGAATATTGTAGTATATGAGTTCTAAATAATGTTCTTTATTTAACATTTTATTATATGTAGATAGGTATGTATATTTGTTTAAACTTTGCATATCATCAAATATTTATTATATTTTTATAACCATTAATATTGTGTTAGTTAAAATCAAAATTGTTTGTTAATACTGATCAATTTAGAGTATAATGTAGTATAATAGCTTATATTATTAAATGTTCTTATATATTTTAGGAACATTGACCAATGGTAAAAAGTTTGACTCTTCCCGAGACCGTGGTAAGCCTTTTAAATTTAGAATTGGAAAGGGAGAAGTGATCAAAGGCTGGGACGAAGGTGTGGCTAAGGTAAATTACACATATTACCGATAATGTATGTCTAAATTTAAAATAAATGTGTCAAACACCCACACAGCTAAATAAAAAATATAAATATTATTTTGAAAATAATTCATGTATAATTATTAAATTGATAAAATCATTGATTATAAATATTAGATGGTCCACCGAGACAAATTTCAGTCTTATGCGTCAATGAAAATGATACTACTAGCGTCCCTCCAGTGTCGACGTACAGAACTAAATTTTGTCTTAGTTGGTCATCTTTAACAATTATATAATAACAACAATATAATAATGTTAAAACATTTGTTTTTTTTTTTTAATAGATTTTAAAAAATATTGTGACAATTATAAAAAATCAAAACTTTTGAATTAACTGATTATGAAAATATTTAATTGCTGGGTGTGAACATTTCCTAAATATATTTGTAGTAATATTTATTATTATTATTATTTTTTTTAATTGCATACTTTTTATTTCTTAGATGAGTGTGGGTTCTCGTGCTACATTGACTTGTTCGCCAGACTATGCTTATGGAGCTTTGGGTCACCCAGGTGTCATTCCACCCAATGCTACATTGATATTTGATGTTGAGTTAATCAAGTGTGAATAACAATTTTCATTATTATATTATTAATAACCTACTTAGAAAAAAAAAATATTCCTCTAAGACTGATAATATTTCTTGCATTAACCAACACAACACAGATTGCTGTCACATGTTAGTACAATTTTATTCTTAAATATTTTATGTTGATTGTTGTATAATAGTCGGCAAAATTCTCATTCGTTCAATTTTTTAATGTCAAATCTATATCAAATATACTTTAATTGCTTAGGATATTTTATGTACAATAATAAAATGTGTTGACATGTTTTTCTGTTTTATAATACATTGTAGTAGGTAATAAAATATTGAATATTCACACGTTTTTTAAAAATAAATTGTAATTCTTCCTATTTAAGTTGTCTTTTTCTTTGCTGTATACTCTAAAATTGTTTGGAATTGTATTATTTACTCATTACAATACAATGTATGTGAGTTATGCAGTGGTGAGGTGTGTATCTTTAGGTCAGGGAGACATTGAAAATAAAAAATATATATACGTTCAAATTTGTAATTTTTATATCTTCGGTCCTGGGGAGAAAGGGCTTAAGTCGATTTAATCAACTTTTCAAGACAGCCGTTTGAAAGTTTAAAAATACATACACGTTTTAGTATTACACCACGAATATTCTTCAATAACATGAGTAATATTCTTCAATGACTTATGCCAATTGAACCAAAAAAATCAAGCTTTAAATCTATAGAAAAACATTTTTTTGTGAAAAATTGACTTAAGCCCTTTCTTCTGGGGACCAAAGATATAATACTAAATTATTTGTCCATATTCCAAGTGGGTAGACATTGTCTTATATAATGCTACGCCACTGATTTTATGTATTTATTGTTAAGCCAATCACTTTGAATTGGTTTAATATTTAATAAACAATTGGACGTTTTTAATAACTAATAAATCTAAAATCATACCACAAAGTAATATCTTGCCGATTGAAGAATACTGTGTTGGATGTGTATGGAAATTATATTAATAGTGAAGTTTTTATTTAACACATGATAATAATGTTACACTCCATAATATATACTGCACAGACAGGTAATAAAAATATGGTTATATAAATTAAAATATAGGGTATTTTAAATACGAAAATCAATTTATTACATTTCAAGTCGGTAATAACCTAATTAGTATAAAAACAAACTTATATTTTTTTTATAGATAAACGTTTTATTTATTAATTTTATTTTGATAAATTAAGTAAAAACTGCTTGAATAAATCAGTCAAGTTCTAGAAGTTACAATTTTACTTTTGGCAATTGGGTACCTATAAAGAAGACAAAATAAGTTTTAGCATAAAAATACCTAATATTTTTTTAATACAAAAAAAAAACGCTGATGTTAATATTTTTTTAAGTAGTTCTTTCTCGGATGATTTTTACATGCACTTGGGCAATTTAAATGTTTGTTCCAATCTTCCAGGTCACTTCCTATGTCCTCTGAGCACAAGGGGCAAGTGTTGCTTATTGAATTTCGTTCTATCAGATAAACATTAAAATATTGATAATTTCGGATAGTTCTGATTTCAATAGTAAATACTTACTGACACATGCTGGTCCCAATACATGATGTTCTAGAAAATCGCTCTTGATCACTTCTAAGCACAAGTTGCACGTTTTATAATTATCTTTGTAATCACAGTCCTCTGAAACCAACCATACGACTGTTAATTTATAAATGTTTAATTATTAACTTATTAGACAATCATTACTCAGTAGATGATGCCGGAGTGTCATTATTTCGATGACTTCAGAGCAGTGTTCACATCGCATCAACAGAGGACAAAATTTCCAAAAATGAATATTCAATTCTTCTTCTGTGAAAAATGACTCGTTTTTGCAAAAAGTACAGCGGCTTCAGGGATAGCAAAAAAAAAAAAAACAATTCGTAATACTTTTCAACTAGCTTTAAATTACGAGGAAAACAACAGCTACTCACTGACATTTTGACGAGCTACTCTCACTTTGTCCATTATCATTAAACTCGTTTACGCTCGCTGAGGAACTTGAACTCAATTTATTTTTACTACTCAACGCATTGTACACGTTGTTTTCACTGTTGTGGTTAAAAGTTGAATGATTTTCACTTGTAGATCTCACTAATTTACATTGGCTGTTGTTACTCGTGCTTATCTCGCATCTCCTCTAAAATATAAAACTAAATATTAACTCGGGCAGTGTCCCAAAAATGTTTGATAAATAACTTTTGTTCTAGTCAATATTTTTTTAAAACTAATTTGTACTCATTTGCGCTATAAACACTACAGTTTGTATTACTCTTGATACTGTTTTACTTTTTTTGGTACATTTTTTATAAAAAAAATTCAAGATAGCCATTTTATTGAGAATAGTTTGACTGTTTTATTGCCAGTTTTGGATAATTACTTTTTAAGTTATTAAAGGTTAAAGGGTAAGATGGAAAGTTGAGTGCGGTAGAGTTGTTTTTATCGGCACGCATTACTCTACATGAAATGTGTGATAAATAGTTAGTAATAATTATTTTCAAAACTTTGAATAATAATATTGATACGTTTTTCCTTCTAGAGTAAAATTTGGTATTTTGGATTTACGCCCTTTACTAACTATAGGCTGACGATATGAAAAGAATGAAAAAAAGCACAGAATACAAGTACACATGACGTGTGTGTCGAGATACCACGGGACGCAAATAGCGGTAGGAAACGAACATTATATAGGTACGACACAGACAGACTATCGCTTCGAAGATGGACTCTGTAATAAGTCCGAAATGTAAGCATAAAACTGAAGACATGAATACATCTGAAAATTATTCACATAATAATTCAAACCGTGAAAGCTTTAACACATTCATATAATTATTTTTTGTATTTGATGAAAATCTCTCATTGGACTAACAAGTCCTTCCCTCCGAAATATTAACTCAGCCTACGACAGTATATATCCTATTTCAATATTAGTTATAACTTATAATATAGTTAGATTTAATATAATATAATATACACTTTACAGTGTAAAGTTCGTATTATTTGAAATTTAAATGTCGATTGACATCAGTCATCAGCTAATGGAAGTCGAATGATAAATTACATGATGGTTACAATGATAAATTACACGTACTTCTAAATCAATGCGTTCGAATTCTTGCATTAGCTGTCTGTATAATATGTTTCTTCTGGTAATTTCGTCATCTGGGGGCAATTGCTTGCGAACGAATCGAGGGTTCACTTTGTAAACGTGCAGCAGAATTCTTTCAGCAGCTTTTCGCACGGCTTCGGTTGGGTGATGAATAGCCGACATTCCGAATTCGCATAAGGTACGACACGTCATTCCGCTATGTAAACAATTCAGAAATCAGACATCAAGGCAAAATAAAACTACTTAAATAGTTTCCAGAAGAAAACGCAAATACGAAAAGTTAACTACTACTCTGCTTATTAATTATTTCATAACTGCGATTACATTCAAGTAAAATGTAATATTATAATTTATCTTATCTTTAAAGTTCCTCCGTTACTTTTGTAACAGTGCATTCATTATTCATCGGCAAATTCAAAAATGATACTCGCTAACGTTAATCTGATTATTAAAAACGTAGAGATTATTTATTGTAATAAAGCTTATGCTGAGGATAAATGTGATTTTGAATCTTCTTAAGATGATGGGTAAAATTATCAACTACACTACCATGAAGTCGACATGAACTAGTAACCTGTTTTTGTCCGAAGACACGCCTTGGCTAACTATCAGTTGTTCAGTCATTTCCAAACGACTAAGTATCAATCTAGGATGTATGTTGCCTGTGAATAAACGCGTCAGGTGTGTTTGTATTATGTTGAGTTTCCTGTGAAAATAAACGACAACTTATTGATAGTTATTAATAATATGATTTCGATTTTCAACCTTATGTCAGGTACGTCGGCTACACTTAATATCGTATGTATCGCTATGTTGTGTATCCTCGAAGTGGTGTCACCAGCTTTAGCTAACAATTCTGGTAGCAACGTCTCAACGCTACGCGAAGCTTCACCAGTCGATACCCTAAAAACAATAAGCCCGTTAATTTACATAAAGCTTAGTGGTATTTAAAAAAAAATTGTTTAATGGGAAATGGCCTCCTCATACGGGGCTAACAAAATGGTAGTGATAATTTAATTTAGTAAACTCTGGGTCTAAAGTAAAATTTGAAAATAATCGGTATTCCTAATATTCGTTCCTAACAACTTAAAATACAATTTTCATTTTATTAAATAATGAACACGTCTACTTTATTATTGAAATACGTAGGTATACTCTCAATAATATCTAGGTACTTAAATATTAAACAGTTAATTATTAGCAGCCATTAAATTATAACGGATATTATATTTTCCTAAAATAACGTTACGCCGTAGGTACGTATTTTACCTTCCAGGGACAAATTCCGAAAAAAGAAAGCGTATAATGTTGGCTGACAAATTGTAAACGGCGAACACTTTGTCTCTTAAAGTCCGATGCAATAGCTGGACAGCGGCTCTAGTAATTTTGTTAGGAGGATGACGTGAATCGCCGTCGACCATGAAGTTTTTAATAGAACCTTCCATCGATTTCAGACCCTCTACCTTATCGGAATATTGCTTGGAGAAAAAATGCTTGACCTGAAACAGTATAATCGTCATCGTAGGGGTATTATCGTGTTTAATTTAAGTATTACTTCTTAGTTGGTACTTACCATTGAGAGTCCAAACACAGTGATAGGGATTGAAAGTTGTTTCTTATCTCTTTCACTTAATTTGAACGTACCTGCGACCCCACCATTCAATTGTGTCGTCGCTAAATCCTGAGTGTTCCGAGTCTGGCAGCTATAAATCAATAACGTTATATTAATATTCTATGAATGAGTACAAATAAGGAAGAGTAGCTTACAATCTTTGAGCAGGAATTGATTGTTCGTCATACGCTTCGTAACTGGTTTTGTTGGACTTTGGACGGATTGGTTTCGGTCTTCTAAACGAGATCGATTTGGACACTATGGTCTGTTGAAGTTTCGGCGACCTACAACACAAGACAACCGTTAGAAGTAGAATTATGACGATTTCTTTGTGTAGCTTTTTAACTATGTGTTTACCTGTCTCTGGGGCTATTTTCAGGGTAGTGGAGTGGGGATACCGGACTGTGGTAAACATCCGGTTCGTCGACCGCTTCTGTTTCAGTTTTTTCCGGAAGGATTTCTTGTTTGTATTTTTTGTCCGTCATCCCTCGAGGAGTGACCGAGGGTGAAATCCCGTTGTTTTCGACCAACTTGATGGAGTCACTCGTGACAGAGTTTGGGGTCTTGTCCATTAGACCTTCAGGCTCCTCGTCGTTGACCATCAATGGCTTTACAAGTATAAGGGTAAAAGTTAGATAAAACTACTGAGAAACATGTATAATGCCATCTTAACTCACTCCGTCTTTCTCTAGGAGATCGTCCACCCGGTTGTCAGCCAAAATCTGCGCCCTAAACTCTTCCATTTGGGCCTTTTTCTTTTTCGCTTTAGCATAGTCTTCATTGTGGATGGCATGGTTTTTCGATAGTTCCAATTTGCCCAACTTTTCACCGGCTGACCTCAACTCTGTCATGGCGGCTTTCAGTTTTCGAGCATATTCGAATCTCTCATCTGTAAATACAAGTTTTTTTAAAGTGCTAATAACTTGTTTTATAGCCCTAGGCCTAACCCTATAGAAAACTTACCTTGGACGGCTTTTATCTTTCTTTGTTCTAGAGTCCTAATGACGATGGCCATCTGCTTATCCACGTACATTTCGAACGCTAAGTCGTCACAAACAGAGCCGTGAAAATTTCCTTGGTCGCCGCAGCTCTGTTTTTCGCCGAAAATTTGCACTCCGATTAAACTCACCTTAAAGACAATTCCACGTCATTTAAAAATGTTCTCATCAAATAATGTTGACTATCAAATATCACAAACCTGGTTAAAACGATTTAAAGCGTTCTGATGGTTCTCGTGCAAAATGAACTTCACGCAATCGGTCGGACTGGACAAAGGCAACGATATAGTTTTCAATTCTCTGCTCTTCACTTGACTTCCGTCGTTGTCGTTCAACGTAACATAACCCAAATATTCATAGATCAATGCACTCGGATCTTCCGTTTCACCATGTTCTTCCGGCCCAATCCATATTTCGATTTTACTGGCTATAAACGACACGCACATAACAATGAACTTGCTATTCTAGCAAATTAGTATTAAGGAAATTTTACTAAAAGTGTCACTTACATATCAAAAATTGATGAGACAGTACTTGGATCTGATGAACTATGGCGGTCTCGGCGAGTCTGAGCACCAACTCTTGAGGATACTCGCAGTTTTTAGACGATTTCCATCCCTTAACGGTCGGACCATGCTGGTTAAGCTCAAAACTTTGATAATTCGCATCTTCGCCTGTACAAAAAAAAAGTCCAGATTTGTATACTTAAATTTACATAGTTGCTAAACTAGAAGAAATTTGAAATAATTTTTAAGATAACCTTGAATAATTAAATACAATTATTTGTATAATAAACTAAAAGGTAAAGATATATAATCTTTGACGCGCCTAACACAAAAACAGCTCAACCAGAAAAAAATTTAATTTCGTTTTATTACGTAACATGTAAAAGAATACAGTAGTTCGAAATCAAACTGACTTAGTCCTAAAAAATATATCCACTAAATTGCAGAAGTTAGTTTCTTTGGCTCTAGCATTAAAAAATTACAATTGGCTTTTTCTTGAAATAATAGTTTGTGGGTTAAGCTGTTTAGCTATGCGCCTCTTCAATTATTGTACTCTACTTTTTAAACACATAACATATTAATATATTATAATCAATTAATCAAGCGTAACTAACTCGTTTTATGAACAACCGTGAACTCTATTTTTCCTGTTTGCATCGCTTGTCTTGTGGTGTACGTGTGTAGACTGCACAAACAACAAATGTGTTATTAATTATATTTATTATCTATAGTACAATATAAGTGTGTTGAAATATAACTTGACATTTATTTAGTGCAACTCTAATTGCAAGAAAATTATTATAAATATAGTAAAGAGTTAAAAAGTAGTATTTTAGTAAATAATTAACTATACCGACAAAACCGATATCCTTTACCTTTGAGATGTTAGCGGCGTTTGATTTTTGTCTGAAGCACTTAGTTCGTTGTTCACATAATTCACAGCAATTCATTACGACGATAGCGAACTTTATATTGTTTTTTTTTTTTTTTTTTATAGATAGTAGTTACTATATAAGAGAAAACCAATCAATCGGTAAAGCAATTCGGTAACACGCAACATGTTTTAGCGTTAGTTTTCGTTTTTCAGTGTCCTATCATCCATCTCTCAATTCTCCCACTTTGGTTTTCTTTGATTTTCCGTTTGGTGCGCTCAGAACGCTTTGTGATAAAAAGGGGTGCACAACTGCAAAAGTGGAGAGCAATCAATAAAGTCTGCCGCCGGTCGCTGCTGTTGTTGCGTGCCCTTACTTTTCCGTAGGGTAGAAAATACAAAAGCTATGCCGAGTGTGTTAGGCGGTAAGCACCAATATTTTTCTGTGACCCGGTGGTTCATATATATTTTATAATACAAAAACAAATTTTATGTGTGAAGTATCGTTTATTTCGGGCGGGAACATCCTACAAATAGTTAAATACATACAATTGTATACATAAGTAATTACACTAATTATATTCATACAATAGTAATTCACATTAATCTACAAAATTATGTAAATAATAAATACGAATTTATATTTGAACCCCATTAAAGCATTAAGGTATACGCCTATACGCCTACGTATTTTTAGTAGAAAACAAATTATTCTAAAGTTATGAAGTAAATGCTATGAAGAATTCAAATGTTTTTACTTTTTTCAAAACTTAAATCGCAGTGTTTTCGAGAACGTACTGTTCAAAGTAGAAATATGTTTTTACACAAAAATAGAACCTGTATACTTTATAAAAGTTGAAAACATATTTAAATATTAAAATCCCTCTTTCCTGTGTTAATATACGTTTACAAATTTCTATAGTTTAAGTAAAAAATTGTCTATACAATGCGCCTTGATTAATGCTATTTTTAGATTGATTAATTGATATTTGTTAAAATATCTATTAGTTATCGAACTAATACTCATTATAAAAACTCATCGATAAAAAATGAACAGGGTTCTGCGTTGTAATGATTTAGTTTCATGAGTCTAACTTCATTTTTCTCTAGTTTCCAAATAGTATTAAAATAGTAGTTTGAAAATTGTAATTTTTGTATAACTATTGTTATATTCATAATATTGTTATGGATATAACCTACGAGTAAATACGTTTTTTTAATAAATTTAGATTAAGTTGCTACGTATACCATACGTTCGTTGATAATTTGATCGACACGTATTGGACAAATTATGAACACCTTTTACTTCGTTAGCTTTCTTTAAAAAAAAAATTACATCAGATTTTGTTTACATTTTTTAAATTTGAATATAAATATAGTATACTGTACCACTGTTTAAAAGTAAATTAAAGCAAACTACGAGAACTAGAAATGTTTATAAAGTATTTGAAGGTTTATAGTACCTACTCACTACTTAGTACATTTGAATTAAACGTTACCATAGAGACGCATTTATGTATACACTAATCTCGGGTATCATATTTTATCATTAGTTCAAAAAATACACGATCAGGTTTTTGTGTAATATTGTTTATTTCTACAGTAAAATTAATTCTTTAAAAAACCTAATCGAAAATGGATCCTGCGCACGTGAAGAATAAGTTTAACGCTTACGACAGTGAAATGTATTCTCAATACGATTATCATCTGGACGGAGCTAAAGAAGACCCGGAAGAGATCCTTAGACAAGCGTTGCGATCATCTTACAGTCGGAGAACATCGGTAAGCAATTAGATAATAAAGGTAATCGCATAAATAAAAAATAAATTATAGCATAATAGAGCGATTTTATAAATATTTTTTCAGATGTCTACCAAGACTCCAACGGGTCTTCCGTTACCATTCGCCACCACCCCCGTAAGTATAGAAATTAATATTCTGGAACTTAGCCAGACAATTTCCACGATATGGTCTAATTATTTTTGGTCTTAACAACTTTGTTGAAGTTCATAAATTCTTAGGTAGCTTTAAGATTTGTCTCTAACCCCACCCTCTCCTTCTCACCAATTACCATAACAAACGGAACTTTATTTTAATAACAAAAACCGATAACAATTTCGAAAAGGTAATAGAATTTTTAATAGCAATAAATATCATTATTATGTCTATGCAATAGTTAATGAAAATAGTTTTAATTAATAAAATCTAAATGGTCTAGACTCTAGAACTCTAGCCTCCTTTTCGTAACTTGCTTATTAATATTATATAGTTCTTATAGATTTTATTATATAATATAATCACACAATATCTGATCTTGGAAATAAAATAAAATTCAATTTTTAAAAGCAAATGAAAGATCCGCAAGCGTTAATGTTGAGGCCGGGAAGTTCAAGGAGTGGTTCGGAATCGTCAAACAGGCCGGCGACAGCTGTACGAGGCGCAGGATATACGTCACATTCTTCGACTAACAACGATGTCCTAAGTCAACCGTCAAGAAATATGATGGTCATGTCCGAACCGAACAAAGAAGAAAGGTATAGCCATTGTATATTGATTTGTATAAAAAAAAGGCATTTTCAAGTTGTTATTTTATTTATTGCAGAATGGAAGACAAGATAAAAAAGCTAGAGAAACGAATTCACGACATGGTCGATGAAGCTTGCTTGGCCGAAGCTAATGGAGATCCACAGCTGGGGTTGGAGAAAGCCAAAGACGCATCGAATAAGGAAAGAAGTCTGATCAGGATGCAAGAACAGGCTGGATTCAATGACTCGCACAATATTGATTTGACATTTTTGGTACATTCCAATTCTATTGGCTTATTATTTTAAAATCGTTATACCTATCGTGTAAATAATTATACTATGGTAGATATCTTACTCGTTCGTTATTCGTCATTCCATGTCATCATAAAGGTTATGAACTCTCAAAATAAAACTGTACCATAAATTATTGGTGTCGATATACATTTAATAAAGTATTTCTACACAGATTTTCACGTAACAACAGCTAACAAAAGTCGAAACTGCAAATTTGTATAACTAAAGATTTCGATTATGGAAAAATTACCGTATAATTGTACTATTATTAATATATTTAGGTGTTATTTACATTGGGAAACCAATACGCGGCCAACGAAATGTATACCGAAGCTCTAAACACGTATCAAGCGATATCAAAAAATCGTTATTTTCAAAATGGGGCTCGGATGCGCGTGAACGTAGCTAACATTTACGAAAAGATAGGACAACCGGAGAAAGCGATAAAAATGTACAGAATGGCGTTAGACCAGGTGCCGAACACCAACAAAAGTTTCAAGTAGGTCATGAAGTTAATAGATTTATTGGATTTAGATAATTTTAGTCGCCCGAATCACATGATTAAATAATATGTTTACAGACGAGCAATCACTCACAATGTGGGTGTTGTGTTTTTGAAAATGGGCAAATACGAGGATGCCTGTTCTAATTTCGACTATATCATGAACGAGAAACCCACCGTCAAGGCTGGTCTGCATGCCATCGTGTGTTACTACATGCTGGGCAACAAGGAAAAACTTAAACTCTTGTTCAAACAAATGTTAGAAATCGTTTTGGATGTCGATTTTGAAGACAAGTACGCGGCGCATTCTGTAAGAAAACAGCATAGGACCTTACAGTACAGTTATAAGTATAATGACTGATACGACGAGCACCGGGGTAAACAATACAATTACCTTTCAGTATACCTCACATGGTTGGCTAGCAAATTGATGCCTCGGTGCTTTACTGGGTCTGTCCTATATGTGTAATAATAATTCATGCATTCAAATTTGTTGCAGGACGACGTCGACGCTGCGTTGTTGGCAGAAGTCATCAAATCCGATTCACTGACCAAGTACGAAAAACAGTTGAAATTAAATTTCGAAAAGACCGTATTAAAAGCGGCCCACCTGATATCTTCCGTCATCGAGGATACCTTTACAGAGGGTTACACGTGGTGTTTGGACACCATTAAGTGCTCGAGGTATTCGTATCTGGCCGGTCACCTAGAGATAAACAAAGCCGTGGGGTTCCTATACCAAAACGACATTGGATCGGCCATAGACACACTAAAAGCATTTGACAACAAAGACAGCAAAGTGGCTAGTGCGGCGGCCACGAACTTGTCGTTCATTCACTTTTTGGTGAGTTCTCTTATAAACAAACATATGAATTCAGAATTTTGAAGTTTTAACCGAGCGAAAGTGCATAAGTGTGTACTGTGTAAATATCTTTTGTTGCTTCTAGAAAGGCGATTTAGAGCAAGCTCAGAAGACATCATTGGCGGCTCGCGAAACCGATTCATATAACGCGCTGGCGTGTGTTAACCATGGTAATTGCTATTTTGCCAGAGAAGATTATTACAGGGCTAAAGAGCTGTACACGTTAGCCTTGGAAAACGAACCATTGTGCTCGGAGGCCTTGTATAACTTGGGCTTAGCCAACAAGCAGCTAGGACACCTAGACGACGCTATCGACTGTTTCCAAAAACTTCACGTGATCATTAGCAACCATCCTGAAGTCATATATCAGATAGCATCACTCAACGGAATGATAGGCGATCTGGAGCAGGCCATCGAGTGGTGAGACTTAACATAAATTGGCCCGCGTCGGGTTAGGTTAATTTCTAGACGTTGTATGTATCTTAATGAAACAATTTTTTAAAAAAAACTATCTATTTCTGTCATCATCATTTTGCTGTTATAGTTGTAGAGAGCTGAGAGAAGGACGTTTGGTAGTAAAGGAGATGAGAAATTTCAGATTAGTTACACTTTGAAGAACTGTTATCTAACCAATCTCATTTATTGTTTGCATCTTTTTTTACAAAAGGTATCTGCAACTGCTGAGCATAGTTCCGGATGATGTGGGCGTTTTGCAAAAGCTTGGGGACATCTACGAAAATATGAATGACAAGCAACAGGCATACCATTACTATTACGAGGTTAATAATTTTTTGTATTTCCTAATTGACTTTTAATTTGTATACTGGTGGCAATTGATTGCATTTTTTTTATTAACACTCAGTCTTATCGACATTATCCTTCTAACCTGGAAGTGTTGGATTGGTTGGGAGCGTATTTCGTGGAAATGCGAGTGCCAGAAAAAGCCGTCGATTACTTTGAACAGGCATCTCTTATGCAGCCCTCTGAACCAAAATGGCTCATGTTGATCGGATCTTGTTACCGCCGGGCAGGCAACTATCAATTAGCCTTCCAGACCTACAAAGACGTGCTTAATAAATTTCCTGACAACACCGAATGTGAGTTTCTTACAATCTCTCAGGTAACACCACCAGTCCCTCCTCCAAAGTTGTAATAAATTATAAAAATTTGCCCTATTAATATTCTAATAAAGAAATAATAAACTTACTTGACAAACAATTAACACATTTGGTTATTATGCCTGAGACAATAAGTAATCAAAATATATTACTTATTTGCTATAATTATTAATTAATATGTCAGCCACACGAGTAGCTGCTTATGTCGACTCCTCTTTAAAACAAAAGAACAGTAATAATTATGTTTGTGTACTTCTTTTAGAAGTACTATAACATAACATTACTAAGCAATTCAGTTGTATTAGATCAATGCGCAGTGAATATATATACAGGTTTTAAACAGGAATCAAATTTCAAGATATTATCATTTATTTAATATTAATTCCAGTAGAATATTTATTATTTATTTGTATTATTAAATAATACAAATATCAGCAGAAATTTCCATTAGAACTTTTATTTTCGAGATCAAATAACTGTTTCATTGCGGAGATTTTAACCATCTGTTCCAAAAGTATAATTCAACTTTTCGAAAAACTCCAGAGTTCTGCTTTTTTACACTCGGGTCTAGAATGTTGCTGTTACTAAAAAAAAATGCCACCATTTACATGAATGTATCATAATAAATTTAAAATCTTTGATGGCAGGTTTAAAATTGTTGATCAGAATATGTACCGATTTGGGCCTAAAAGAAGTATCCGAGTATAGTGAAATGTTAAGGAAAGCGGAGAAAACAAAAGACATAAGAGATCGTATAAGTACGGCTCGTACGGGATACCGGAAGACGATGGAAAGTAGAGGTGGTACGGGCATGAACACATCAATGACATCAAACACAAATCAAAACATTTTTGTTCCAAAATCGTCGGCCTCTGGAGAAACTAACATATATGTACACAATACTCCTAAAGTCGGAGATACATCTAATCGTCCCCGAACAGCCAGAGGTGGAACAGCAATGATCGGTTCGTCAATGCCATTGACAAGCGCATACGGTCAAAATGTTACAGGTGACATGGATGTATACGTCAATGAAGAAATAAAAACCATTATTGGTAACTTTAAAATCATAATATTTTAATATAAAAGATAGCTGTATGTAATACAAATATATGATATTTTATAGAAACGTACACAGACCCAATAGGACCTTTGCAGAGACCTCGTACATCCACTACAAGACCTATAACTTCTTTAGAAAAAGAATTTGCAGATGAACAAGTGCAAGACCTTCTACCAGAATGACGATATTCGATAACACATTTTTTTTTTAATATGCATTATTTATATGAAATTAACGTCATTTAAGGCACAAGTACAGTAACTAGTGATAAGTGCTTATTCCTAAAAGTTAAATAGAAGAAAATATAAATTATTTACAATATAACAAATAATTGTAACAAAAAACGTTATTGATAATTTACGTTTATCAGATACATTATTGAAAATAAATAGTTGAATATTTGAATACTGACTTTTTATATCAGGTTTGTAACTAATTTGCATATATTAAACCTTGCCTAAAAATTCTGTCTATTGGACTATATTGACCATTATTGCACGTGCGGTGTGATTTAATATAAAAAGTTGGGAATGGGCGGGAACCGTATTAGGGTAGGGACATGGAAAGAAATACGTTCGAGAAATTAATAACATGGTTATACTTAAATTTTGTGCGCGTAACATTTTTTAACCGATATTAATTAAATATATTAGAAATGACCGAGGAGACTAATGACCATTGACCTCCCTGAAGTACCGCGAAGGTTACAGGGAACTGAGAAGAAAAGTGACCCTTCACATTTACTTTTTGCCAAAAGTAAATACAGCAAGTTGCTGGTAGCGATTTGAACCAGTTTAAAAAATGATCAGGTATTTCAATAGAATTGAATTTAAAAATAAGCAGATTGTGGTCTACCGAATCTAATAACTTACGTAAATTAGATTTCCGTCCTCCGATAGGACCGAGACAACATTAAACATTTTCAAGTTTCAACCAATTTACACCCGAGACCTAGATGAGACGATATTACGTTTAACAATACTCGAAATGTTTATATTAAAAGATATTGAAACGATATTCAGCCAAATCTCAGGACTAGGATTTCTCGTTTGAGCTTTTATACCTACGTATAGGTATATCTATTATAATTTTGCAGTAGCTCATAACATCTTTAAGGGCATTGCACGCGGTATGTTTTTTGACGTTTTAGACCAAAAAGCCAGACAAAAATGTCGACTACTTAAGATGGTTCAATTTCAATTCTGCAAGATTTCACGAGTTCTTTTGCAACTTTACTAGGTTATGTAGGAAACTGATTTTTGATTTTTTGAGTAAAAAAATCGTGTTTTAATATTAAAAAAATTGCAAATTTAATTTATTTAATTACAAGAAACTGAAATTTTTAAATACAAATCGGCTTCCTATTTAACATAGTTAAGTAGCCAAAGAACTCTTTTGACATTACAAAATTCAAATTGGACCATCCTATGAAGTCGAAATGTTGTCTAGCCTTGTGGTCTAAAATAAACCAAAATAACCTTTACTCATAGATAAAATGATTTAAAATAAAATTAATACCTTGGAGCTTACATAAATTAACCGGTAAAATAATTTACACGGTTAAAATATATTAAAACCTATTATTTCTTAAATATTACCTAAACAAAATTTCTTGAAAACAGACCACATGCGATTGCATCCCTTAAGAGAATCATTATTTGTAGATTTATTCTGTGAACCAGATGTTTGGGCAGATTTAATTGACAGAGATACCGGCATGATTAGAGAAAGTAAATAATGTATAACAGCCATGGGCGCCCGGAGGAAATTTATCAGGGAGGGGCATAATGAAATCAAACACAAAAAAGTACATAAAAAAAAGTTTATTCTTTGTAAACTACAAAATATGACAAAATTATAATATACTATTTGTTCGTTATTAAATATAAACTTAGTTTTATTTAAACAATATTAAAATAAAAAATTATATTTGTAGTTAAAGGGGAGAGGGTAAATGCCCCGTCATGCCCCCCTCCGGGCGCCCATGATAATAGCCAATAGATTGCTAGCAGCTAGATACATGTTAGTTGAATTATAAGATCAGTTATTATTACAGCCTATAATATTGTAATTCACAGACATATGGGTATAACACTGAAAACAGTTATAGAACTTCACAAACATAATTTAAAATAGAAATATCAACAGCGGTAAAGCTATACTCTTATAGTGAGTAATAGGTTGGGGGCAAGAACTATACTGATTATAGTACAACAAATAATTAACAAGTTTAAAATGATCTATTTAACAACATAACATATACAACACAACAAATAAAGTAGGTAAAAATATAGCTTAAAATAAAGAGTAACCAAATAGCCATGACATCCAACTTTGAGTTTGTTTTTGTGGTAGTTCCACTGGAGTGTCTACCCTAATTTTATCAGACACTGTGGTGTTATTTAATTCAGTTCGCCGACGCGCTAACTCTAATGCTGCCATTCTTTGATCATTTAAAAATGATGGCATTCCTTAAGACAAACAAAATGTTAAAGCAACAATTAAATATTATTAATAATCAAACTTGTTCACCTTTAGATTGGTACCAAGATGTGAGATAATTTGATACTGTCACTCCTGGGTCATCAAAATAAGTAATTGAAAATTCTACCCCAGCCTATAATTAATAGTTGATGTATATGACATTAAATTAATAAATAAAAAAGATTTCTATTTTTATAATAAAAAACAAGCTCACCTTATCAAAATCATATTTTGGCTTAATCACAATATATGACCAATAGTTTTTTACTCGCCATTTTCCTGAAAATTCAGGATATTGTGGGTGTTCAGTACTTTCACAAACAATACACATAGTTTTCTCTTTTTCATCAATCATGTAGCGCCGTTTGAACACATAGTCACGGTTTTGAAACCATTTCTAGATATTAATTTTTTTAATGTTATAATTTTATGTAAATGTTTTAAAATATATAAATACATTTTTTTTTGAAAGCTAATAGACTCTTTATTACAAATTAATTTAGTATAATATTAGGTATTTCTAATAATAATCTTTTGTAAAATTTATCTAAATCTTGTTTTGATTTTTTTTATGGTAATTATAACTCTATCTCCGCGACAAGCATAATATGCCTATAGAAGGTAGATAATTTAAATGTATAATGTTTAACTTGTATATTAGTATTTGGTTTTAAAAATATGTTTTATTTTAACCCAAATAGTTGTTCTCAAAAGTATGATAGTCTAGACCTAATATTCGATTACAGATTGGATATCTCTTTAAGGCCCCCATCACGATTACGGAATTTCAGTTGCGGAAGTCCCCCAGTATGTTATACTAAATGTAGGTGTGCATACTAGGGCAAAAAGGGAAATTTTGTTTTTAATACTAAAAAACCTGACAGCAAAAAAAATTGCAAAATGCAAATTTTTTAAATCACCTAATTTTCTGTGAAATAAGATTTTAAATCAATTAAAATCAATGTTGCAGTAATTTGGGTGCCATCTTTATTAATTCTTGTTCTATATATTTCTTGCTTACTTTCCAAAATTTGATTACTTTTATGTTTATAGTAGTTTGCTTAAACAAACTATCTTTCTTCCACAGTCAGATAAAAATACCACAATGACACATTTTACAATAGCGTAAACGTATATTTTAATTTAACTACCTACATGTTCACACTTTTTTGCACACATTATTTCTGAGTTATAAGTCCACAAAATGTTATCAGGTAAACGAATATGTATTGTAAATATACATACGTAGTAATATATGTATATAATTACCGGCCAGCGAAGTTCCCAGTATATAAGATCGCTACAGGTAAGAGGTTCACTGTCCAAAATTTCAAGATCTACAGACATACTATCCCATTCCTTTCGATATTCTAAGTCAAGTTGAACTTGCATGAAGTCTAAGGGTGTAACATCATCAAAATGTCCATGCACTGTAAAAATACTTGATCAAATTTAGTTGTGTTCCTTAGACATTTATAAATGGTTATACTTATTTTTATTACCTTTGTAAATATACAATTTTTGATCAGGATAATCAACGTTAATTTTTTTCCATGCTTTAAAGTTTTCACTGGATGAAAAAGGTTCCCACCCGTCTTCTGAAAACATAATAAATTGCAATTTAAGCCATGGGCCATAATGTATAACATATGTTTAATTGGATATTAATATTTTTTACTCAATTACCATTCATATTTTTACACCTTGAACAATCACAAGTACAAACCAAACTGTTTGGATCGTTTAGTAATTTATTAGATTGAAGCATTTTCTCAGAAGTTTGATTTAAACTTTGTGTAATTAATTTCGGTTTTTTATCTACAGTATTTGAACTGGAATTCTGAAACTTTTTGAAAATTTCAGATGAACTAGATTTTTCTACCAATTTTTCGATAACTTCAAATTCTTGACACAACCTACAACATAAATAATATTGAACATTAGAATGCATTATATGTGTTTTTTAAAATATAATATACCTCACAAGTTCATCAAAACATATTCTTTCATTGTACCAATCAAACGTAAATGGCATTGCTGCACACATTATAAGATGCCTTCTACCTCTTGCTAAATGCTGTTTAAATCGATTAATGGCTGTAAACATTTTTTTACAGGCAATAATAATTTTCCTACTATGAGCTATGTGTTCAACAAATTTCTGTTTTTTAATAAAATGCAAATCACATTTTCTTAAAAATGAAAATACATAATCATCAGATGATTTGTGCCAGTGACTAGAAAATGTACGGCAAATGTGTTGTACATGACATTTCGATGGAGGTATTACAAAATTAGGTTTCCAAACACTGCTTGTGAACGCCATATTTTTCTATTAGTACCTAAAAACAAAACAAAAAGAAACTAGATAACTTTGAAATACATTTTATACATTTACAATTTGATATGAATTTACCTAATAGCTAACCCTAATTACTAGTTATATAAGGGAAATTTAATTATTATGTAACTAATAATTTAAAATATAATTATACATAAAATACAATAACTATGGACTGTTTAAATTTTAGAATTTTTTAATATTACCAAAAAAAAAGTAATGTAGATTTATTAAACAACAAAACATATTAAATATCTATATGATTAAGGATTTAATTCTACGCTAAACGTTTAAAATATTTATACTAACTGACAGATTTGTAATTATTGTTCATAATTAAAAAATATGTTTGAGTTCTAAAATAATGACTTAATTATTCTTCTTTATATTTTATCATGCAATCATCTGAATTACTTAGTAATTGTTATGGCTACTTCTATAATGTGATGTTTTTAATAGTCTAATAAGATAGTAGAATATATTAACAGTATAATAGCAAATACATTATAACATTTTTGTGTAAGAATAAGTTGATTAAGAACATTTTTTAATGAAATAGGTAATATTTACTAAATTTGTGTTTGACAAATTAAAATTTTTTTATTTAAAAGACTTAAAATGAATAACTTAATTTATACTTAGTTTGATTGATCTATTTCAATATCATGTAGCATAACAGGCAATGAAAGCCTAAAGCTGCGATCATGAGATAGTTTTGATGAATTTGCTATCCTGTATTAGTCTAATAATTTATTTAAATAACAATATAATAATATCCCTTTTAACATCAATTTAAATAAAAATAGGGGTAATATTGTACTTTTATTAGCACAGCACATGAGTCCCTCATAATATTTATAATAGTAAAAATAAATAAGCTACTTATATATTTATGAAACTATAAGACTACATTTTTGATGAGTTTTTTCTTTTATGAATAAAAATTAACATTAAGCAAGTGAAGGATGATAGGTGGGCAAGTGGTAAGGTGCCAGGTGGTACTGTTTTGTTAAAGTGTTAACATTAATCATTATAAGTAAAACTTACTTATTAGATGATTCATAAAATAATCCGTGACATTTGTATTTTAAAAAAGTTGGTAAAATAACACCTAACTTTTTTTTATGTGGTTGTTGAATAAATTTGACGTAAACATTTCGTCTAAAACTAATTTAGTGCATTAAAAACAAAAATGAAACATAATAAATATTAAGTTGGGATAATTTAACTATACTTTATTATAACATAATGACAGATAGACTTTCTTGAATAGTCTTGAGGGCCTAGACATAATATATTACTATTTTATGACAGTTCTTAAGTAGGTTTACTGTTTGACTCAAGTAGCTGAATTTCGCTGTACAAGGTTATCTTGAGACTTGATAAAAATGAAAAAATGAGTGATTGTGATTTGCGAACATGTGCCATGCGCGATTAATTGGGTTCTCAAACTTCAAGCGGTTTGATAACGGTTACTGGCATTTTCATATAATCGGTGTATTAGATAATAGATTTATGTTGTGTGATATGCATACGAGGAATGCACACAGATATAGTGTTTGGGGCAGTTCTTCCAAAAAATGATAAGAGTTCTTCCAAAAGGTTACACAATTTTTATTTTATCAGCGTGACCAACCCCGAAACACCAAAATATAACTAACGTTTATCAGAGTTAACTGTTATCTCTAGAACCGAACGGCAATAATTCAAATGATTTTTATATACCATGACAAAATAGTTACTGTATATCTATTCTTAACCCCAACCCACAGGGATTAGATTGTGAAAAGATCTATAAAATGTGTATATTGTTATAATCTCATTCCTTGGTTTTTATACATTGGAGCATTAACTACAAAATGTGTGATATTAAAGACATAACTCTAAAAGAAATGTTTTTTGTCTATTAGGAAAAATCATTGGAATAACTATTAGATTTATAGTTTTAATTAAAAATAAATTGTTTTAACATAATGTCATCTCACTGAACACATGTAAGTGATAGCATGAATATTGATTACTATTTACTACCGCCTGATAACGTTTGGAGAAAAGCAAGATGGCTGATACTGCGTATCACGACAGTTGACATCATACCTATCTATTTTATATTAAAACTATTAAGATTGATTCCAGACTCCAGTATTCCACCAAAGATCAAATAAAAGTTTCGATAGACTTCTTATGTCCACTGAAACTTTCATTTTAAAACCTTTTTGCTAAACAAATTATTAAGAGCCGATAGGGATCATCTGGTAGTTCATAGGACGTTAGAGGAACTACTTCCGAGCATTTAGTACAAAAGGAAGGAAATATGGGATAAGTTCCTGTAGACACCCAGTGTTAGGGAAGAATATTAGAGAAATAGAGAAGCTCAATATTATTTAATTGACATAATATTATATACATTACATGTTTAATGTTTCAATTTGAGAAGTTACATCTCATGAAGTATCTTCAAAAAACAAAAGCTGATAATTAGACTGTATAGTGTCATAAAAAAATTGGCCCAGGAGTTAATGAGTATCATGGGTTAAGACTATCTTCTTCTTCATACATTGTTTATGAACGCTGTGCTCTATAACATTTACTGAGCAAGTGTATGATTTGTACTTCTAGAAAACGGCTAGTCCTTAATTTTTTGTGTGATTTCCACAAACAATATAATATTTGATGAACTGTCTATGAAGTTAGCCGGATGCCCTCGCTTCTTATTTCGAATACATTTTCCTGAATGCTTATTTATTGTATTTATCTTAATTATATGGCTGAAAAATTTCAAAATTTGGCATTCCATTGATTTGTCTATGCTCTTGTATATTACATTACATCACGTCAGGCTTACTTTTATTCAACTAAATGAGTGCAAGTGCTGAAATGAATAAGTTTTGATTAAAAAGTTGGAGGTAGGACTAAATAAAAGAATAATTCATATTTTTAACCAACAGGTACAAGAAGTACTATTATTTTATTAATATTCATCCACAAAAACTATAATACGACCAGTCCTTTAGGCGCTAAAAACTAAACGTCTGATTGTACAATTCTTTTGTTTAAAATTACATAACATTTTACACTATATTTGTAATGATGTATAATTTTGTATTGTTTTGACTCACTCTCTAAAATTTAACATCATCCCCTAAAATTCTGGATGGACTAGTGTGTTACACAAAAATGTTATATGTACATCATTAGTGTTCCATTAGGTATTAGTGTTTTATCTCATATTGTTTATATATATATAAAAAAAACTTATATAAATACAAAAATGACTTGGGATTTAATAGGGTAATTCTATATTAATTCTTATCTACACGAGACAAAAAAAATTAAGTAATAATAAAAAAAAAATGTTAAATAAAATATAATATTATGACACAAATGATTCAAAAATTATCCCAGTGCTATTATATATACATATATTATAAAATTAATAGTATTGCCTGAAAAAGATGATGTGTGGGAATCAGAATATTATAATATGGGTATTAAACAATGCTGAAGAGAATACTAGTGTTTAGATTTGGGACTGAGTGTTGGAGAATCTTTAGGGCTGCTTGGTTTTTCTGTGATGGGAGTAGAACATCGCACTTGAAGTTCTTTCCAGGTACGGTCACCTAGGAAGCATACGATTACAACTGTCATATTGTCGCAACCAAGCCCACCCATTTGGCCGTTTGGTGCTAGGCATCTGGTCATTAGGTCTTCACATATATCTTCAGGTTCCATACCATTACTCACGCGGAATCGAACGAACTCAACAACCTCCTGCATTAAGCAAAATATAGTAAACATACATTTAATGATAATTATAACATTAGTAATTTACAATATGTATATATAATTATGCTGGATGCAGAAAAGAAAAAAAATTAGCATCTTAAATGGAAATCCAACCCGAGTCGGCCTGCTGGCCAATAGCTCTACCACTGAGCTACCTGATTTTGTCCCATAATCTGTGTTGAACATGATTTATAGTCCTATATTATGCTACCAAGATATTTAAGAGTTAAACTATTTTTAAATTCAACCATATTGTTTTAAAAAGAAAAATATAATGTCATGTTAATCATTAAAACTTGTATATTAAATTAAATAATAAAAAATAATTATTACTGCTAGTTATATAATTAATTTATAAAAAGGTAAAATTTTAAAGCTAAAATTGTTTGTTGTCTTAGTTACATAATTATTATATATATATATATATATATCATACCTCGTTAGTCATAACGTCCCATATACCATCACAAGCTAGCACTATAAATTCCAAATCACTTGTGACTGGCTTAACTTCAATGTCAGGCCATGCTAAAATAATAATATTATTATAAATATATTTTCCACATTTTTTTAGATTAGTATAATCTAGTGTTGAAATATTATACCAAGTTGCGTTATACTTTTTATGCCTTTATAATACTTTTATTTAAAAAATATAAGATATCATACCAATAACTATTTGTTCATCTAATTTTTTTTGGTCATTTTTCTTAAAAATATAATCTCCCAAAGCTCTTGATAAAGCCAAGTTGCCATTCACCCTGTTGAACATGACCCAACCTCCAGCAGCTTCAATTCTTTTAGTTTCCACCTCATTATTTGGCTTGTGGTCATAAGATAGTGGTTCAACCACACCTTTAACTGATGCTATGGCTCTTGAATCGCCAACATTGGCCTAGATAATTAATTTAAAATAAGTATTAACTTTTGAGTTTTGACCACACATACACTTGAGTATGAAGTCCTTTTTATATTATTATTTAAACTTACACAATAAAGTGTATTATCTTTTAATAAAACAACCACAGCAGTAGATCCAGCAAGTTCATCTTTTAACAATTCGTCTTCAGCCATAGCTGTGTCCATATCCATGAAACCCTAAAATATATATTTTTTTAAATATAACAAATTTATAATATTTATGTGAGTCAATATTTCTAATACCAATTGTAAAGCTTCACTAATTTTATTTTCTTGATACTCAGGTCGCTTAGTAATAAATTTGTGTAAATGTTTGCCAGCATACTGTGCTATCCTAGCACCTATAAAAAAACATAAAATATAAAGTTTTCTATCTGTATTTTAGTTCTTTAAAAAGTGAGTTAATAAATACTGTATTATATTACAAAATGCATTTTTATAATTTTGAATTAATAAAAACGTAATTTTATCAACATATAAATAGCAAAATCAAACACCATGTCTTTCTAAAAGATATGTCTTAAAAAATGTAACTATCAAATTATTAACAGACCACCAAATTACCAAAGAAAACTCATTGCAACATCTAAATATTTCACTCAAATGCCGTGTTGCGAAAACATTATTGAATCAATAGATTAGTGAGAATTTATTTATTTAAACATCATTTTATGACTTATGATTTATCCTTTCAATTTTAATGAACCCTTAAAAGCATTTTTCTACAACCCAGTATAAATAACATAAGTTGTAATACTATTAATTTCGTTCTACCTGCGAGATTATTTTATACTCATAATCATATCTTTTGTTTTCAAATAATTAGAAATAAAAGTGAACATGTTATAATAACAATAAGTATGTTTTGAACTTTCGCGTGTTTGAAAGTTACACCATTGCTCGCGTTATGGAATTTGTATCATTTTCAATCTTGTTTTGAACATTTCCTGATTTATATTTTGTAACTAGAGAATACTGATCAGTCCCGCCAGTCTGACTTTTAGCATTTAAACTTGGACTTCCAAAGTTTTATTCAAAAAATTAATCCAAATGTTAACCACTAAAAGTCAGTGTGGTATTACCTATTAGATCTCTTTCCAGCATTGGCAAAAAAGTAGGAAATAACATTTACAACATATCTACTTTATCTGTCAATATATTATCATACTGAAATACCCTTAATTATGTTTACATGTAAATGTTTTTTAGACAAATTTCTATTAACAATACTTTGATAAATGTGTATCCAGTCAACTATCAATCAAAGTTAAATAGAGTTTATTTTTTTTTTTCTTGAAAACTTCTCGTACATTTAATAGCTACTTAATATGCTATAAATAATAATTACCACCATGTCCATCATAGACACCAAAAAATGCAGCACTTGGATCATCAGGAAGAGCTAAAATGTGTGTATGTGAATCTTCCATGTTGATTCTCCAGCCTTGCATGGAGCTGGAGCCAACTTTTAAATACTGATTTTGACAGCTTTCCGTGTGTTTCGTGGTGACTGGTTCTGATAATGTTTGACCCATGGTTCTTTGATTAACTGTAAAAATTACATTATTCTTTGTGAATATTACACACGGTCAACCGGAATCCAAAACATTTTGTTTTGAAAAACATGATATGGATCGAGAAAACAAGGAACATCTTTGCGCTCAACCAAATATAATGTAAGCCAAGAGCTATTGGTGTGATACTAAGGTCAAAAATGACCTACTTACTATGTTTTACGATTTAACAATAACAAATAACTGTAACTCGTTTAGTCTTCCATCTCATGGCGCATAACATTTGACTGACTTAATTTCAAAACTCATTTAAAATCAGAATTCGTGTGTACTGTGATACTATAATAGCAAAATTACATGGGTCCATATATTTTTTCTTCTTTATTTTATTTATTTATTTAGATAGGGAAAACGAATGTCCTGAAGTTAGTGACGTATTTTATGGACAATCTGGTTAAGACGAAGAATAAGTTGTTATCGAATACCGCGGTGGAGGTAATTTCCCAACTCGCGTTTTGCATGTACAAAATGTATTATTATGTACAGAATAAATATTACATAAATTTAATATTAATACTAATACCCCTAAAAAAATTATAAAAATATACAATAAATTAAGCCAAATGAGTAACGAAATTTTTGCCGGTAAAATATATATAATTAATAATTTTTATTTTTGTAACTATTTGGTATTTACGGCGTATTGGAATTATGTTGAATGAAAGCTGTTAAAGAATGAGGTTAGAAAACGATGTATCGTAAACAATCACACCACCAAATATACCAAATTGGCCAAGTCTAAACTCGTAATCACAAATACAAATCGCATCGCCAGATCACTTATCTGGAATCTGAATACGGGCTACGGCATTTATTATATTGTTGAGAGTTCTGATTTTGGTTAAAGCATACTTAATATTTATATTTGTTCTACAACTTACAAAAAAGTACACATTATATTATGGCCGGTCCTCCAACGTTCATTGAATTGTCACGCGAAGAACAAGTAAGAATTTTATGCATGTGATACTCAGCATCGTTTTATTATAAGTTAACTGTAGTAGTAGTTGCATAGTTGTTGTTACTAAATTTAGGTAATACATTGGAAATTTAACACCTATGTTTCAAGTTACTGTTATCATAAATTTAAATTTGACGTCCAAGTTAAATGAAAAGTATATCTCTATATTTTTTTAATTATTTTTTATTTACTTTTTAAACTTTTGAATCTTGTTTCTACGGCTTACTTAAAATGTATCAATTTGTGTTACTGTTTTTATCTTTTAGGGACAATGCTCTCATTGTTTTTCTCACAAATGAATTTAATGTTTGTTATAGGCTTTGGAATTAAGATCATATTTGCGTAGTATTGGTGCAACGTTGCAAGAAAAAAGCCCAGAAAGCATTGAAGATGATATGCTAGAAATTATATCTAAGTGTGATGCATGCCTGAAGGCAGATTTATCTGATGTCGATATCGAGAGTTTCTTATGTTCGATTGTTTCTGTTGTAATTGGTATTGGAACTATGGATGCAGAGAGCAAATTAGTAACTTTATTTAGTCAAAAACTATCAAAATCCGAGGAAGACCGCTACAGTGTCATAATTCTTAAAACGTAAGAAACTAACTATAGTTATATAATAAAATGTATGTTCTATAATAATTACGTTTGTCATATTTTATAGTCTCTGGTTGTTATATGGTACCGTGGATCCAAATTTGTCAGCTCGTTTTCAGTTATATACAGATATAATTGAAGTTGCAAAACGTACTAAGCAACTTTTATTAGTCTATGAAGGGGTAGAGAAATTGAATAAATCCCTTCTTTCTATAACACATACAAAAAAGCAAAAACAAACACTTCTTAGACAGTTGCATGGTGCATTGATTGAAAATGGCCATAGGTATATTATTACATTTATTTATTTTTAATTGTCTTTTATATAATTTAGTATAATTTTAGTGAACTGGCAGCAGAAGTTATGGTTGAGCTCCTTCGGAATTATACTGCCGATGATGGAAAACAAGCTAAAGATGATGCTAAAAGATGTATTGTTTCCGCTATTGCTGATCCAAAAACATTTTTATTTGAACCATTACTGAGTTTGACTCCTGTTGTAGCCTTACAAAATACACCGCTTTATGAACTGTTGAATATATTTGTTTCTGGTAGCTTAACAAACTACTTGGATTTCTACAAAGGCCACAAAGATTTAATAAAATCTTTAGGTAATATTTTAGAAAGTTGATTAATTATATATTGTACATACTTTCAATTTAGTAATTGCTATTAAAATTATCTAAAACCGATTGCTTTAAAACCATCTAAAAGTAAAACTAAGTATATGTGGTAACACGTACACTATACTGTTACAAGAATTTATGGAAACGAAAATTCATTAACTTATCAATAACTTTTTACAATAAAATCTCATTTGTCTGATAAATTTGAATTTTTGATTAGTTTAAATTGTTTATATTTTTTTCTTTTAATAATGTATTTGGCTAATTTATGAAACGATAAGATGGTGTTTTATTTTAAATACATTTTTATGGCTTGACAAATGAAGCCTTCATATTAAGAAAATTAAGGCTTTACGTATCATTGAGTTTCAAGCATGTAATGATGGTCAATTTTACCACTGGTAACAGATTGTATTTGTTTTTAGGATTGGATCATCAAGCTAACATTCATAAAATGAAACTTTTAACTGTAATGAGTTTAGCTGAAGATAATAGCATTATATCATTTGAAACTATACAACAGCAAGTGCAAATTACTGTGGATCAAGTTGAACCATTTTTACTTGAACGTAAGTTGAAAGATATAACCTTTTATTTAGTGGAACATATAAATAAAATCTTAAACATTTTAGTTTTTGGAACCAAGCTGGTAAGAGGACGTATGGATCAGGCTGCAAAAAAAGTTAATATTTCAAGCACCATGTACCGTACATTTAGTAAACAAAGTTGGCAAATGTTAAGGGACTCATTCTATAGCTGGAGATCTTGTCTTAGTGTTATTGAAGAAGGAATGAAAACTGTCGTGTCAAATTCTCAAACAGCAATTTAAAAAAATAACGTAGACCGTGTCTAATTATAAACAAATTTTTTATTTTTTCCAGAAATAAAATAAACCTTATTTTATAAAATTATTATAAATATTGGTGTTTCAGTCACAATATCACACAGATAATAAATTGCTTATATGATCTATACACAAATGATATGAATTTTATATATATATATATTTTTTTTTTAATCAGACAGTTATTAGATATAATAAATATATGAAAAGAACTAGTAAAATATCAAGAACAAAAGAGCATGTTAAAAATAATGGGCCAGTTTAAAAAAAAAAATTGTTGCTATATTTTCTGTAATTTTTTAGTTTGTACTCGAATAAATTATTATGATATTGAGATCACAATTTATAACTTAAGTGATGTAAATGCATTAGAAAGTTATAAAGATAAACTGGTCATAGTGCTAGTTTGTTTTGGATATTCTTTGGTAACTTGGCTGTTTTGTGCGTGTTAACAAATGATATGTTGGCCCAATTACATAACAAAAAGTAATAACAAAGAAATAAAACAAAATATACAAATGTCATTGTGTCCTAATAAGTAGGATTTTTTTTTACATTTTTACTATTACTCATACTTTTTTATGGTAAAAGTTCAACATAATTTTCTGGAACCAAACCAGTTTTACCATTCAGAGTTCCTTCAAGCCAACCGGGTTCACACGAAGGTCGCACTGAAAAAATAACCATTAAAACTCAGTATAAATATAGGAATTAAAATTTAAGTTCTAAATTAAGTAGTGTATTGGTAGAAAAAAATACCGTTTGTAATTATTTGGTTTGGCTCAAATGATAATTCACCATCATTTTCTCCGAGACATGCATACAAAGTACGAACTCTTCTACAAACATAAAACGAGCATAATATTGCTGTGTATATAGTAAATGACATGTGAGCATAAATGTGTTTATTAGACTTATTAATAAAGCTATTTATAATTAGTATTGCAAAGAATAGCAAACTGTGGATTAACAAGGAGAAAAAGCTGTGACTTTGGAAGTTATGAATTACTATACTTAACTTGTAATTGTTATAATTAAAGTCATTAGACATTTAAACAAACATGTTAATTATGATAGGTTTTAACACATTTGGTTAGTACAAAATAATATATATATATATATATAAATAAATTTTTATGATATTTACTTTGTTTTTGTCTTTAAATTGATTCCAAAGAATAATATTTGTAAGGGCTGACTATAATACGAAGAAATCAGTCCACTAGTTTGACAGTTATTGTTGGATCAGATACAATAATGAAACAAAAATATACTACTGATACTTGCTTCAAAACTAAAACATTTTCTTATTACATTATTGTTAGTAGATAGATAACTACTGAAAAAGAAAGTTATCATAGTAATAAATCTGAAATGGAAATAGCTTCGGCAGCCCATGTAAAGTACCTCTCTATAAGGGAGGTTTCCTGATGGATTCTCTATTCCGACAGGTCGTTAGTAAAAAGTTATGTAATTAAATGGAAAGTTTTTGTGAGTAACATGACGTCATAAATTTAAAATTTTCAAAAAACATTTTAAACATTTAGTTTTTTTAATAAATAGAATAGTTTTAGAGTTAAAATAAAAATTTTAATTTTCGACATCATGGTTTGCATAAAAACCGTTCTAATGTAGTATATATAGTATGTTCTATGTAGTAATATGTGCATAAGAAATACAATAAATAAACAAAAAAAATCATACGATTATTAACAATTACGCTAGGGACTAAAATTCCTTATGGACTTATAGAAGATAAAACATCAATTGTTAAAGCCACTTGGATTTGCGCGCCTTAAAAAAAAAACTAATTTTACATATTTTGTGGAAAATATTAAAAATTGTAGATTTAATTTTTAGTCACAACTATTCTCACTTTGTTAGTATTTATATTTATGAGAGTTGAAAAACAAAACAGTATATAAAGATTGTTAACCTTAATGTTAAGAATGACGGAGGACTAGTGCGACCAACTAGTGACGTCAAATGAGTGCTAATTATTTTCCAACACCAAAAAAAAAAAAAAATGTATTAGTGGATTAGTGTTAATATAATTTATTATAATAAATAATGTAGTATTAGTTGTTATTATTATTTGTTAATAACGTGTTACATCCCAGCATGCCTTTTTTGACAAGCATGTTAGCATGCTCAAGCAATCCAAAATTAATTATGTACTTACACAGTGTCTTGATGTCTGTAACTCGTTGCATAATGTACTCCCATTTTAATACTCCTTTTAGATTTCTGCGGCGCTCTAGATAATTGTGCTGGTGAGTTTTCCAACGAATATACTGAACACACAGACTCATTAGAACTACTAGAGCTAGTATTAGTTGTGTTTTGAGTGTCGGCAGAAAAATAATAATTTTTATTTGGACTTGTGTGCACTAATGGTTTACTATAGGAGAGAGTGTGAAGATTAGATTCTGACAATGCACTTGAAGTAGAAGATGTGAGGCTTAACTGAAAATAAAAATAATACAATTGTATAATAAGTGACATGACAATTTTAAAAAAAGCAATTAACATATCAAACAGTGTATATTATATTCCCTTTTTGCTATTTGAATCAATGATTAGTTTAGTTGTAATCTAGTATTTTAACTATTTAATTAAATACCACTAATTACTAATGGTAAATTTAGGCATCAGGATAATCGATAACAAAAAAATAGTTAAAATAAAGTATGTATAATGTTTTTAAAAATTACCTATTTCAATAATCATATTTTTTTCATAATACTTGGTAATTTTGATTAATTTATTGAAGAGGGCAGTTTTGAGTTAGAATTAATGAGTATAAAATAAATAGTAAAAACATGTAACTTACTCTATTAGCATTTGGTATAGGTACGTTATGTGATGGAACAGTGGGCGTTGTGGAACTCACATTGTGCAAACTTGTACTGAGCATTGGTCCATCATAGTAGGATTTTATAATGGCCTAAAATAAAATTTATTTTAATTTATAAGGTATTCAATTCTTTGTGAAGATTTGATTTCTAAAATTATATTTTACTTGAGTGACTGCTGGAGCTACAGGTGAATATTTCACTTTTTGAGATAAGGAAGGTTGTTGAGGCCCTGGTACAGGTTCATATTCCATCTCCAAATCAGGTTCATTTTTAAATATCTAAAAATATAAATGTTTGTATGAATAAAGTAATATGATTGGTTAATAAAAAAAATAATACTTTTGTAAAGTTTTCAATAAGTATTTCCACTACTACATTGCAAAATTTAATATCCATTATAGCTGCAACAGTTTCTCGCTCAGGCCTCATGAGTGTCGGACCAAAACATACGGCTATATTACTCACAGTCATTAAATTTTGATCACTATGAGTTACAACACTGAATAAAATATAAAAATAATATTATTAGTTACATTATTAAAAAAATCAGCATGTGGGAACATATTGGGGCCAGAAAGGTTCTTCAGAAATTGTTGTAACCGAAAGTGATAAATTCACTTCAAAATAAACTATTTGATACAAAACTACTGATGGTAAAAACTAATTATTAAATATAAATAATTTTAGTGTTCATAAATATGTTTATAATCATTTGATTTTTGAGTATTTCTGAATAATAAAAGTATGATTACAGGTTTTTTGATTTCTTAAAAGAAAATGGTTACATTCTTATGTATTTCATTACAATTTTTTTTAAGTCTACTGAATATTTGAACTGGTCGATTACAAAATATTGTAAAAAACTAATAGAAATTAAAGAGAAAAAAATGTACCTTATGACAAAAATTGATCAAATTAATTTATCAAAAAAAATTGCTGACAGGCACAGCTACTAAATTATATACAAACTACTGTTTGAATTTTTTTTTTAAGTCATAGGCCTACTCTAGTCCATCTACAGTCGTAAATTTTATATCTTAAGTCCTATGACTAAGTTTAAATAAACAAAAGATAGAATATTTCCCCTAGTTTCTACCCTTTTGGGGAAAAAGCTAATGATGAATTTTTGATTTTTCACTGTATAAGAGCAGTATCTTAAAAATGTCCTACTTAAGTTTGGAACTAATTTGATTATTTTTTAAAAGTAATAGCGTGTCATATTATTAAGTTAGAAAATATGTAAATTTGTAGGGTCTTTTTCTCAATTTTGAAGGGGAAGGAGTTAACGTTTTCAATTTTTGGACTTTTAACATTAAGGATACACGCACTAAATTTATGTACAGGTTTGTTACATGAAGAAACAGGTCCAGTGGTTAAAAAGATATTATTGGTCCAGAAACACAAAAAAAAATACATAATTAAAAAACCATTGTAATTGCACCGAAAGTCAAAACTAAAAGATTAATTTGTAAAAGAGAACTTACTTGCATAAATGTTTAATCAAAACTTCTAACATGTTGAAATTTGGTTTTGGTATCTTATGCAGAAGTATATGTACATCATTGATACGTTTTAACCTTACTTCTTGTTCTAAAAACAATAAACATTTAAAAAATTAACACACAACAATGACAAAATAAATAAACCAATAGAATGACAACTTACTTGCTGCAGATATAAACGTGTTATGATATTTAAATGTCATTAGTGGTTCAGGCAAATTCCTTAAAAATAGTTTTAATGCGCTAGTTATTGTCTTAGTTTCCCATTCAATTGGGTCATCAAGAAAACTAAGAGAATTCAGTCCGTTAGTGGTTTTTCGGCGATCCAGTCCCATAGTCAAAAGTTTTTGAATTTTAGAACTAACTCCACCAACTCTGTACAGACCTTGTTCATCCAATCCTAAAACAAACCGTTATAGTTGATTTAGTTTTAACGATAATTATCATTAATAATATTTTATATTTTACCACGAGATTCAACTGCTTGAATACATTTATTAACAAAATTAAAACCAGCATCATCCAAAAAAATATTATTATCACTATTTAATGTAGTAACAGATGGTAAACCATACTCCTGTAAAAAGTTTAAAATGGATTACAGACAACACGGAATAATTATTATTTGGCTATCTTTATATATATATATTTTTTTTTTTACTGGTTCTTTGCCATCCATGACGTCCATCCATAATTTACGATCTTCTTCTGATAACGCTTGAAATGTGTATATTACACCAGGCCTAATATAAATAATAATGCAATTATAACATTACAAATTTTCTTATCTTGATTAATTAATAACAATTTATACTTGTCATCACTGGTGAGATCAAAACAAAACCTCTTATCAATCGAATCTGACATTCTTCGAATACAGGAAGAAATAATCATTTTTTCTGAGGTATGCTACAATATAAAAAGTTTACTAATAATTAAAAATAACCATAATTACCCTCAATAAACACTTACAAACTTCCCATTTAGTTGGTTGAATGTAATCATTTCAAATTCTTTTGTTTCTCTTAGATAAATACAATAATGTTTAGTCCAAGTAGTTGTACTTAGAGCATCTAAAAAGAAGCGTGACCACCTTTAGTCAATAATTAAAAATATAAAAAGTTTATATATTATATATATTGTAATTTTTACCTCCTAATGATTTATTCTGTAACCATTTTGTTGCTTGTCCCGTGTTTTTAAATCCAGGTAACTCTGTAAATATATAAAATAGTATATTAAGTTGAATAAATATTTTAAATGTCTAATGACAATGTTACACAATATACATATGATCATTAAATTAATTCTTAAGCACGTTACTTACTTTTTTCCAGGAGAAATAAATATCCTTCTCGAGTTACTTTCTGATTATTAATATTAGCTTCTAAAAATTTCTATAAACATTTTTTTTATTTTAGTATTAAGGTTTATTTTTTAATTACAATTTAGGTTAACTTACAGACTGTCTCATTTCAAGCATTTTTCTCATAAGAGATTCAGTTTTGTCACGAGTTTCATTAAAATTGTCTCGAGTCTGTTAGTAACAGCAACACACATGCACGTTACACACACACACACACACAAACAAAAATAAATAAAGTTATAAATTACCTATGTTATCATACTAGAAAAAAATATTATTGTTTCTTAACTTTTAGGTAATAATTTATAAATATTTTACTTTTTGTATCCTGAATTGCAGTTCACGCATGTATGGTTTAAAATCTTCATTAACTTCATGACCTTGATGGTAAAATGTCAACCAGCTGAACATAAAACCCAACATCTAACAAAAAAACAAAATATTATAAATACTATCCAAATATATTATGTTATCTTATCACTAGTTAAAATTAATTATAAATATAGCTTACGGTTTCAACAAATTCAAATTTTTTTCGCTCTTGTACTTCTTGGAGCAAAAAAACATATTCTAGACTGGCTTGACAAAAATGCCTCTGTTCCATTTCTAATGTTGCATCAGCCTAACAATCAACATAAAAGTAAACAATTATTTAATTTAAATTCAATTATAATAATTAAACCAGTATTAGTTGCGAAGATAACACAAACCTCTTGCAATACAGAGTCTTGTTTTTTTGTAGAGAGATTCAAATGCCGTTCTTGGCTTTGACAAAACTTAGCAGTTTGTTTTTCAAATTTTTTCTTTCCTTCCTAAAGTATAACAGAAGTAAAACTCAACAATTGAAGCAATTTAAAATTTAATTTTTTAATTTAACATAACACCATTACTACACACAACACCTTACTTATTAATAATATGTATTTTTACCTTTACTCCGCCAATATGTTCTTTCCTGAAGTTTTCGAGGGGAATTATAAATTGGTCATAAGCTCTGGCCAACTAAAGTAAAAAAAAACTGTTAATTATATTTATAACTATAATCATTATATTTTTTAAACAAAATAGGATGTTATTAACCATGTTTTCATTCATTTCTAGCAGAAAAACTCGATTTTTTAATTTGTTTGTAATGGTTCCGTGATGGATTCAGAGCATTACACCTACTATAAAACCAAAAGATGGTCCTATTTTGGAGGTAATGTCATCTGTTTTTTAAATATTTTTTATATAAAAATTATAACTGCACTATAAAGGTAAAAAAAAAAAGTTCTTTTTGAACATTAGATATTAAGTCAAATAAATAATAATGTATTATATTAAAAACCGATATGAAGTACCCTACAAAATGTCATAATCTTTCGGTTTCATAATAGGAATTTTCGCTCTAAAAATATCATGGACGGAGTAAAACCCAATTTTTTACATAGCTATCTTTTTTTCTAAGTTTCGGAAACTTTGGTCATTAACTGTTGGTTTTAGGTTAGGCTGGCAAGGTTTGTGTAGATGTGGAACACGTAGGGTGTTGACATGCAATAGGCCAACGCTAAAAATCCCGGGTGATCACCACCCAGGATTAAGCAGCGAAAAACACAGATTAACCTCTGGTTGCCGCTTAATAGCTGAAGTGTCGACTTTGCCCCACCAACGTTTTAAATAAGTAAATTTCTGTTAATTTTTTACAAAGTATTATACATTTTGTAATCGACCAGTCAAAATGTTCAGCAAATTAAAAAATGTAATGAAATACATAGGAACGTTACTATTTTCTTTTAACAATTTAAAAAATCCATCATACTTTTATTATTGAAAAATAACCAAAACAATTAAATAGTTATAACTTAACCTAACTTATAAGCTTCAAAGTAGTAGGTAATATTTTGAATATAAAATTATTTTTTATATATTGTGGTGAAAAATGACCTTATGGGACTAGGGATTATTATTTTCTTCACAAAAAATTAATTTCCCACACAGGGGTTAGACCAAAAAACGATTACTACTGCACATAGACATTTCTTTTTAAACGGAGGTCATTGCGCCCTGTTGGAAGTGTTGAATTTTTAAAAAATAGTTTAGATTAAATTATGCTATACCAGGAAAATGTTATCAAAAAATATTATACATAAGGTTGATTTGCAACGCGGTCATGGAAGTCATATAATCGACAAGTGGAAGAGGGGGGCAGACGAAAAAAAATCCCAAAAAATAACTCGCGTGTAGAAATTCATAATAGATATTTCCTGCTAACCGCTGTAAGAAAAACGGTGACGGTTTTCGTAGGAAAAGGCAGAATAAGCGCAACAATAATATTATCTTGTATCCTATAACGTGCGTTCAACTCGATTGGGCCCCTCCGATTTGTCATGCTCCTCGTCGTCGTCACACTTTCACTAGCATACAAGGTTAGTATCTAGGCCTACTGTAACCAATGATGACGGAAAATATTATGTTTCACACGTCGTCTCGTATACTGACCATTCTGTCTCGTTCGTCTTCGATGGATGAGATGAGCCGACCGAATTCGGCCAGTGACCGTGTGATTACCAACTCATCGTCCGTTTGCGTTGTGCCGATGCATTCGAAATCGAATTGTTGCAACGAGCTGGAAACTAGACGTTGAGCTCGAGACAAATCTGTTAAGACCACAAATAAAATAAAACATACATAATCAAAACGGTTTAAAGACAACACGTCATCAATGTCGCGTTTAAAACATAATAATATAATATCTATCACCCAGCAAACACTCGTGAAGAGACTAATACACGGACGGTTGAATTTCGTCATTACTTTAGTTAACTTTACACTAAACTTTTATCATTATGGTTTGTTTTAAAAGTATAATAAAGTAAAAAATAATGAGTACAAAACAAAAATCACATCCTAATTCTTTATTAACATTAAACGTCATATAGTTTGTACTCGGTAAAGTTTGATGTTTTGTGTTAAAGTATTAAACACTAATTTTATTTATTAATGCAAAACTAAAAGATTAACACACTTAATAAGGATTATATTTGAAATACTTCCTTAATTTAGTTATAACTAATATTTAACTTAATTCGCGTGTGAAACCCTGTGGGTCATTTTAAGAAGAAAAACGCTAGCCCCTCCAAAAAAATTAATCAAATCTCAGCCTATCAGATGTCTTATGTCTATCAGTGATAGACATATTACCATAGATGGCTGAGGATCGCTTTACACCATTTGATAAGCACTGTATACTACCGAAATTATGACATTTAGCAGAGCCGTTGTTGGATATTTTGCGCCCCAGAACAACAATTTTAAAAATTCCCCTCCTATGGAAATCCATAGCATACAAAGTGACAGATTTATCTCTTAATACTAAATAAATCCAAAAATATTTTACAAGGATACCTGCTATTTGCTAAAGAAAGGCGAAGGTACTTCAAACATTATACATGCTCGTTTAAGGTGTAATTCTGCGCGTTACATTATTCAGAAATCATGTACAATAATAAAAGTTGTACAACTGAGAGGCAAGAGCATAAACTCTCTTTTTTAATTAAAATATATTTAATAAGACGCATCACATCGCTTATATACTAGAATAGTGACACAACTCTAAAAAACATTTATTTTTATTTATTAGTTTGCATAAAAAATTTATGGGTTTCGAGTGGGTTACGATTCTTGTGCATAGGCGGCATGTAGTATTTCAGAACAAAAACAAGGATTAGCATTCTGTAGGCTCTCCTGTTCTCTCAAAGTTTTTTAAAATTGTGTAATTTTATAAATTCATAATTACAAAGTTATTTCAAATGTGCGATATAAATTATGATATAAAAGATTTATAAAAAATCGAATTCTATACAGCACACACTGAACTCTTAAGATACAGAGTGTTTCAAAAGTCTTCATCCGATTACGAACTGATATAGTTCAGCAATCGTTAATCGCAGGTTAGCGACCCATCTACTAATGGAAAGAAAATATAGGGATAGTCAAGTTTATTTTTAGTTTATTTTATGTCGCTGATAAATTCTGCAATGATTAGTGAACTGCCGTCAGTTGGTTTCGAAATGGCGACTCCGCCACAAAAAGTGTTTTCTCCCTCAACGGTGGATTGGGCGTAAAGGAGACAATGATTTGGGGATTCATCCCTGGCCACCACGTTCCCCAGACCTTACAAAGTCTGATTTCTTTTTATGGGGCTATGTAAAAGATAAAGTTTATGTACCACCATTATCTACAAACTTGGAAGAGCTCAAAACCAGGATTACAGAGGCTGTGAATGCCGTGACACAAGATATGATCAGCAACGTTTGGGAAGAATTTGAATACCGTAAAGATATATGTCGGGCGACCTGTGGGAGTCATATTGAACATTTGTAACCAAACTATTTAAAACATGATTATTTTAACCCTTTCGTCACCGACATCCTCGTACGAGGATTTAACTTTAAAAATCGAATAAAATATTAACAACGTACTATCATTATCAAAAAAGTCGTTAAGCACAAGTTCTAGTATAGATTGATGATAAAAAATCGACACAGCTATATTGATAATCAATATCAGTCCAATACGTAAAAAAGTTGTGGATTTTTTTTTCGAAAAAAAAAATCAGAGGAACGAAAGGGTTAAGAATATTTTTTACTTCATTCCACCCTTATATCTTCAATTTTTAAATAAATATAAATGTTTGAAATCGGATGAAGACTTGAAACACGCTGTATGTATAAATATAATATAGTATAGTGGACTGCGATTAGTACTTATTTAAACATTCCAATTATGAATAATGTTGATGTACGAGTAAAATAAATGTAATGGACACGCATTGTTAATTCAGAATTCACGTCATACACTTGAAACGATGTTCTAATAAAATATTTATTTGTACTGTACATGGTAATTACAATACAAATATTTGAAATAAAAATTAGTCATCGAAATTTTTGCAGTAAAAAAAAATGTACGTATTGCTTTAATTTTTAAACATTATTTTTATAAGAAACACGAATGAATGCAAAACAATAAATGAGAAGTAAGAAGAAACGTTCACGTTTGACACCTATAAATCATAAGTAGATCTAGTTTTGTCGTGTTTAGGTTTTCAAACTACTCATAGTAATGTTAACAGAATATTGGCTTTAAGCCATTTAAATTTTACTGAATTAAGCCAAAACTAACGAATACCTCAGTCGCATGTTTAAAAAACAACATAATGGCCAAATGTATTTACTTATAAAAGCTAATTCGATTTGGTTTAGTATTTACTATTTACTTTATTTGTGTTTAATATTTCATTTAAGACTAGTTTTGAATTTAGATAAGCACGACTACTTATAATAAAAACTGAAAATGTATTAAAGGTGCCTTCGAAATACCTACAAATTTAAAGTTGGGTGTTTGATGTTTTAATGATAAAAGGTAATTTAATAAAATAGTAATATTTATCATGAATATAAAATAATAGGACGGGTAACCACTGGGTTAGGGGGTTAGTGTGTCTCAGTCATATTTTCCGGGCAAGATATCTTCTGGTGAAAAGAAGCCGTGCTATCCCTCACTGGCGACAGACCAGATAGTGAATTCATAAAAGAAAAACACCATCTTGTGTTAGCAGCGTTGGGCCTTCAAGACCTGTTAATACATTGTGATGATTCACAAATATAAAATAATCAGGAATATTTATTATGTTTAAAAAATGTGACGATAATGCATTTTTTTATTGCTAAAATATTATAACTATTTATTAAGTATTAGATATTTTTAAAACTAACAATAATTAAGCATTTAGCAAAATTAGTTAATTTGAAATATTATCTGCTTTTATTTACATGTAAAATTGATTGTAAAACTATATCAACAATTATTAGAAGTTAGAACTAAACATTATGTTTAAGACTATACAAAAATACAAATTTAATTATTGATACAAAAATAGAAAGATTTTGTTCCAATATCTTGATCTTGTTCACAATTCTATTGTTGGTGTTGCTCCATTATTATATTTTCATAAACTGCATACTTGTAAGGATGAAATATAATTAATGCCAAATATAAAATCCAAGTTTGTTTAAACTTTAAATTTGATTAAAGAATTTTTATAGATTGTAGCCTGTAGGCGTAAGAATTTATTATAATATATTTGGACTATTGGACAATTTTGAAAATTTCAACTTTACGCTTCAAAGTATATATTACCATATTTATAAAAATTAAACAATTTTTACTGTTTAAAGATTACTATTTTTCAATTTAAGTTAATATTAAAAAGGATTTTACACCAATAATCTATTACGAAGTTGCAGAATTATAAATAAGAGGATGTCTTTTTGGAGGAAAAAAGTCATCTGTTATCGAAATATTTTTTAGGAAAAAAGTAAAAAAATGTATCTTTTTAATCTATAAAATTAATGATTAAGTACCAAACACATTGAAATAACAGTTATGATTTTTTCTCAAAAATTGCAGTATCATTAGATTTTATATAATATATTATGTTTAATTAGTAAAAAAAGTTGTCAAGGACTCTAAGATAATCTGATGAAAAAAATAACTACTAAAAAGCAACGATAAAAAACATCAGTTTTAGCTTTAAATTAATATTAAGAAGTGAAAATCTATGAAAATTTGCCTAATGATATCCCTCTATTTCTACCTTGTTCTCTAAATTTACATTCCGTGTTTAAATATGACCATCAAATGACCAACCAAAGTAATTAAAATAAATTTGTACTTAAGCAGTATAAACGAGCGTCTCTTGTGTCAGTATACCAAAAAAAATAGGCACCGATATCTTTCAAAGAAACACGAGGTCAAACTACAATAGCCTGTTTCTTTTTTGTCAAGTACCTACTGCGCGTGGTGATATTATCGATGTGCGTCTAACATATTGTTATTATAACGTCTATATATTGACAATAATAATGTGTCCATTACCTATGAAGTACACGAAAAATATTGCATCTTTTCCATTATATCAAATTTGTTCGTTTAAACTTAAAATACATAAGCAATTGTAAAATTGTTATATCGTTTTTCAATAATAATAAATTATCTTTGCAAATAAATAAAAATGCCTAATAATAATAAACATCGAGTATTTTAAAATGAGCTTGATATACTGTATTATTGGAAGTTAGAACATTGAACAAGTGGAGAGTCTAATAAAAATTACTTGATCATGTTTTTAATTTAACATCATTTAACATTTTAGGTGGTATCTGGAAATTACGCAAATTGTATGCAATATTTAACTAATACGATTGTTTTAATTTAACAAAATATAAATAAAATATCATTATTTTAAAAACAAGAACCTAGAGCAAGTCTGTTCGATTGCTAGACTACATAGTACCGCAATCACAGATCACTACACGCTAACTAATACAGTAAACGTAAAATAATTAACATATGAATTGGGCAATGATTGACAGCAAGACAATTTGCAGAATGACGATATACATATACCTATACCTATTTTAAATGAACACAGAATACTAAATGTCGAAGTTTTTACAGCTATTTCTTAGTTTCATGCCAACAATGTATCTGTGTTGGGCATACAACATGGATACTGGGTAGGTCCTGAATAATATTAACGAGAAAATAAGTCATAGCGCCAAAAATACTAAAACAATATTTTTAATTTGCAGAAAAATATCAAACTAGTGACAAAAATCATATAGAAACGTATAGTTTTTATTAATCAAATAAAGTATAGGTACTAAGAATAAATAATACAGAACATTGCTATGTTTCTATTCTAATGAATTTCTTTAAAAGTCTTATTTAATACTGGTGTTTTATAAGTGCATGAATTTTCAAGTCACAAGTCATAATCTAAGTTTATAGCTAAATGACTAACGGTCGAATAATAAAATATTTTTAGGTACAAATCAAATATAATATTAAAATTTTGTTATGACAATACTTACTAATAATTTAATTAACGTCAAATCCTCTACACCTCATTGTTGTTAATTATTACTAATTATGGTATTTTCTAAGAGGAAGGACAAACCAGAATTTATAGTATTTTTTTCAAAGTAGTTTAAAAAATTGTTTCTATTGAATTTTTAAGTAGTGTACACAACATCTTCTCGTCTCGGAAGTTATAGAAATCTTGCTAATATAAATTATTACACTCTATTATAATCTTATAATATATATAAAATTTAAAAAACTATGGAATTTTATAAAAACCGGTTTTGACTTGTATTGTTTTAACATTTTAACTAATACAATTGTGCCTTGCATCTATACTTTAAATGTTTATTAAAATATAGATTAATTGATATAAACTATTATTTTCAATACTTAGTTATTCTAGCAATCTATGCATTGTGATAAGTAATTAGTGATAAGTTTAGGTCATAAGACAACAACAATTTATTTTTTAGTTATTTCAGTCATTTTTTTTTTATACATCTTATTTCTCACTACAAATTCTACACAATTTTTCCAGCACATAAAAATACCAGAAATCGGAACATTTACATTTATTCTGAAAACTTCATACCCGTGGGGGATTCAAATAAGGCTGGGTTTTACGAGGCATGAATCACAAACGTGAGCCATGCCAGCTAGTTTGCGTTCATACTACTCACAAATAGACCAAACTGTGAATATTTCACATCCTTTGTGTTTGTCATTCTCACAAAAGTTATTTCTATAAACAGTTTAATCGAAACATTGACTTCACGAACGATTGCTCACGACTGATCAAACTTATTGGATCTGTTCACGCTTGGGTCTTGTGCGGTTACTCACAAAAGCAAATTTAACAACTGCGTTCACACAGAATCTCATCACACAAAAAGCGTGGCTCACGTTCGTGATTCATGCACTGTGGGAACCCGCCATAAAACTGGCTACACAAAGTTGAGACTTCTAGAAAGGAAGGTGTTTATTATAGCTTTTGATAATGATTGTAGGTCAAAAAATTAAGTTTTTAATAGTTAAGCGAAGTCAAACTATCATTAAAGCAACACAGTACCTTACTTTAATTTGGACACATTATTATCCTGGAACTCCAAATTATTAACTCATATTGAAATATACTAAGTTATTATTAGAAATTGTTCTGTTATTTTAAATTTGATGTTGTGCTTTAAAAATCATGTCATTAATTTAATTAAATTTTTTGTCTAAATATTTGATTAAAACCTGGTTTTATGAACTAATGAGATTTACATGAGATTTATACCTTACAGAATGTTTTAAAAATTTGTAACACTTTTTATAACTAAAAGTTTTTTTAATGTACAAAAATAAACTTAGAGCTACAAACATCTGATTCTTTCAGACTATATTTTCCCTTACATTGCAAACTTAATAATTACCATTATAAAAACCAATTAAATATTAAAATGTACATTTTATTTTCTAATCAAAGTAGTTTTTAATTACTCATAATGTTCATAAGAATTTTACCTATCATTCAAGTTACGTTCGGAGAGTTATAGTTGCTAAGATTCATGGTAAATAGAATTTTAATTTATAATTTGGTTATAAAATGCATTTAAAAAAAAATTAAAAGTTATAGTATTATAATATATTTAATATAAATTGTAGTCAGTATAAATAAATATTACCTAAACATTTTAATATTATTTGCAGAAATAAGATGTACCTATTACCAACATAATTAATTAGTTTATCTGTCAATGTCAAAACAGTAATTACTAAAAAAATTTCAATCAATACATATACTCATAAGTAAAAGCTATCGAAGATACATAAATTTGATGGTCGACTTACTTTTAGCCGCATTCAGCAATTCTTTAAGCTCCTTAATTAAACGTTTAATTTGGCGATTGGTTTTTTCCAATTCTTCTTCATGGTCATGTAACTTTTGACGAAAATAAGGACTGTCAGTTATACAATCAGAAAATTCCAGAGGCTGCAATCCAATCACCATTTTAACTGATCAATAGTATTCTGTAAAAAACATTAAACAAATAAATAAATAATATAGTTAATAAGTAATTATTTCAGTATGTAAAATTAAAGATCCATACCATATGAAAATAAATAAATTAATAAATAATAAACAAAATAAAAATGTAAAAAAATATGTTATGTGGCTAAGTTTTATTCGAAAAAACAAAGTATCGTATCCTTTTCCTTTTTTAAAGAAAACAGCAAGCAACTTCCTAGCCTTATCGTGTCCAAACAAGAATTAAAAACAAGGAGCTGATAACCTATTAACCTAAAAACTTGTACAACGAAAAATGTTCAGAGTGGTATCATTGGTTAGGTTGTTTAGTTGTATATTGATAATTTGTATGATAAGAATTATAATAATGTATGAGTGGCGACCACATAATATTTTATATTATCACAATAATCTATGGCATATTTTGAGATAAGCTTTGCAGTTTACAATAAGCAATAACAATTTAATTTTTCTTTAGAGTTTTGGAAATGTCCACTTATTTTTGCAAATTGCTAATTAATAATAAACATAATTGAAAAATAAAAATAACACATTGTTTTATACAAAAATAAAATACGATACATTATAAAGATATCTCATGAGTACCTATTATTACAAGAAATAAACATTTTAAGTATGTTAGAATCGCCAGGTAAGAAATTTTGCCAATAATTTAATAAAGGAAATTTAATTAATCATCTTAAATTATTTCTGAAGACTTAACTACTTAATAACAAGATAAAGTTTAATATTAAATCAACCTATCAAAGTTAATGATTTATGTCACAAGTTTTTAAGTTAAAATAGAAAAATAATTGGGAGGGTATTTTGAAAGTCATTGACTCTTAAGTCTAACACTAATTTTAATCTTTAAATACATTTTTGATGGAAGTGAAAACTATGCATAGTTGTTGAGCATATTAATACAAAATAATAAGAAACTTCTCACAAAAATGTATTTATTTAACAACTTTAATAATTTAATAACAAACATCTTCATAATTATTGAGTAAATATCAATATTGGTAGGCTCTTAAATTATTTAATTTATAGTGCAAAAATATCATACTACTAATAGTGGTAACTCAATAAACTTGATATTCATTCAAAGTAATTATAGTACGCCCATTGGTGGAGATCAGGGGGGGGGCTTGAGATTCTAAAAACCTTAAAACTTAAAATAAATGCTATATTTATTTTTATTTCAACAAATCTCTTACTAAAAAAAAGGGTAGGTATTTTAAAAAGCATTGGTTTTATGTTTTAAGGTTTTTTAGTATACCAAGCCCCCCCCCCTGATCTCCGCCAGTATAATGTAGAGCATCTTGGTTTTTAGATATGGATTATCAAATGAATGACAACAAAAAAATGCCTCCTTTGTCAAATCCTACAGAAGTACCATTACCTAAGTATCCAATTTACACTGTTGAATACTTTCAAAAATATTTTGATGTCACGTCGGATGATGTAATTGAACGTATAAAAGGAGCTTTGATTCCAAAATTCGGAGTTAACTATTTACAACAACATATCAGAGCAAAACCTGATGTATATGGTCCATTCTGGATATGTTTAACCCTAGTATTTTCTATAGCCATTAGTGGAAATGTTGCCAATTATATTCAAGTGGCAGCTGATAATAAGTACCATTGGAAGTATAACTTTCATGCTGTGTCATCAGCAGCTACCGCAATATTTGTGTATGCTTGGTTACTACCTCTAGTATTATGGGCATTTGTCAAGTATAAGGAACCACAAGTAAATTGTTATGCTAATAAATAAATACATATTATTACATTTATAAAAATATTAAATATAATTCATAACATTTAATAATATCTAGTATATAATTATGACTACCAAAACAATAATTTTTTACATGACAAAAAATGTCTGGTATATCTTATAAAATAAATACCATTTAAGTATGGCAAATGTCACGTGTAGGATTTATTGGTATATTTTATAATTTCTTTATAAATTATTTTTATTTTTAAATTTGCTTCTATTGTAGTGTAAATAGAACAGTTTGCTTTGAAAAAGTAGTAATAAATAAACACCTAAAACTTTAGGCATTTTATATTATGAATACAAATGAAAGAGTCAAACAATAAACGTATGAAAAAGCCTCACATCTGTTATTTTTGAGTATAAAACCCAAAAGTGTCCTGTTTTGTTTATAGTTATATGATAGCTTTACACTTTTGGAAACAAAATATAACATTGTTGACTTTTGTTAATACAGGGTGGGGCAAAAGATATGCATCGGTTTTGAAGGGCTGCAGAAAAAAAAAACTATTCAACTTAGAGAAATGAGATTTATATTGTTCGATTCAGTAGACAATCTAGTTTTTTACACAAAGTTTTAATGATTACATCACTAAAATGGCAACCATCAGCAACGATGCACTCTTGAAGGCGATTTCTGAAGTTTTCAACCGCTTGTCGGCACATTCGAATGGGTAAGCCATTATTTCCTCCCTAATTATCCCTGATCAAATGGTCCCCGATCGCCTGGTCTCTCTGAGGGGATACGTGGGGTGGTTTGCGCGCTTATGGTCACTGTTTTAGTGATGTAATCTTTAAAACTTGATGTAAAAAACTAGATTGTCTACTGAATCGAACAATATAAACCTCATTTTTCTAAGTTGAATAGTTTTTTTTCTACAGCCCTTCAAAACCGATGAATATCTTTTGCCCCACCCTGTACTTCAGTTTTATTAAATTTAAAATTTGTTGATTTTTAAAAATTATTGCAATATTTGTTCACAATGCAAGTTGTATATATTGTTTTTGTTATGCTACCTGGAAAATATAAATGCCGAATTTTAAATTCAATACAGATATAGTAGTTTTTTAAAATAATCTTAAAACGTAAATTAGTGCACATGGCAAATTTATTTAAGAGGAATATTTTTCTTAAATTTTAGATAGAGAAAATGTTATAGCTAATTTTTTTAATTTTAACAATGATTTAATGAAAACAAAATGTATGAAGAATTTAGTGCTAGTAATTAAAAAAAATAAGTATAAATGGTTATATTAATGTTCATTCATAATTTCGAAAATTTAAATTTTCATATAATGTTTTTAATTATTTCTTTAATAGTAGTTTTTATAACTTACTCAGTTGATTTTTAGTTTAACTTTGGTATTCAACCAGTTATTGTTATGTGTGATTAATTAAATATAGTGCTAAAAATTATGTTTACCAAAAATTCATTTTATTTTTGTTACATAAAATTGGTTAATAAATTAGTCAACACAAAATTATTACATTTTATTAATTGCATGTGTCTAAATTTTTTTCAGTTTAACCTCAGTTATTTGGAATTGCTGTGCCTTTATGGTTATTCACTCTCAATATTTATTCCAATATCAATTTTATGGGTTATTCAGATCAATTGGCTTCAATGGTTATTAGTAGCAACTGGTACTTTATTGTCAGGTTATGTTATTGTATCATCTATTATACCTTCGTTAGGCCAAAAGCCGTTTGCTTTTATATTTTTAATTATAATTTTACACTTATTTATGGGAACAGGTTTTATGTTACATTTTTTCCATGTTCCTCCTTTACAAAAAAATTAAATTATTATTGTAACAAAAATAAATTGTTTCAAAATATATTCACATGTTTTAGATGTTTATGTAATAATAATAATAATAATAATGTATAAATAATTTTATAAGTTGAATATATCTTATTGTTGATGTCTCCCATTTAAAATTCAACTACTAAATCACCCTTGTGTTCCACACTCATAATGGAAATTAGTCTTTGTATTTCAATTACTCGAGCCAATATGTCGCGGTAGTTATCTGGTAAATCAAGGTTTCGAGATAATACTCTCTCAGGACCTGGAATATCTTTTAGTAAACATGCTGGAGCTTGTCTTAAGCTGACAACAGTATTGGCGACTGATGAAAGTGGCAAGTTTTGTAGTTTTGCATTGTAGTGATTTTGGCGTTCTAATACTTCTTGTTGATCTATACAGCTGTGTAATGCTCCAACGTCAATTACATTTCTAAAAAAATATTTAAAAAAATTACTTAACTGATTTTTTATAACATTAGGATGTCAACTAAACTAGTTCTTAACCAGACCCAGGTATCATTTACATAACTAATAAATAAAATTATAATAAAGCTTATAAAAGCAATATAAATAGTACATAAATGTTACATATCAATAATATTGTAAATAAAATATTGATAACATTTTTATTTAGAAAATTATTCAAAATAACAAGTTATTTCAGAAAGATGTTAAGTAATAAATAAATTAAAATAATAATATAACTAAAATTTATAAGCGCATTTAAAATATGCATAATGTACTCGTTCCATTAAGATATAAACAATAAAGGATAAGAATATTATTGGGTTTATTAAATTAATAGCACTTTGATAAATATAAAATCATTTAGGAACTTAAGAAAATAGGTAAAATTTTGTTTCTCAAAAAAAAGCTACTTTTAAGTAAATTGCTTTAAATTGTAGGTTGAAAATATAATAAACTCACGCTGATATTTCTTCTAGTATACGATTTAATCCAGCTTGCTCCTCCGATTCTTTAGGTAAAGAACCATAATGATATTCTTCAGTAGCACGTTGAATACTTGTATTGTTACATGAAGGATCAATTAAAAGGTGAGTACGTTCTTGATCTATTCCCTAATTGTAAAATCGAACATTTATTATAACTAATTTGGTTCTAGTAATAATAGTTGCACATATTTCTACTTACACCATAGGTGTCTTCGTCCTTACACCAACTGCAACATCCACCCATAGTATTATATTTTAAACAAAAGAAATCTTGTTGATTATAACAAAAAAATGCTTAAACCTATTTTATTTGAAACAAATGAAGATAGTAGTATCATACTTTATTTATTTGCAAACATTAATATTTTTTATTTCTAATTACTAATTTCCTAAACGCTGATTGTCATTATAAATAATATTATAAAACGATGGTTATAATATAGTATTATAATTGTTGGATTGATTTCAGATTTGATGTTTTATTGAAACTCGTAGTGATAACATAATAACAGTCATAACTGATAAGGATACTCTTAACAAATTATGAACTTCAGCCCAATTCAGACCTATTAAGAAATGGACTGGTAGGGGTTGCTACAGTTACCACGAATGTTGCATGCCACGACTCGTAGTTACTCCGACATTGCTTTATCAGTCATTTGCCACGAATATAATCTACTTCGAATATACAATTACTACGATTAGACGGTTAGCCCGAATTTAACATACCCGACATCGTAAAGTAATTAAAGAATCATACAACAGTTAACCCGATATTGTGATACCACGAAAGTATTTTACTTCGACTATACATGATAAGAATACTTGACCACCGGGCATAATGAATTTAATATGTTATATTACATTATATTAAATTCATTAATTACGTTTTATAGTATATTCTTTATTATCAATTGCACATTTTAATATACAATATTTTTTTTAATTATTGGGTAAAACCCTTTGGCAACAAAGGCCATTGTAAGGGTTTTATTAAAATAGTTGATATACATAATTGAATACAGTAGACTATACATTTAAAATAGAAAAGTTAGACAAATAAGATAAGAATTTTATAAACTATTTTTTTAATAAATAATTATGTAAATCTGATTGTAATATAATATAATTTAGAAGGTAGGTGATTGCTTCAAATTGAGGCCCAAGGGTTTCAGATAGATTTTCGAATATATTATTGTTAATTCGTTGTGACTGGTCTTATAAACAATTATTTTTAGGTTTTAGAGTCACTTAAAATGGACAATAACTTACAATATTATAAAATAATTGTAACAATATAAAAGTTAGTTTTTAATTACGATTAATATGTGAAAACAAATTGGTATTATAAAAAAGTAATAATATTGAACCAGTGTTTCAATTTTAAATCAACTGTATGTGTAGAGTATAGATCTTTTTCAAACCGCTGTGTGTGGTGATAACGATACATTTCATATTTTTTGTTGAAAAATTTGTTGACGTATATATCTACTGTTTATTTTCAATTAAATAACTTACTGACTTATTTTATATATATGTAAATTATTTGTTTTAGGCCAATACTATAGTGAAATCATAACCGACGCGTGTCCGTTTAGAAGATTGATTGCTACTTCTATCTACTCTGTCTTTAATTAATACAATAAGTAGTTATTATTGTTACCATTGGTTACAGACTGTTATCCTATGCCGTCACCGATTAATTTGCCTGTGGCCAACAGAAAACTTACACCATAAAAGTTCATTTTTTGTTATTTATGAAGTATTTTTTAATAATTAGTGCCTATCTAATCTCTATACTCAACCCTAATTTAAATTGACAGTTTTTTTTTTCATTATACAGTGTCTTAACCGACTTCTCTTAACGCTTTAGTTTCTTAACGTGCACACACATACGATACTGATGTACAAATAATTAAGACATTAATTATTTCAAATTTTTTTGTTTAAGCTGTACAATTATGATCACTACATAGAATAAAAATTATCTTAGTTTTTTTATATATTTTTTTTTTAATGATATATTATTTCACGTTAAATTGGCATTATTTGAATATATTTTAATTATTTCATTTAATAGGATGATTTACCTATATAAATATGTATGATCACTATCGAGTACTATCACTAACCGTTTGGGGTTTTTAAAATTGTTTTTTGACTTAATTTGTGGTTTTAATATTTTAACTTTGGAAAATTCAGACATTGTAGGTAAGCTATGTGGAAATCAACAATTCAAGCTAAGAAAAATCTAATAATTGTCATTAAAGTTGAAAATATAGTTTGTATTCTTTGAAATTGACAAACATATAACTTTATTTTTTTAAATCATGTATCTGATTTCACTTTCCAGATAATTTTTTTTAGGAAGTATTATTGTAAATTATTTAGTAGAAAAACATTTATTTACCTATCTAAAAATAACATAATATATGGATTAATTTAAAAAAGTTTATTGTTGTTAAAATAATAATAATATATATATATATAAATATAATGAAAAATATTTTTTTAAATAATAATAATAGTATATTTGATGCACTGAATAAAAATTGTTCAGATCTAAAAACAATCGATTTTTAGTTTTATACACCTGGGGCTACTTTTGTGTGCTTAAAATTTATATACATTATTGACATAAAATATCTATGTGTTCATTCCGCTCTTATAAGAAATAACTATATTACATGATCTAATTTATTTTAATCACATTATACATAGCAACATCTTATGCTATTGTAATCATTCCAGTTTTTACTCCCTGGCTTTATAATACTTATTTAACCAACGAGTAAATGCATTTTTACACAGTCTTATTATAAAAAATTATAGGTATGTTTTTTAAAAGCATCAGCAAAAGTCCCTATATCATCTTTTTAAATTCTTAAAACAGTTGTCTTTAGATTATTTTAGCGTTCAACATTTTGTGTTCTTAGACCGTTTTTATGAGTAGTAATCAAAAATCAAAAAAATTGTCTGAACATTTATTTTTACTAACTATTTAATGTTAATTTTTTATATTATATGTATGTATATATATTTTTTTTTTTTGAGCTGCTGTTGATATAGCTTGAACTAAATTAGATACTTATTAATATTGACTATTTTGGTTTTTTTTGTGGTGTGATTTCAGACATAGGGCATAATTAAAACATAAAAATAAAATATTAATTTCAAATCATTTTATTGCATTTTAACATTTTGAAGCATGGTGGTATAAGTAATATACCACTTTTTCAAAAAATAGCCTACTCTCGCACAGTGGTATATATTTATTACCACCTTCATAATCATGTTCAGAGAAAATCGGAGAAAAAAATGCTGTGCTTCAAAGGGTTAAAATTTATATTGAAAATCAACATTTAATTTACTATTTTATTATTTATAGAAGTATAATATAAGTATTCGCTCCACCCTAAAAAAGTATAGTAAATCTATAGATTTTGCTATATTTTTTTAAATTGATACTACATAATGAAAAATAAAATTATTTTAAAATTTTGGATTATTATCATTTAGTAGGATGAATTGTTGGTTAGTCATCTAAAAATATATCAACATATGGATTTATACCTTTCATGGTTTACTTAAAAAAGTATTAATGTATAAATCAATTTATCTATTATGTATAAAATATGTCTGGATAAGTATCAAATAATTTAGGTATTTTATGCACTGAATATTATTATTATTATTATCATTTTGTACTCTGGCCGTTTTTATAATCACCGCCGGACACTCGAATAATCAAAAATATTTGCTACAAATTATTTCAGACATTTCATTCATGTTTTGTACTCTTGAGTTCCTAAGTAACCGTCACACAAACATATCATTCTTCCACACTTTTAAACTTCTAATAACCAACAAACGTCAGACCTTAAGTAACAAAGTACCTTTAGCATTAAAGATCCAGATCCAAAAACTAAAAGATTTGCATCGAGACATTTCATTTAACCTCTCTTTGGACATTTTTATAAGCTCTGCCAAATAGTCGATCAAAAATTAAAATAATGTATTTATCACTCTTCACTTCTTTCCCTTTTAAGTTTTAATATAAACTCTAGACATTTCATTCATGTGATTTACTCTTGAATTCTTAAACACTTATGAACTTCTGTTAAACCACCAGACCTTTAATATACATATTTAATGCATTATGCTGTTGGTTACATTCTAAACGTACAGTACGTCATTACCGAAAAATGGCATAGACGGTGATTTCTGAACAAATAAGAATTTTAATTCAACCAATATCTAGACATATAACGTATACGTTTGAAAAAGTTTTGTTGCACATAGGAACACCATATCAGACATATACAGACTGACCTCTAAACATTTCTTTCTATTTTTAACCATAGCTATTACCAAGCCCGTGAAGTAAACAACACCTCAAACAATTCAAATTAAAAAAAAAAAAAAAATTGTCCTTTAAGCAAGTAGCACACTCGCTTTAGTAGTAGGACGTTTCTGATCTGACAGATAGCTAGACTTGCATTACAGTTAACCGGTACTTAGCTTGCAAAACACTTTTTCGAAACTAAGTATGAACTATGATTACTAGATAAAGGTACGATGAATTATAACGGTATACTTTAAAACGTAGTGAGCTGACTCGACGCCGTGGCCGGGCACCCCCCTCGGAACTGCTGTGTACAGACATATAACATACTACGTTTAAACAAATTTTGTTTCACAAAGGTAAACCTTAACAGACATTTAGCTGACTGTCCTCTAGACATTTTTATCTGTTTTCAACTCATAAAATTAAGCGGGATGACGCCGGCCTATATTGATGACGTGGTCTATAATATAACAACTTTTACCAAAGACAATTTCCATTGTACACTTTTTCCCAATGGCCAGCTTCTTATCAAGCCTCTTTAACTTTTTAAAATTTTAATTTAAACTTAATTTTAAACCTGTTACCTCCTCATAGACTGTAGCCTACAAACCTAGGATATTTTTAGTTGGCGAAGCGAGTGAATGCCAAAACACTCGGAGACCTGCCGTCCTTATCAGTTTTCAATACGAATTCCGCCCGCTGATAAGGAACTGGACATTGTTAGTTCATAAAAATTGGTAAAAGTGGTAGCAACCCAAGTAAGCAACACCGGACACTTGATATTTATTAACCGTCTAACTTCTAGACTATTCTTTTCAATTCAAAATTTAAAAAAATTACAGATACATAGCTAGACTTACTCTACACTTAATCAGTACTTAGCTTGCAAATATTTGTCCATAACTAGGTATGAATTCTGATTACTAGATACAGCCTATAGGTACCATGAATTATAACGTCATTCCTTTAAGACGTATTGCGATGGCTCGACACCGTGGCCGGCGCAACCGGGCACCCCCATAGGAACCGCTGTGCACTGACTTCCACATACCGTGGCCGGCGCAGCCGGGCACCCCCCTCGGAATCTGTGACCTCCCCGAAAATACTTTGCAGCGAGAGGACGTGAGCGTGCCCGGCGTAGCCGGGTACAGTACCAGGAATCTGTGACCTAACCGCCCGACTCGGGGGCCTGGGGGCGGAGCTCCCAGCTAGAGCGAAGCTCTAGTAAAATAGATAAAGTAGTAAAATAGCGACTTGGTTTTTAAAGCCCTTGTGTCGGTAAACTTATTTCGAGTAAGTACATAATATTTTAGCTTAAGTGTTTCGACATCAGGGCAATTGCCCCGAGTTCCCTAACATATTAAACAATAACATCCGTATTAACACAGTACATATTTATTAGGTGATCATTAATTAAGTGTATTAGTATCACTAAGGTTTTCACGAGAAAGGTAATAAACAGGACAATTTTTCTACATAAACTTAAATAACTATTAATTTACAAAACTTAGTCGACGGCCAACCACATGAATGACGGCCACGGCGAGGATGGCTGAGACGGCGGTCAACAAAATGAATGCGACCACAGGGATGACAGCTTGAATAGATAGAGAGAAAAAACAACGTGATGGGTTCAAACACGGCGGCCGTAGACAACTAATAATTGTAGTGGTCTCCAACATGATAGTACGGCCGTTTTTCCACACCTGAAAGTCTGTAGATATGAGTTCAGTAGAGTCAAACAAGTTAAATATACCTGGGTTCAATATTAACAGAGAGAAAAAAAAGGAGACTGACAAAGAAATATTATCAACGCGTTGCAGTATGTTGCTTTTTGTGGAAACTAATGAATGTGTTACCTCAGTGTATGGCCCTAAAGCCACATGGGGCTCGGCAGTTCACCGCCTCCGGACCGAACCGTCGATGGTATATGCAATATGGTACGGGCTCCCCTATGCCGTACTCCTGCACTCCTGCAAATCCACACGGCAGTATGCAGTTTACTGCATCCGCGCCATGTCGCCTGTGGTACACACACGGTGGCTCCGGCTGTCCTGCCTCAGTTGGCCTGTAGCCGCACGGAGGACGACATCTGTGCGCCGCCGACCCGTATCTGTCGTGGTAGTAACACGCAGGTACTACCGGTGCAAGTTCTACCGGAGCGGGTTCTACCGGTGCAAGTTCTACCGGAGCGGGTTCTACAGGTTCAAGTTCTACCGATGCGGGTTCTACCGGTGCAGGGTTTACAGGTGCAAGTTGTACCGGTGCGGGTTCAGCCGATGTAAGTTCTACCGGTGCGGGTTCTACAGGTTCAAGTTCTACCGATGCGGGTTCTACCGGTGCAGGGTTTACAGGTGCAAGTTGTACCGGTGCGGGTTCAGCCGATGTAAGTTCTACCGGTGCGGGTTCTACAGGTTCAAGTTCTACCGATGCGGGTTCTACCGGTGCAGGTTCTGCAGGTGCGGGTTCAGCCGTTGCAAGTTCTACCGATGCGGGTTCTACCGGTGCGGATTCAGCCGGTGTAAGTTCAACCGGTGCAAGTTCTACCGGTGCCGCGTCCCACCATTTCTTTTTGGCCTTGAACACGAGAACAATTTTTATTTAAACTAATAACTATTGTGCTGACACTGACAAAACAGCGAGCCCTGGTCGAAGGTGTGTCATTGAACATGTCATCAAACAATATGTATGTTCATACGCATACCTTATAGAGCAGGTAACCGCCGCCAGTTACCGTTAGAACGGCGCCGCCGGCCCACAAAATCTTCTCCATAGAGCACATATTTCAGAATATTAGATATAATACTTGAAACGCAAAAACTGTATTTCCAACAAAAATGTCGTTTGCTCGTGAAAAGCTGAAAAACAACTGAAGTCTGAGACGGTTGTTATCGCAGCCATTTCAGCATAGCAACACACATTTCAGCCAGCAACCAATGTACTCACGACTGGTAAGCACAGTAGTGGTAATTTATTCAATTCAATTGAATTCTAGTTATTAATAAAGTAAGTTACAACGTTAAAATAAAAATGTTGTTAACTTTATATTGGTAAATATCATCTGCTAGCGGTGCTTAATTAGACATACGTCCCAATGTTGGATTTTAATTTTTAATACATGTATGCATTTTTCGACAAATTTTCAAGGTTTTTTAGGAAGGCGATTTTTAATTTTCTCTTTTGAAGATCTCCAAAATTATTTTTTTTGAAAATTCAATGATAGTTTATTTGAGTTTATTTTAGGCATAACATTTTAAATCAAAAATGGGCTTCCTAAGAAACCCAGACAATTTGTCAACAAATCCACACATACTTTAAAAATCCAACATTGAGAAGTATGTCTAATTAAGCACCGCTAAAACGCATGAAACTAGTTGTGCTCCGACCCCCTTAAGGGGTAGATTTAATAAATTCTCACAATGTATAGGGAAACACTTTATCAATGGGTTGGCCTTTTTTAATTTCTTTGATATTTATATTTAATATTTTTTTATAAAAAACATGCTGCGGTCCCCTTAATGTTATTTTAACTTTGATTTACATCTTGCTGAACAATTTTAAACTTGTTTTTACTCAGATTATATTATTTATAGTTTTATATAAATTATTTGTTGGGTCATGTCAGTGTAAATGGAATTTAAGGTCCATATAATGTTTATCAATGTAAATGTCCTATAAAATAGCGAAATCATAACATTAAGATTTTTTGATAAGTCATGTCGATGTAACAGGAATTCGAGGTAAATGTAATTCGAAGCAATAATTAAAAATGGAACTTTGATGTAACTGTAAATCGTGGCATAAAAAATAAAAGCGAAAACATATTTTCGTTGTAAATGTATTCGTGTCAATTGTCGTCGTAGCAATTGTCATTCGTAACAAAAATGTCGGAGTAACATAACATCGTAGCACGCAACATTCGTGGTAACTGTGTTATCCCGACTGGTAGTAGAGAGAGGGGTCTGAATATAGACGTCGTTAAAAAGAGACAGAGAGAGTTGTTAGGTATAGCATGGAAGAATATTATATCATGGAGAAATAGTAGTATGATAATATCCGATAACGAAATTTTTATATTAAACATTTTTCATTAATCTTATTAAAATATTGAATTTTAATTGTCATCAGTTTAATTTCTCATAATGGTTTTCCAATATAAAATTGGAACTCGACGGCCGCTTTTAGGTACTCTGCGTTTGACCTTCTCATTACGTGCCCAAATCATTTGATTCTTTTTTGAAGTCGACACTCGACCTATAAATAAATCTTTATAGGTTTATGACAAATACCTGCCACACATTTTGTTTGTATTCAAACTTTTTTTCTATAATCTGCCCAATCTCCGACAGCTGATCTAATGTCAATTTCCTTTTTTGAAATTCGCATTGATACTCACCTATACATACTAGTAACTACTACTAACAATATTAACAATATTTTAATATAATAATAATTTACCAACAATAAATGGTCTATAGAGTTTGTAAAGAAAAACTGTTTTTCAAAACATACTTACACGTTTTATAAAAAGTAAAACAGAATATTCATTGATAAAATCTGAATGAAATTGTAATGTTTTTTAAGTATTTATTACCGATATACTATACATATCTATTTCAAACAATACATCATACGAAAGTATTGGATACCTGACAAAATAATGAAGTACATATAACACATCCTTAAATGCTTTACAACTTCGAATAACACAATAATTAAATATGATTTAATTTATATTATTCCATGTCTTTTCAATTTTTACTCGATGGGAAACCTAACAACTCTGTCTCTTTCTAACGTTGTTCATAACGCGGCAGTATAGGCGGGTTGTGTGGGAGGCGCAGTCCATATCTTTATAGGTCTATGGTATACATACATACTGTTAGTATTATCATTTATCATGTTATCAATAAGCATTTTTAAACTTGAAAATGAGCTAGAGACCAAACTTAACAAACTGGATTTTTTTTTGATGAGAATTTACTATTAGTTTAAAAAGATTAGCCGTATGCTTGTTGGTTTATGTATGTTGTTTCTATAATTCTAGTTATTTACAATTTATTGTACCTACCCATATTATACAACTAGGTAAGTGTAGATACCAAAATGATCTGTTACATACTATAGTTGACAATGTATACTCTTTTACACGGCTTTTATAAGTACATAACCCAAAAAGATGAATTTTGCGTTTTAATCCTGGGTTTAGATAATGCTGGTAAAACTGTAAGTATAAACAACAGATGTAATCTTAACAAATGTATAGTAAAACAATTATTTTCTAGACGTACTTGGAATCTTCGAAAACAAAATTTAAAAAAAATTACAAAAGCATAAATCCAAGAAAAATAACAACTACTGTTGGTTTGAATATCGGCAATATTGATGTATACGGAGTAAGTTTGAATTTTTGGGATCTAGGTGGTCAAACTGAGCTTCAATCACTTTGGGACAAGGTAAGTTGATTAACATAAAAAGTTATGCTTATAGTAAAAAATCAAAATAATAAATATATACAATTTTGTTTATTTGTAGTACTATGCAGAATGTCACGCGGTTATATATATAGTAGACTCATCAGATCGAGGGCGAATGGATGAATCAAAGAAATCATTTGGTAATTTTTTTATAAACTACCTATTTTTAATTTGGCATTTAATGTAGGTAGGCACATTCTTAAGTTTATTGGTTGATCATATTTGTTAAATTATGCTATTAATTAGTTATTCAAAGTGCCTATTGTTTAAATATCCAAATTTGTGTTAAAATTAGGCATGGGCACAAACAGTGATACCTTTTGTGTCTAACAAACTTTTTGAATTTTTGAATAAAAATGTTCCAAAATGTCTAGTTTATTATTAATTATTTATAATTATTTGACTTATTATTTATTATGACATTTACCTACATACCGATACTTAAGCTTTGTGTTATGTGATCAGTAATTTTACACTTAAAGCCCAAATTTTAAGTATATAATCACATTTTACCACTTTGATTTTTCTGATTGGAGCACTGGTCGAAAGTAAAATAAATAACCAACAATTTACCTATTGGATTCTTAATAAACCTCCAAACCTATACATAATTACTGATTTTAAGTGTGCCTTTACTAAAATAAAAAAATACAATTTTTCCCTTACTTTAATATTTTGAAATCAATTGTGTTTAAATAAAATAAATAATTATTATTTTTTATTTGAATTTTAGAAAAAATGATCAGCAATGAAAACTTAGTGGGTATACCACTTTTAATTCTAGCAAATAAACAAGATATACCAGATTGTATGGGTGTAAGAGAAGTGAAGCCAATTTTTAATCAGAATGCTCATTTAATTGGCAGAAGAGACTTTATGGTCATGCCAATTTCTGCATTGACTGGGTAATTTTTAAAATATGTTTACAATTAATACAGGATTAAACTTTGCTTAAATAAAATTAAGCATTATTTTTTCTAAAGTATGTATAACATAGAATATTTAGGGCCATTGGTATAAATAAGTGATTAAAGGGAAAGGGTTTAAATAAAAAAATAAGCATCAAATATAGCGTAGCTTTATAGCTTTTTTATCCAACTTCTGTGGCAGTGAATGGTTTTGAAGTGTCAAAAGTTTAGATACTTGGGGAGTTTAGACTCTTTTATTATTTATTTTATGAAGTGACAATTATAGGTACATAGTTTTATTTAATGTTAAATGTTCAAAAAGAAATTACGAATGTCTCGCTTTTCTTCCAAAAGATCAACAATTTCAGTATAAATAATATTATTAGTTATTAGGTCCTTTAACATGTATGTGTATATTAATTATGCAAAAAAAGTCTTTTGTTGGTCATGTTAGAGCACAAGTTTTAATTCTCCGTAACGAGCTGAAGGACTGCTCAGCAATATAAGTAGATGCCGGAATGCTGAATCTAAATTAAATTGCAAAAAATTGAGATGGGTAAAATATCTCTGTTTTTTTCAATCTATCCAAAACCATCTTTTGATTTCTGAAAGTATAAACAAGCTCGATAAAAATCAAAATAAATGACTTACTGAAAATTTTTCAGAAAAGGAGTTTAATAAGAGATATTTTTCTAAAATATTTTCAGTAAGTCATTTATTTTGATTTTTATCAAGCTTGTTCATACATTCAAGTAGTAATTGAAATTAAGAATAGGGTACTATTCTAGGGTACCCTTCCTGTTAATAGGATATCATTAAAGTACTTAATTTTTTTCTGAAACACGTTCTTTATGGTATAATACGTTTAAAAATCGAGATATTGAATAAGTATGGTTATTTTAACGTAACTTTCAGCACAATCAGCTGATAAATTTACTCTACTGTATTTGTTTTTTAGCAGGTCTTGATTTAACCATTTGAATATACGGTTGAACTAAATTTAATTTTCCTCAAAGAACATAAAAGATAACATTTGCAGACTCTTAATGTTGTTAAAACACAGTCGATTAAGAGTAGTTATTTGTTTTTTTATGGTTAAGGAATTCTGATTAACTCCTTGAAACACATTAGCAATTGGTTCAGGCATAGGAGAATTTTGAGCCATAATGAATAAACAAACCAAAATACTTGTATTTCTAAAGTTTGCGTCATCTTTGTATAATCTCTCCAAAGTAGAAATATTATGTTAATGTTTTCTTTAAATATTCTTATTTATTATACTTTTGTGTTTGACTGTCCAATGCGTTTCACAGAAGAGAGGAAGTTTGGAATGTATTTTTTTCTTAGAAGACTCTTTTTAAGAAATATTGTTTGTGAAAAAAAAATGTACTGTACCGATGTGTATAAATTTTTGACACATCACTCAAATCTTCAATGACTAAATTAAAATTGTGTGCAGCAAAACAAATTTGTCAATAAACCTTACCCTCTGGTAATCCCTCTGGATCCAAAAATTATCAAACTATTACAGATACTTTGTCTAATCGTAGCGGTCTCATGGCCAACAAAACCAAGTAGTCCTGCCAGTGTCACCTTATTTACCACTCACAATCCCTTCTTTTGTGTAACACACATAAAAAATCATATTTTTCAAAATACGCTTTAGTTGAACTGCGTTTTGCGTTCCTGGTTCTCAAATTTATGTCCACTGGTTATTTTCAGCAACAAAGCCAGGTTTCTAGCAACTTATACCACGTATTCTATAAATGTTTTAAATCCAACATAACCTAAATCGAAACGCTAATAAACATAACAGTTTTAGATGATTTAAAATTTGTTATTTGTTTACACTATTTACACGCCTTACAGTTTTACTCCCATTTGAACATCTTGACTGGTTCGCCGTCAGTCTACAGGAGAACGGGGTACGAGCAACATCGAACCAGAGCTCTGAAGATGGAAAATGCAAGTATTTCAAAACGTTAGCGAAGCAGTCAAGGTATTCAAATGGGAGTAACCACAAGGCGTGTAAATAGTGTAAATAAATTACCCCATTTAAGTTCATTTGTTATTTGTTGATTTTTTTTAGTAAAACATCATTACTTTCATAAAGCTATTTGAAATATGATGCCTATATTATTATTACACACTGACAACTATTATAATTTTTATACTTTGATGCTTAATTGCACTTATTTATTATGTATTATTAATTTTTGTATGACAGTGATGGCATTGACGAAGGAATAAAATGGCTGGTTGAATCAATACGACGGAATATAGAAATTAGACCGCCAAAAAACGTTGAAGACTATTAAAATACAAAAAAATGTGTTTTTTTAAATAATTTTTTTTTCCTATAGAATGTAAAGTAAAAAAACAAAATTGTTTGATTCATATTTTTATACTCTTGTTGGTTTTACCAAATTCTATTTAAAAAAAAGATTATATATTATAGTCTAATTAAAAACGAATTCTAGCTTATTTTTTAAATATTTACTTTTTATACACATTTGTATGCATATAAATAAATACTTTTTAAACATCTTATGTTATCAAATATTGTGATGCTTCTCTCTCTATAAATGCTATATTGGTGGTATTTACGTTACTTTTTATTTTAGGGATATGCAGTTTACTTAATAGCTACTAATTTGTTAACAAAATAATTGTTGCTTATTTTTTAATGAAGGTCATAGCTTAGGAGCATTTTTTTAATACATACAAATTTCAGTAATTATTTATATACTATTATACTTTTTTTTGCAATTTTATGTACTGAAAATATATGTTCTAATGAGCATTCAATTCATTACAACATATATTTTTATAAGAAAAACGATATTTATATTAAGTGAGTAAAAAACTATAGTATTAAATTAAGCAACATATAATTTATATATATATATATATATTTTATTTACTTATAATTATTGTATTATACATTCATATATATATATTTTATATATTTATTCAGTTATATTTACAATACATAACTTAGTCATATATATTAACCGCACAACTATATTGTACCGGTAACTACATAATATTATGTTTTTATCAATGAAAGTAAATATTTAAAAAAAACCGTTAGTCATAAATAATTTCAGTAAAACTATATTGAAAAAATTGTTCAAAATAAATCACATAACCAAAATAAACTAAATAACCAAAAAACACTGATTATATAGGTATAAAAAAAAAAAAATCATAAATATTTGTATTTATTATATAATAAATATATGTATATATATATTTAATTAAATTAAAAAAAACACATTGCACAAAAAAAAAATTATAAATACCAAAATTGTACTTACAAGAATTATAAATCATAAATATATTTAAATAAATTCATATTTACGAAAATGTTTACAATTAACATGCAAATGCTTAAAATTACTTAATTATCTTTGGTCATTCTAGCCCATTTTTTAGTTAAAAAAACATGTAGTCATGTAAAAAAATTACACGTAAAGTAGATAGGTAAAGTATTTACACAAAACAAATATATAAATACTGAAAATATATAAATAATATTTAGGCACATTGAATTCACATTTAATAGGTAGGTATTTTGTTGGTAATCCCATAATACATTCCTATACATTTAAGTAATTGCGCAGTAATAACCGACAAACCGGACATTGTAGGCCCAGGAAACTTGCACATACAAATAGGAAACATAGTAGTATCGAGTAAAATAAGTATGAAACTATATATATTGAGTATTCAGTATTCACATTTTATACTCGATGGTAGAAAATACTTTACAAATGCATTCAAATCTCGAGGAATATAGTTTAATACCTATACATTTACACCCGCTGTATGTTGACCGGTTGTCAGTGGACGAAATAATAATTATTGAAGTAAAATATTTATCATTTTTATACATTTATAATACCCGTTATAAATAAAACCTTTAGGATAATATAATTTACGAAGTTAACAATAATACTACTACTTATAATACAAATAATTTATATATATAGTTTAAATCTAATTAAAAGCGAATTTTTAAACGAGAGTAGATAAAAAAGGATGTAATAAATGGCGGCGCATAACAAATAATTGAGTTACGCTTAATATAAATATTTGACTCGATAACAACATAGTTTTCACATAAATTTAAAATGTTTTTTTCGTTTGTTTTAAATTTATATATATATCATTTTTTTTGTAGATTTTTTCACAATAAATATAAAATATTAAGTTTTTTTAAAAAAAAATCACACGCTTAAAATTGACTATTTACACACGTTAATACATGTATTAAAAAAAAGATGTAATTTATTTGTATAATGTACTTATTGTCTCGCGGTATTCATTATAATAATTATATTATGCATATAATATATAGTTAAAGAAATTTTAATATTATTTTTTTTTTTTTACAAATATTTTTCGAATTTAACATTTTATTTATAAAAATATAAACTAATAAATATGGATAACGTCTATACAACAAATACGCTTCTTAAAATTAATAGCGGCGTCCGTTATATATATTTATATTATTTAACAACCCGAAAAAATTATTGTCTTGATTATAAAAAAAAATTGTATGCAAATATGTTGTTTATAAATGTTAACCCTTCTTTTGGTATTATCATTTTTTTTGTTGCTTTTGCAAACTTATTTTACTTTATAGTATAATATATTAGACATATTTTATTAAGAATAAATATCGAAATACAGTTTGGTAAGAGTGACAAGGGGTACCTATGTGGGTGCGGAGATGAAGAGCGTAGGCGGTACATTACATATAAAAAAAACAATGCATACATAATCATTAATGTAAAAAATCACGAGTGAACAAATGAAATATGAAAGGTTAAAGCGAATATTACATAGATTACTCTCTGTACGGTTTGCAGTACGAGAAACGGTGGTTCATGTGTTGGCTGTAAGAGCCCGAGTGCGAGAACCTTTTCATGCATTTGGAACATTGGAAGGGCTTTTCGCCGCTGTGCAATCGTTTGTGTTCTGTTAAGTGGTGCTTGTGTTTGAACGCTTTCGGGCAGACGTCGCATTTATGTGGTCTTTGATCTGCGAAAATTAAAAAAAAATTATAATTAGCAAATTAGTTACAATACAACGAATTGGGAAATGAATAATTTTGACTATAATGTTAGACTAATAAATACCTGGAACGTCTGCGGATTCGAGTGACGAAGAAGTTTTTGATTTCTTGCTAGGCGGGCTGACTGTCAATTGGATGCTGCCACCGGTGGACACCATATCGTCCGGGTCTTGGGACGTGCATCCCGAGTCTTCGGCTTCATCCGTCATATCACTCCAGTCTCCATAACCCTGTAATAAAAAAAACGATATTAAAGTATTATCCCAAAAGCCCATTTTTGTGTTCGTAACTTTTTTTTTTTTTAAATTACAATTATAGAAAGTTATTGCGCTTACCCTCTTCCACGAACGTTTGTCGGACGACGGACTGAGGCTGTCGTTGTGCCGTAACGCCACAGCGGGTATTGGCGATTGAGAAGCGGGATGCGAGTAACCGGGTGACGGTGACTGGTGTTGGGGAACGGCCGCGGCAAACGGTCTGCGAACCACTGGTACAGACGACGACGTCGACGAAGGAGGTGACCGAGAACACTCGCCACGGCTATTGGTCCAGCAAACATTCAGTGACAAGTTGACGGCCCCACAATCGTCCTGTACTTCCTTGTACCGTTGCTTGGTGGACAAATCCAACGGTTGTTCAGCGTGCGACTGCGACACGGTCGCCGGCGAGTACGGCATGTGCACTAGCCTACCTTCGCGCCTGTCCCTGGCCCGGTTGTTCTGGAACCATACTTGTACGACGCGCACGCTGAACCCAATACGATCGGCAATGCGGCACAGTTCTTCACGCTTTGGCCGAGGATTAGTGGCATAACACTCTTTAAGCACGGCCAACTGGTCGTCGGCGATCTGCGACCGCACTCGGATCTTACGGCCGTCCTGGTCGATGGAGTCTTCTTCTTCAGTAGTGCACGGCCGGTGTTCGTCGTCTGTGTAACAGTCGCTTCCGGCGTCGTAACCGTTCTTACCGTTAGTGCCGCCGATGGAATCTTCGAGTTTGGCGGCCAGCCCTTCGGGTCGGTTCAGGTGGTGAGGGTGATGATATGGCGGTGAGTCGCTCACTACGCTGGGGCATCCGGACGAATCACAAGAGTTGGACACTTGTTGCTGATGGTGATGGTGCGCGGCCACGGCGGCGTTGGCCATCAACAGTTGTTTGGTCACGGACACGTTGACCGTCTCCAACAACCTCTTGACGGCGTCCGTATCGGCTGCGGCCACCGCAGCTACGGCAGATTCTTCGTCGTCGTGTTCTTTCTTGACGCTCACCACGTCTACTTCGTTGTCCTCGTACTTGTCGTCGTCGTCTTCGGCGCCGCTGCCGGTGCCGCCGCCGACGCTGCACTTATCTTCTTCATCGTCTAGTTTCTTGCCGGTCGAACGTTCGTCGTGCAGCTCTTCGATCTTGGGCGGTAGGGCCACCGACGGCAGTATGTTATGTATGTTGAAGTTGCTAGGGGCGTTGAACAGACTCGGGAAGTAGAAGTTGGTAGCTGGCGACTGGGCGTGGTAGAACGGTGGAGGGGGTACCTCGTACTTGGGCAACAGCGGTGAAAACGAGTTATTGTTGTTATTGTGATTGCTGTTGTTGTTGTTATTATTGTTTACAATGTTGTTAGGAACTTGGCGATGTTTCGGTTGGAAGCTGTTGTTATTGTTGTTGTTCTGCTGCGTGGCGGCCGTCGCGCCACCGGTGCGGTTCAACTGCGACCCGCGGCCTCCTACTTTCAGGTTCATGATCAGACACTTCTTGGATGTCATGTGACTCGAATAAGAACCGGAATGCGAAAACCGCTTACCGCAGTTGGAACACTCGAACGGTTTTTCGCCGCTGTGGATTCGGATGTGTTCCTGTATAATTCAAAATACAAAACAATTAGATAAACAAATTTCACTTAATTATTATGGCTACTACAATAATAGGTATAGGTACACATTTTTTAAAGCTTTGAGTATATTATGACGTATTATGCATTTAAGTGTACCTTGAAATCAATTTAAATATAAATATAAACATTTAAAAAAATCATGGAAAGTGTAACCCAACGAGTGGTTTCTTTCTTCAAAACTTTATTCATGTAATTTCTTTCTACACTTATCCTATATTATTATTATACCGATTGTATATACCTTATTTAAATATATAAAAAAGTTTACCTTGAGATGGTGTTTGAATTTGAATGCCTTATCGCATTCCGGGCATTTGAACTTGCGCAGCACTGCACTCTCATCGTGGCTTATCATGTGCCTCTGGAGACGATAAACGTTGGCGAATGTTTTGTTGCACACCTTGCACGACTGTTAAAGACAAAAAAAAAATGATTTCAATTAAATAAAGCGTAAACACGTGTACTAAAACATATATATAGTGTATATTATAATATTCAACACGGCGACTGAGCCGACCTTACAGTCGGTAAAGGTAGACAAAAAAAAACATCGTATAAAGATCTCACGGCCAAAAAAATCTTGGTAGGAGTCCTCCGAAAAATCCCATGGTCGCACCGAGACCTTATTAAAAATAATTAAAAAAACAACTAACGCCGCGAGTATAAGACCATTTAGATGTGTTGATGGTGGCGGATAGAAAAAAAAAAGTGGAATGAAATACGAATGTGAAAAAGGTATGACGTCAACATGTCACCATGTGTTTTTTTTTTGTACACGGCCAAGAGAATGTAATCGTGAGAAACCCTAATGGTGACACAAACACACACACTCGCACTCACAGGTTACTAAAAATCATTAAGTTCCATGTGGTCCGTCGCCACGGTGAACTATATACACATTATATGTACATATTACTACATACAGTGTCTCCGACACTATTTTTGTTGCGCCCGAAAAGATAACGGTTAATAATTTAACTGTGCCTCGCACACATGCATGGATACGAAAAAAAAACAATATTTAATTACACATGCATTACAGATTACAACAATAATAGTCGAACTGTGTATATCTGTTTCTGGGAGATAACTATTGTAATATTGTATGGTTTACGAATGACGTGTAGCAAAAATAATAATTTGCTTTAAAAAGGGGGGAAATTACCTAACAAAGGCCGAATTTTCGGTTAATTTAAAAATACTGTAGGATATTTTTCTTTTCAACGCGATTATGATTTTACTGTTGTGGAAGAGCCCATTTTAATTGGTCGCAAATACGCTGCGATTCGAGGCAGTGCACGTGTACCGTATCATAACGACAAGAATTAATCCGGCATGTTCCCCAAAGGATCACGAATATTTCACACCACCTTTGTTACACACACAAAACATATCTATGTTGGTGCGTCCAATCGCGTTATCGCTTCCCGCCCGAGGTGGTTGTTCGACGGCCATGTGTGCCCCGGATTGTACACGCTTATCGGCCGTATATAACAGTATAATAAAATACAGAATCAGAAAGTGTACAACAATAATAAAACATACAGATATCCCACCGCGAACCTACTCATCCGCCCCCGTGAAGTCGTCCCTGCGATTCGTGCCCGACCCGAGTAGTAGAGGTACATTATATAATATGGTACCATAATATATTTTTATATTATATTATACATACAGTCTACCTGCTCGAGGTCTTCGCACAGCTGCTCGAGGGTTAGGTTTGACTTGTATGTTTTTTTTGTACGTCTCTCTCTCTCTCTCTCTCTCTGTGTGTCTCGAAAATACCGACATTTTTAATGGCCGTGCATCGCTGCGACGGCGGCGGCGTCTGCTCTACAGGGAAGAAGAAGACGAAGAAGAAGAAGAAGAGGTGCGAGCACGTGAAGTATACACGGTGTTTATACGTCGATTCCCTTTGTGTGGGCCCGCGTTGGGTTATTAAGTATAATAATAATACATAAATGTGCGAGTGGATTTCCACGAACGGGCGGGAGGTATATATCCGTGAGTTTATGTATATAAAAAAAAAAAGGGACCAACATCTGGACGGGCGGCGACCCGAACTGGTATACATACATATTATTCTATAAAACCTTATAATGTTGTTTAGTACTCGGGGGGCCGGGGAAGGTCGCTGCTATACGCCGCCTTCGTTCACCGGGAACACCTTGCGGTGGTGAATCCTCGATCCTCATCGAGCACACACATACCGAGGTCGACACGTTATACATGCACTTCATTTTTTCTCTCTTTTTGACCCCCCAAACATATTTTCACTTTTTTGTCTATGCGCAAACCGTGCGAGCGCTACGAAACCGGACCACACATGCGGCGTAAAAACATGTCATATACGATGGCCTGGGTTGTATGTTATAATACGTATGTATATACATACAATATTATACGAGACACACGGCCGGTGAGTGACTGTTCATATCCACAAGAATTTAGGTGTGTAAAGTATATATAATATTATGGTATTATTATGCGGACTGGCCCGACAATAATGAACCGGGTCGTTAAAAGTATATAATAATAATGTGGCCTCTACACATTGGGTCTACGCGTTATGAACGTTATATTATTATACACACAATATAAACGTTTTTGTATAATATGCTTAAAGGTGCAGCGGCGCACACGGGCGAGGTCGCCGACAACACGGTTATAAAAATATATATCCCAAGTCGCCGGCGCCGAATGATACTCTACTAGGTTTTTTTTTAAATTTAAATACCACGGTTATGTCGTTAGGGTACTTACGACTTGGGCGTTTGGCGAATGCAAGAGTTCGTGTTTTTCCAAAAGGTCGCGGTTACCGAAGGCGGCGTTACACTGCAAACAACCGTACTGGCCTCCGGTCGACGGCTGGGAAGAGGGCGGCGACGGCTGCGAAGACGGTCGAGCGCGACAACCGCTGTCCAAGTGCTCCTTGAGAGATCCCATCGATTCCAGGGGATCCCGGCAGAACGGACAACAGTGTTGTTGCTGGTGGTCCTGGTAGTCCTTCAGCAGACCCTCGAGGCTCATCCCCGGCAACGGCACTGCAAAAGAACGAGAAAAAAAAAATTACATTTTTGCATAACGATTAGGTACGAAACAATAAGACAGAACCATATAGATGTAGATTTAGGGCCGTTATAGGTTGGGTGTATATAATTGTTGTATTGGAGTGAAATAAAAAATAACGCGATATTTTTTTAACAATAATAGTGTAGCATTGTTTTAATTTCAAGTTTTAGTGACTCTCCCGTACAGCATATATAGGCCATAGACGATAGCGTTATATAATTTCTTATAATAATATTCTTATTGTTAGATGTAGGATTATGTACAATGCTAAACGCAACGCCCGCGTCCTTCATGTTGTTAAAATATATTATGTACCGCGCATACATAATACACAATGTATTGTGTATTGTGAAACGCACAAAAGGTGTGAACGAGGCGCGGGCACCTGTTGAGCAGGTGCGGTTTTCCCGGCCAATGGCAGAATCGCCTCGATCGCACCTGGACGGCCCACGAGCTCACGGCGCAGGTATGACTCGTGACAATACCACCGCCAATCGGATATCCTCAGCCGCCATTTTCACACCTTTAACTTTCTCGTCCCGAACACACACACACACACACACCACCTATCAAATAATATGTTAAATACCGACGCGTTACATTATAGTAATACATAAATTATAATACCGTAAAGAAGTAAGTCGTTCCCGTGTAAATCGATAAGGGTCCTATATATTATATGCTGGCACCGATGGCTCTAATAATATATACCTATTTTACACACGGAAAAAGACTTATGTATGTACGTATGTAGGTTGAACCGGATGAAACGATATACCTATTGTTTGGGCGTGTTAATTGGCCTCGTACACATAATGTATATACGCGCAGTGTAATAATATTGGAATAGCGACACTTCCTCTTTTAGAATTTTTTTTAAATACATCCTATTTTATAGCGTCGATAATAATACTGGAAAATGGAATTATAATAGACAATAATATTTCGAATATTATGTTGTTATAATAAAATTTAAACAACTGTGGGAAATTTTTTTTATATTTTTTCAGTACGTAGGTAATTCGAAAATGTCCAAAACTTGAAAACAGAAATTATTGAAAAACGTAGTTAGCAAGTAACGCAAATAAGTTAATTTTGACGCACCAGCCATTTTTAGACATGTTAATATTATAATTATTTTTTTTTAATTTAATAATTGAACGCATCAATTATATTGATTAGTTGAAACTTGAATAGTTTATAAATATGTTGAATGAAATATATCACCAATTAATAAAATATCATCGATGCGGAGCTGTGAAGATGACGTAGCAAATACCAGGAATATAACTCAGTTCTATATTACACGAAAAAAAGTTGTTAGTTTTTACAAAATTTATAATAATCATTTAAGCGCACGAGAAAATTCTCTGAAAAATAATCGGTTAAGAAGCATCAATACTTCTCCAATTACAAGCCTTAATTCAGGCGAACAATTCGAGCGTGTACGAGTATACGGTTGTTAACGCATGCAATTTGCACAGATAAAAATAATACTTAATAAGTAGGTACACTATTCGTCATAAACGTGATTTCTCTATACCTGACGTTGTTGATCGTTTTCGTACAAATTATTTATTGTTATTTTGTATAGGTACTATGTACAAATTAAATAAATTTAGATTTGTATTAGACGTACAGCCAAAAAGAAATATATGAAAAACGATAATTCACAATTTAACGGACCAGCATGCGGCAAAATCCACGTTTATGTTTTCTCACAGAATAGTAATATATGAATACGTCGAAACGAAATTACAGAAATATGGCTTATATAATAATCAAAGTCTTTGAAGTTTAATTTAAAAATAACGATTATTCAAAAAATACCTACTCCAGTATATTATTTAGTATATAATATATCATATTATTATTTAACATAAAATATATAAAAAATATACAATCATTTTTTTTTTTTTTAATTAAAATTTATAATATAAAAATATTAGTTACATAAAAAATATATAGGTTAATGAAAAACAAATTTACCGTATGGAAATGCGTTGTGGAACAGATGGATAACTTGTGCGGCCGTGTACATGATGGATGGCGGAATTCTTTGCCAATAAAAAAAAAAACAGTGTTTCTTTGTAACTCGTATGTCAGATAAACAGACGTTCGTAATAATAATATTACACGGTCGCGGCGTACTCGCAGATGCGGCGGCGGTGGCGGGCGAACCGAGCAGAACGTGCACACCGTTCGAGCGGCAGGTACGGAATGATGATCGTCAGCGGTGGCACGAAACTCGGCCGCCGTTGCCGCCGCCGCCGCCGCCGCTCACAGATCTTTTTCCACCTCCCGCGCAAAGGGTCGAAAATCGATCGGTACGACGGCGCGAGCGGCGCAGGTGGGACGACGACGGCAGCGATAGAGAAGAGGTGGGATCGTCCTCTTATACGCGGTCGATAAAACGCGCGAGATAAACGACGGCCGTGGCAGTAAAAATCGTTTATTTGTATTTTTTTTTTTGGTCGCCTCCTATTGTTGTTTCTCGCCATCGGACATCGTAGATAAAAAATTGTTTTTATTTAATCAATCTATTTTGTCGTCGTATTATAATAATAATATTATCGCGTGTATGCGGTCGAAGCGTCGGCGGTGCAGGCCTAAGTGAGGGGGTGGGGAAAATGTATTCGCAAACGGGGCGAGCGGCGCGGCGGTCGAGGGGCCGCCGTTGCCGCGCAGGTGCGCGTCATACATATTATATATATATATATACTTACAGCGTATACCGTTTATGCGTGCACAGGTGGGCGTGTACCTACGGACAACCGAGACGCCGCGCGGGTGTACAGGTGGGACGTACCGTGTCGGTAACGCCGCGATTGGTGGTCCACCTGGCGCCGAATACATTTTACCGCGGCGCGTCGCCCGTGCCGACGGAATACATAAAGGCAATTGGTTTTAGAAATAAAAACAAAAAGTTAATAAATATTGTACTCGATCGGTTAGCGGCGGCGGCGGCGGCGGGTCAATTGGACGTCTAGGCCCGAGTTCCCGCATCAATTAACCTTTTGCTTGTCCGCCGCACGGTTGATTGGCCGAGTCGTCGTTGTCGCAACATGTGTGTGGTTTGTGTGTGTGTGTGTGCAGTCGGTTTAATATACAATAATTTACATATGTGTACACCGCACATGTGATATAATTGATTGTATATGCCATCGTGGTAGATATGTGTATACTTAATAAGTCTGCGTGCGCGCGAGTGCGTTAATTGTTTTCATATTATGTATTATATGTGTATATACAACATAAGTATAATGAATAGAAGGGCCCCACGTAGAATATACATGTTGTATATAGAGTTTGTGTAATGTAATGTTTACGGTCAAAACCGAGTCAAATATCAATTGACCTACCCGGTCGCGGTGGTCAAAAAAAAAAAAAAAAAAAATTAAAAAATACAACCGCTCGCGCCCGTACCATTTAAATATATAGTATTGGGGGGACTCTTTTCAATAAAGAAATGCTATTATTATTGTTATAACACATTGGAAACCATGGCGAAGAGGTCAACGCGGGCCAATTGCCACAATAGGAAGAATGCGTGAGTACAATATAATATTATTTATTATAACTATAGCTCTCCCGTGTAACAAGAATATACTGTTCTACGAACAAACAAATAGCAGTTATTATAATACTAAATAAGTGCTTCGTTAGTACCTACGTGTTCACATTTGAGTGAAAAAGATAGCCCAAATCAAAAACGACATAAAAAGTATTTTTTTTATTTTTACATCAAGTATATAATATTTTATAAATTTATACTATACGAATTAACGTGAAAATGAGTTAAAAAAAAAAAAGCTGCCGATCCAGCACAAAAAGAGGTTATACAAATTTAAAAAACATCTACTAAGTATCGTATCTTATATAGGTATGTAGTTTTAAATCTTTAAATACCTACTTGTACTGTACAATTTTGGAAATTTAAGACTTATTTTTTTTTTTCATGTACACTTCAAAATTAATAATATCACATATAAAAACACAATAGAATATTATAATGGTTTTTATATAAATGAAATAATATACGACTTGAGAAACCCCATTGCCCGTAGTTGGAGACATATAGATTAAAACCTATACAGTATACTACATATAACGTTACCTAACATTTAAACAAATTATTTATTAATTATGGAAACAATATGAGTACATAAATAATTTAGTCAAATTGATTTAGTTACAGTCGACTATAAAATACTCATTTGTCACTTCTTCGTCCAATTTTATATAAACACGCGCTAACCAATTATTACCTTATACTGTCATATTATGTTATTACTTACATGTCATATACAGGGGAATGTCGGATTTTCCAGACAGCATTTATGTATAAGAACAATATTTTAAAAATACAGCGAATAGTTTAAAAAGTATATTTTGCACATAGAACACAATGCTGACATTAAAGAACATATTAATTTAAATCCAATCTACGTATTTACTTTTTAATTAATGTAAATAATGTTTTGTTTGTGCAAATTGAGTATAATTTTAACTACGAGTAATAGGCATTATAATTATTTATTTTTATTGCACTGTTTCATCAGAATATTTGGTTGTCAGAAATTGGATGATGCTATTTTTGAAATAATTTCCCGCTCATATTATAATGTATAGGCGATATGAAAACGTTTTTAAAATTGTATCAACATTTGTTTATCGAATAATGTTTTGTCGACAATATCCGCACATGCGAAACGCCGTATAACTGCAAAATAACGATTAGGAGTAGGTAATATTGTTTTTAAATCTTTTCCAATAAACCTATTATAATATGAAAATAATACACAGACAGCCGATAGATCATTTGTCCAAAGCAAATTGTTTAAAACGGATGAATCATTACATCAATGGCGTAATGATGATAAATTACACGAAATGGAACGTGTAGCGAACCATTATTATATTATACATCCCATTATGTTTTAATTCACTTATCATTTGTTATTTATTATTT